GAGTGGCAATAAGCAGAGGGATGTGGGAACAAGTAGGCAGCACAGGGGCTGGAAAGGAGGAGGCGGGCGAGAGCTGCTTCCTTGGGGATAGCAGTAGCTTGCACAGACGATTCAAGTGTGGTTTTCCCCAGTGAGGCTGAGTGAGGAAGGAGGAGTGGGTCCCGCCTCGCTGTGAGAACCTCTTGTGAGAGGTGTGTCAGCTCCCGCCTGCGCCACAAGGTCCCAGCAGCTCAGTCCCCCCACCCAGAGGATGGCGGGGTCTGGTCCCAGCAATCGCACCATATGGCTCTTCACAGGCTTTTCTTTCATCTGGTCTCTGATGGCGTGTCGGATAGAGAAGAGAAATAAGTAAAATAAAAATAAAACTGAAAAAAACGTCACTACAAGGTTGGTGGAGGTCCTTGGTGACTTTATTCTTCTTCCTAGCTGCCTTTCCATCCCAGCATGGCTGTATGTGCATTTTTTCCCACTGAGATGGATACGTCTTCCCTAGACAAGAGAAGTAGAAGTTAGCCATATTTTCTGCCTTTTCTCTTTTTCCTCTAATGTGCTCAGTACAACAAGATGTTTAGGTTTAATCCCACCAAAGCAACTGAAATTCGTGCTGAAGAACATTCCTAAGTCAAGGATCTGAAATCTTCTTACCTGCCCTGGTTCATTAACCACAAAATACTTGACACTAGCTCTTCCTTTTGCTTTTCCCCTCCTCCGTTTTTGCCATTGAAATTTCAGGCATCTTAAAGGCAAGATTTCAGCCACCCTGGGAGCTGCTGGAGTGGGCTGGGGGAATCGCTCGTTCACCAGAATGTTTACAGAAAATTTGTCACAGCCTGACCAGATTGAATTGGCATGATGTGTAAAGAAACAGGGTCCTCGGGTATTTTTAGTGCTCTCCAACCTTTCTAGAACAGATCTGTAGGGCATTAATTAATTCCAGTTGTCTGCCAGTTCATTTTCTTGAAGTTGGATTCTCACAAATAATTTGGCTCCAAGTGTCTTTTAGATCCAGTGATAAGATAACAGGATGCTGACATTTATTCCGCCCGGTGTCTTGAGCATATCTTTTATGATCTGTTTGATACTTTGGACATTGTATACCTCTTTATTACCTCTGCGAGTATCTGTCTTTTTCTCCTAGTGGTTTCATTACTGCTACGTTCATCATTGACAGGCAGGAGAAATGCCCCCAATTAACACATGTACCTTTCTGTATCTGTCCTTTATTTGCACAACATTTTCTTCCCTAGCCAAGCTGCATGGAGCATTCTGACCACCTTCACTTTGCTTTTTGCATCCAATTATTTTACTCTGTGTTTTTACAGTGTAGCTCAGCTCATACCAAATCTATTTGGGTAGTTTTACTACATGCCATCTGGTCTGTGTTTGATTTTCCAGGAAGCTTGGGCTTTCTTATCCATAATGTCACTAGTCTCTCTTTCTTTTTTTTTTTTTTTTTTTCTAATTTCAAAGTTCTTTACTCTCTGTGGGATGGAAAACAGAATTGAAGGGCCTTCTTTCTGTGCTGGCTGTACTACAGCCTCAAACTTGGTCTGGGCAAAAACCAGATGCGTTTGTCCTGTGTATCCAATAGGAGTGGGAGATATCTTGTGATTATAGTGGGAACAGATAATTTTTAAAACTTCTAATATTAAGTTTGCAAAGTGTAAATGATTTTTGTAACTTTGCGTCATGTGGAAATGCAAGCAAATAGATTTGAAATATATCCCCATTCCTACTGACATATATGTGTGTGTCTATGCTGAGGACAAGGAGCATTTCTAAAGGAGTATGTATTCCCTGCTGCCTCTTTCATGCTTGCAGACAGATGTAGGGTGCTAGTGTCCTGTGGAGCCACTCAGTGCAGTTGCTTTCCTCTCGCAAGAGGCCTCTGGCACTACTTTCCACCAGCACTTTACTGCCCTGATGATTAATAGAGCCACTTCAGCTGCAGATCTCTTGTCCTCACCAGTTGCAGTCCTGGGGAAGAAGCTGAACTACTGTGAGAACCGGGCTTCTGACAGACATGATGCAAATGACAGACCTCTCTCTGAGTGTGACTCCAAAGGGCATCGCTTACATTCAGAGCTTTGTTCTGAAAATGTGGAGCAGCTCCTGAAGAGATGGGAGCGTCCGAAGCCTCCGAGGAGGCCTCAGGACCACCTCCACTGGGCAGGATGAAGATGCTCAACTCCTAGTCCATCCCCAAGTGTGACCAGGATACAGGGATAGTAACCAGTTCATTTAAGCCCATGGATGTCTACATTAGGCACTGTAGATGTCAACTTTGATGACTGCTTTGTTGATCTAACCACTTTCTGTGTCTTTGATGAAAGACAGACACTTCTGGGATATGGATCTTCCTACACCCTCTGGTGGCCTGGGGTCTTAAGATCAGTCTGGGATGATTACCGCAGACAGACATCTCTCTGCTGGAAATGTGTGTGTGTGATCAGATGGGAACACTCGTAGCATTCGCTCATTCTCCACAGTCAGTGAGCTTCTCCAGAAGGTACTGCAGACCTGAGAAGCCAGAGGTGACTGCCACAACAGGTTTGAGGAGAGAGAGGGAGACAGGGTTAGGCAATTGCATGGCCATTGACTTTTCAGTGCAGCCTGTATATGGCACATGTAAATCACAGCTATTTAGGTGCCTGGCTCCCATATCCAAGGCAGAAAGTGATTGTGAGCTGGTAGAAATGCTACAGCTCCACTAGAAGTGGAGACAATGACATAGTGAAGGCACGTTGTTCTCCACATGAAGGTTAAGTCTGACCAAATCAAAAATTATGCTTCTGATACCCACCAAAGGCCTTTTATGGAGGTGTTATATCAGCCTGACCATCAGCTTGCTTCTGTTCAGGTTCTGGACCTATGCCCTAAGGAGGGCGCTTGGTCGTCACTCAGCAAAACATGTCTAATGTTAAGGGCTGTTGCAAACCAGCCCAGTCAAGACAGGTAGGTAGAAAAAGCATCCATTAGAGCCAGCACATGAAACAAGGCTGCTGTGAGACACATCTCCTGAGGAGGGGTTCCCTCATCTCACCCCTTTATGCCTGTGCCCTGTCTTTTAGAGAGGACAGTGCCTCTTCTCAAGCTATGGATGAAGATTTATGTGAGCAGAAACACCTGGTTTCGGGCCCCTTCTTGTCCTGAGAGGACTCAAATTGCAACAAAACTGCTTTCACCATTAGTAAGAGGTAGCTGCTCCAGCTGCTCTCCACTTGGCACATAGGCAGGCCTGGGTACATCAACAGCAAAGACAAGCAAGGACGCAGCGTGTAACTTGGCAGGGATTTTGGCATGAGCGTGGGGAAGGCCGTGTACAAAAATGTCTGGCCCGGCTGCCGCAGCGCTTGCCAGCGACGCTCGGTGCCCAGCATTCGGCTCGACTGCTGCACAAGGCCATGGCTGTCACCCTCCCGGCCTGGCGCTCGGCTGTGCTCTCACGCTCTCGGCCCTTGAGGCTGGGAATGGAGGCACCCGGAGGGGCAGCAAGCTCGGCTCACCCAGCACACAGCGGTGCCAGCTGGCAGGGCCAGTGAGCCCCCACCTCGCGCCTCCGCGGTCACCCCCTCCTGCCGCGGCCCCATAGCTCCATGATGGAAGGCCTCAGCATGGAGGGAGGAACTATGGCGGTGCTGAGCTCCAGCTGGGCTTCCTCATAGTTTCTTCTCTCTTTGACTCCTGAAGCCGCGCGCACCCGTCTGGAGCAACTCTGGGGGCCCGGACATGCTCCAGCCACCCCTTCCAGCTGGGAATTTGGGTCAGAAGGGGTGGGGAGGGCAGCCTGCAGCTGGGCTCGGCATAGACCCTCTCCATGCTGGTGGTGAGGACCCTGCCTGGTCAGCAACAGCCCTCAGGGGGACTTTGGCCTCTTCTGGGGACCCCAGGACTCTGCGACAGCAAAGCTGGAGGTGCTAAGGGAATGTTTCGCCTGGAGACTTGAAGACTTTGAGGTCTGCAAAAAGCTTTGCCCTCTTGCACCTTGGTGCCTCCATGCCTGTTTGGTGCTGCTGACCACTCCAAGCCTCTGGGAGCAGGCACCACCCATCATCCCAACCAAAGCTGCGTGTTGTGGAGAGGTTTCACGTGATACAAATGGCAGTTAGCATCTAACTTGGGTGCAAGGAGGCCGTCAGATACCTGCAGGAGCCAGACCCCAAAAAGCATGAGGCACACGTGGCCTGGTCGTGCAGATACAAACAGTGATGAAGGCCCCGGGGCTGCTTGTGCCTGAGTACAGCTCTGGGGTAAGCTTTTATATCACAAAGAGAAAAATCTAACAGCTCCCTCAGCCTTCAGTACACATCCCCTCAGCAAAGAGCTCGCAGTACAAAATAGAAGCTAATAAATCATTCTTCCTTTTAAATAAACAGAATTAACTTGTCCTAAACTCTTCTGATGACAAATAAGGAACAACTGTGTTGGCAATAAGCAGGCTACTGCCAAGCACCCTGAACCCACAAGAATGCTAAGGGTTTTTAAGCATTGTGGAGAGAGGGAGGGGAAGAAATATATTTGTTAAAAAGCATGGTTCACATCCTTGGGTGTTAGGCAGTGACGGACCTCCAGTGCGGTGTTAATTGGTACAACTGCCTGGTGAAATGTCTCTAAAACAACAGGCACTCAAGTTCAAGGCACGTTGTTTTTTTCAAATACCCATTGCATAACTCAGGCAGTATTTGGTTTATTAAAGGAGGCGGGCAGTGAACTGGGGAGGCGAAGGGAACAACAGTATCTTTCCGCATGGACACTAATCCGGCCAGTGGGCAACAGCAGAGCCCCCTTTCCCTCAACAGGCTGAGCCTTCTGATGAATTTAATGTTCTCTGAAGACCATCTCACTTGAAATCAAACTCATTTATGACCTTTTCTCTGAGCAGCAGGACAACAAAATCCATAATGCAAAGGCAGTCAAACAGAAGACAAGGACGTGATTTTTTTTTTTTATTGAATGTTTTATTCATGAACTATTTATAAAAATTGTAAAATACACTCAAATATATTTGATTTGTTGACTGTAGCTAAAAATATAAAAATATACTTAACAAATACATAAATTAAATTGACAATAGTAGCACAATTCTGTGTTCACCCAGTGTTTGTTACGAACACAAACAGAAGCAATTATATAGCATGTGAGAATGGAGTATGTGCTGAAGATGTTTTTCAGACACTTTACTCCAGGCACTGGCAAAGAATTTATGACTAGCCACATTTCAGAATTGTGGGTTTTTTCACTATAACATACTGCCCTGCTGTAGAGCAACATATATATTTAGCTACTTGGATGTTACAGTATTTCTTTAGCTTTCAAATAAACCAAGAACCAACCAAATCATCACGCAAATCAGTATCTACCAGCATCACTGACACTGTATGTGCCCAAATTCCACAGCATTTGCTAAATTTAGCTAGTCCCTGGTCTCCAGTATTTCCTGCCAGTCTTAAAAACCGAATCCCAGCCTGAACTAACTATTGATCTGTGAGGTCGCTGGTAACAGACCAGTTTGCTTTGGCCATAGTGGTGCTACCAACAGATCAGGAGTTTGATTTTGTCAGCCTAAGAGGGACAGTCGAGGGCACGAGGTCCACAGCGAGCTGCCTAAGTACTGGAGAGCACACTCATCTTCTCTTCAGAGCTGCAGCCTCCTGGGACTACAGGTCCCAGGGCTCACAGCTCCAGAGCCCGAATGTCTGTGACAGGGCTGTCGGGGGAGTGGTGGTCACTCAGTATTGCATTTTATTCACGCAAACGACACGTCTGAAGTACTGAGTGAAATCTGGATAAATGTGAGCACCTGCCACCCCACTCCTTGGTAGTGAAGCTGTGGCTGCAGTAGGCTGTCTGATCTGTGGCTCTGGGAGGAGATGCTTGTGATTATAGATAGAGTAATTAGATGGTTATTGTTCTCATCCCTCTAGCCCATATATTAGCTGCTAGGCTGAGGAGCATGGCCAAGTGCTCATGTACTCCTATCTGTCCAGTATTTAACTTTTTGCTTTCAAAGTCAAAGCGTAAATAACCATATACAATACATAAACTTAAAGCTCACACATTTTCTTTTCTCTGTTCTACAACTGAAAGGAAATTCATAGTTTATCATGGCATAAAATAATATTTCTGGTAATTTGAGGCACGTATATAAGCTGTATAAATAACTATAGCAGCAGAGAAAAATGTATAAAGTTGCACTTTTATGACATCTTCACAGTATGCCTATTTCTCTCACCCACTTTTGTGTTCCATTAGTAACAAAAAATATCATCTATCAACTTCAGCTATGCAAAATCTTTTTTTTTTTTTTTTTTCCTACAATCGGTAGTGGATCTTGTAATTGTATTGCACAGATTAAAAAAACATTTATTACAATTTTTTCATTATTAAATAACTTTCCATACAAAAAATTTGAATTAACCTAAAAGCCCAACCCTGCAAGTGCTTCAGAAGTGGAATGATATTCTTCAGGCAAGCATTCCAGTTGACTTTCATGGAAGTACTCAGGTAGCTTTGTAGACAATGCAGATTCACAGGACTGGGCTCCAAGTGTGCAAATCTTAGCTTACAGATCAGCGACAAGACTAGCCTTGCTTTATAACATTATTATTGGGAAACATCAAGAAGGGAATTCTGAACATCATTCGTGGACATTCAAAAGAGAAACATCCTCTTCAGCAGAGGATGTCTTTTTCCTTAAGAGCTCTCTTTATTCAGTACATAAGCTCCTTCAAGTCCATTCTTGTTACATTAACAATTTCCCGTTAGTCCTGTTATTCAGCTTAGAGGCACAGTAAATATAATTAATTACACTGATAAGTAGGTGTCTTATATAAAAACAAAATGCTACATAGATACTTTTTACTTATTCTCAGTGGATTTACACTGGTTTCATGTGAGCAGAATTGGCTAGAAAGCAGAACCAGAGCAATAATGTGTGTGTACAGTCTCACACGTGACCTAGCTAGGCAGAGATGTAAAGCTGCTCAAGAGCATTGTGCCAGAGTGTTTAAGGTCATCTGTCATGTTATTATGCGATGAGGAGGAAGAGGCTTATGAACTGTGTCCATTATTAGCTAAGAGAAAAGATGAAAATAGCTGTCTGCTACAACATCATCATTTTGGGTGCACATTTGTGAACTCTGTAGATGTGGAGGAGGGAGCTGAGAAACAATGTTAAAAAAAAAAAGAGCAGAACAATGTGTGTCTTTCTGAAAATGATGAACAACACGCATACATAGTATACAATCAGACTTTCGCCTTCAGATCATATATTATTGAGCGAGTTCCATTTCCCTCAGCATAAAAAATGACACAGTGATACATAGTGTGAGATAATTTACAGGGTACATTTGGTATGTCTTCACAGTGTAATTGGACTGCTGGTAACTAACATGGTGATCTTTGTTCCGCAGCTACTGCTGAGAAAAAAGAGGACTAAATGCAGCACACGTAACACAATGGCAATTTTCATGATGCCCTAAGTTCAGCTGTTATTAGCAGGGTCAATGATCAATTTAAAGCTGCCATGCTTGTTTGTCTTTGCTTGCTAACCTAGAGTCTACCTAGCAAAGGAAACAGAGAAAAAAGGGCCCTGCAGAAAATGTGCACATTTCTTTGTGGTTTTGCTTAGATTTCCCTCTGTGAAAACGGCTTCCACTATAATACTAGTTCCCTTCTTCAGATTCCACTAAGGGTGGTGAATCCTCAGTCAGGTACTTGGGTGTATTGGCTGGTTCTCAGGAGGCCTTCAGAAATACTTACTTCTCTCCAAAATAAAAGTGAAATTTAGGCACTTGTCTTCAGCTGCAGGCTGTTTTCTCTAGGTAAAGTATGGGTAGATATATGAAAGGAGAACTATTAAGCCCTTCCTTCTTTTTGCGATGGAGAACTGTGTGCCACCTCTTCGCTGTTTGAAGAGCGTTTTATGAAGACAAAGAATAGCTGAACAGAGCGTTCAGTCCCTTGAATGAGAAGCCTCTTTGCAGAGGAGAGAGGATGTGCCTAATCTGCTTGGCTGGGCAGGATACCTGGTGAGTGCTATTTGATTGTCCTTCTTGACAATCACTAAATGCTTTGAGTCACCTGATGGTCAGCACAGCACAGCCCAGCCAGCCTACATCCCCTGGTTTACTGATGAGCCTTTTTCTATTCCAGCTGCCCTTGTGGCACTGACATCAGGCAACACGTAAGTGGAGGAGTCTTTCTGTGAGGACATGCTGGGGCCATGCTTTCCCTTTGTGAAATCAAGTGGCATTCGAAGGAGACCAACCCTTGGGCCAGCACAGCTATGCTGCAAGCAGTTTAAGGACAAAGCCAGTTGTGCAAACTGTAGGCTGTATACCTTGACGTGTCTTTTTTTCAATATGTTTATAATCTCTCTACTTTTTTAGCAGTTATGGTACAGCATTGTTTTTATTGAGCTATGGATGTTGCCAGACTTCACATTCTTACAGGGCTGTTAACAAGAATGTCTGAGGCATTTATCTGAACACTCTTCTTATAATTATCCGTGCGTGAAAATGCACAGACACGGGCTGTGATCTGATTCTGCTCTCTTAAACCAGTGTAAAAAAATCAGAATGTGACCTGTCTCCCCTCAAAGCATGTGGGGAGGGAAAAGGTCTGCTAGACTTCACGGCAGTGTGTGGTGTTTGATATTTTTCTACTATGTCACATTAGACTGAAACAGTTGCTTCTAGTGAGGTGGACCCTGTTTTGCTTGGCTGTTAATGGATTCTGTAAAAGGTCTGCCATTGTGTTATGGGTTATACCCATTTTCATCAGATGAAAAGCAGTAAGTTTAAAGTGTAGAGTAGCATTGTAATTCCTATACAGGACTACTGTTCCCTTGCTTAATAGTAGCTTATTTCATCTCGCAAACACTGAACTAGTTAAAAAATAAAATTAGGTTCTCCTTATAGGATTTTTCCCGTGTGTTACATGCCAATACTGCCCTAAACACAGCAGTCCTGTTAGCCATACAATTTAAAATAGTTTATGTAGAACAGTTCACAAAAACTGTGATAAGAAAAAAATATTATCTGAAGCCTAATATTAATATAAACAATATAGAAAAAAATTCATATTTACATAATGCCAAAATACAATTATATACATTAACATCTATTACACTTAAATTATATATCTTTAAAAAAAATCACCAGACCAATAAATTATACACAGTCTCAACAGAAAGGTCTGGCACCTTTCTAGTGCATGAAATAGATACATAAAAAAAACAAACAAACAAAACCCTTAGTTAACAAATGTAGTCACAAAAGCAGATGTCTGTAACATTCTTAGTGCCTTGAATAAACAGCATCTGAAAGCAAGGAAAACTGAGATTAGAAAAAATAAAATAACCCAAGTGGCCTCATGTTCAACTCTGCCAGGTGACTACAGTGCTCTCAAAGGTGGTTGTGTGGCAGCAGTGCTGGCTGGTGACTGATGCGACAGCTAAAGAGCAGTTCCCACCTCCGCTTTTGCTAGCACTCCCAACTTGTGGAACCCTGATTATTTCAGTCCTTGGCCTCCTCAAAGCCTGATCTACCTGTTGATGACAACTGTGATTTCTGTGGGCTAGATCAAGAAAATTATTTTGATCTCTCATCATATAATCTCAATTCCTAATGTCTGAATTTGAGGAGCTACCGAGATCCTGCTGTCTGATTCTGAAAACTTCTGCGGCCCTTAGGAATCAGCCCCACCAGGACACACAGGCCACCTCTGCTTATAACTTCTCCAGACTGGTCCTCTGGCCATGAGAACAGGAGGTGCAGGGCAGTGCTAGTGCCAGGTTTGCTACTCCCGCAATTCTTATTGCCAAGGGACCAGTACAGGCTAAGAAAAAGAGCCTACAAGAATGGAGAGTTGGGGAAGAAAGAAAGAGCACAGCCTTGGACACCTACACTGCCCAGTCGAGGCAGATGTGAAGTCTAAGGCTGCCTATACGGTCGACAGCAAATGGGGGTGATTCAGAACAGAAACTGAACTCGATGAATGACAGAAAAGCCCAGGCAGTGGCCTCAGTGTGCTTAAAAGTGGATGGTGTAAACACTGGTGAGGTAAAGGATGAGGCCAATAACATGATAGGAAAGGGGTTCTGTCCCCCCAACACCACAGGAGTCATGAAGTGTGAGACAGGGAGAGTATGAAGATAGGGTGGGAACACGAAGAGATGTGATAATGACTACTAATGGATTAAATAAAGATGCGATTGGAAGAGTGACAAGAGCAGAGGAGTGAACAAATAAAGGTCCAGGAAGAGAAAAAATATTGATGGCAAGGGATAGCACAATTTTCCCCCTCAATTACACTGCCAATGAGCTATTACATTTGAAACATTTTACAATTTGATAGGCTTGCACTTACCTCTGTGATACTCTGGATTCACATTTTCATATATTGGAAACAAGGGATTTTCTTGTTCACTGCGAAGTTTTCTGGCTCTTAACACATCTCTCACACATTGATGTAGATACACATATTGACACTGCAAAAGAATTTTTTTTTAAGTCACTCTGGAAAACTTTGTAATTTATTTTTCTGTATTGTGAAAAAGCATTACAGGCTAGCTCCCTCGCACAAAATCAAGGGTGGTGTTAAAAATGAAAACATAGTTCCAGAATTAATTTCCTTTTCACACTAGTAATATAGTAAATTTTTGTGATCACCTGTTTTTAGAAATGCTACCAGTAAAACATAAATGAACATAATATGTTTTGACAGATCATGTAATAAGTCAAAGCTCTATCAACTGTATGGCATAATTTGAGATGATGCTGTGCTGGATAGCTACGACTTCTGAATGCTTTGGTATAAGTACATGTAACAGAATCAATATGTACAGGGAAGCACACAGAGGAGACAAACAATTTCCTGATTTTTTGTTCTGAGAAGAAATATTTTCCACAGAATTTTATCATAATATATAAATATTTCATAGAACTTTGATGAACTCAAATTTTCTGGCAAAAGCAGTATTTTTACGATCCAGCAAAGTTGTAAGATTGCTTCTGACTATGCGGCAAATGACAGACTGTCTTTTCTGAAGAGTGCCTTTCATAGAAGGGAGTTAAGATGACATTCACAACCCAGGCAGGGAGGGTCAGCATGTTGTTGACTATTTATCAAACTACTTTGACAGAACAGATTGACAAATCCCCATGCTTTGCTACTCTTCGTGGTTTATGACATGGGTCATTATCGTTTTTTGATTAGCATAGCATGGTACCCCAAAACTAGGCCAAGCATCTTCATATATCAAGGTGTACCTTTTTAGTATTACTTTTTCCTCAAAGACATAATTTCACCAATAAGCATATGCATTTTCTCCCCCCATATCTTTACCTAATTTTCACAAGAAATTCAGCTATTGACCTGTGCATTATTCTCAGTGCTCTGGCTCTGGGGAAGTGAGGATGCCTGCTGTTATGCACATATGGCTGCTGCCTCTGTGGAGCATAATCCTGCACCCCACCCACCAATTCAGTGGAAAGTTGGCCAGGGCCTGGAGACTTCCTTTGGCAGTGACCATTTGGGACTCAAATGGTGGGCAGTTTCTCTGCCCATGTTACAGCTGCTCTGCTAAGCCCACTGCCTTTGCAGCTGATGGGCACAGTTTTCTGTTGCTCCTCTGCACATCTCCAGCTGCAGTGTCTTGTTTTAAATAACTTCAGCCAAGTCTGAAGCAGGGGAAATGTTTTGTTGCTGATGTTTTACTGTAACTGCATAACACCAAGCAGGATGTTGCTGTGACCTTTGGCTGGAGCATCTCATTGCAAGCAGCCCTATATGCTGGCCTGTGCGCCCCAGTGGGATTTGGCTTCTACCACATCAACAGAAGGGGACCTAGCTTTTATCTCAACCCCCAAACAGATTGTGGAAGTCAAGACATGAACAATATTGCCAGGAACTAGGGTTGTCACACATAAATGGAGTTTGTGGAGCAGATCTTTGGTTCCCCTTCTTCCCAGCTCCTTTACTTTTTCTTAAAAGATGTGTAAGAATTACTTCATAATTCACTGCTCATTGCAAAGTTTGACTCATCATAGAACCCCAGGATAAATTTATCATTTTCTTGCAGAGAATGAGAGATTGCATTGCTTGTGCTCTAAGCTACCTTGATGAAAGGCAGTTCCAAATCAGGAACCATATACATATGCAACTGACAATTCAGATTAGTAACTTGCTGAGAATACAACACCTCAGTGGCTGTGCACTGACACAGCTACATGATCAGTCTACAAGTATGTTACAGCTCAAGTGGGGTGAGTATGAGTGAGCTGCAAAAGCTTTTGTCAACCTGTCTCTGGGATGATGATTGTGAATCCTTCCAGGGGGGTCTAGTTACAACAGGGATCTGGGTAAGACTTGAGACACTGCTGGTTTGGGGCAGAAGTGAATGTAGTGCTGGTAGTGGGAAAGTGGGGTGCTCCTCACTATTGCTGCAGATATTTTGCTTGGGTCTGGTTGCCTTTTGACTTAGGTGTCACTTCAAGCTCATGCCAAAGGTGGGCTTTGTATCACACAACTTCTACTGTCTGTAAGCCCAGTATCAGATTTAGGCTCTTGAGGTAGTTGTCTGTTTTGTAGTCAGGGAAAAAGAGCCACCCTCCTGAGATGCCTGTCTGCCTTTGCTGACTGCAGCTTGTAGGAATGTAGAAGGTGAAATGGATCTGTCTCTGAGGATGCCCAGACCAGGCTGAGAATCTGTCTCACCTCCAACACGAGGTCCTCTGTGATTAAGATGGTTCCAGGAAATCTCTCTTTTGCATTCCCAGTTGAGCCTCTCTTTATACTCATGTGTGAATTTTACATCTATCAGGAAGCGCTGTCACTGATATTTTCATTTCCAAATTGCAACAGAGCTCCATTAGTATCAAGCTACAGGCAGACCCATCAAACTTGTTCTGATTCCTTTATTAACAATTCACAGGGAAAATGTAAAGATTGCCTCCACAACTCGCTTTTATTAAATCAGCTCCTAAGTGTTTAGCTCCTATTAAAGTGATTTTCTTGCAGTTATAAAAGTCTAGAACGAAATCCCAAACATGTATTTTTTCTGCACTGTGAGAATAAATGTACTTGCTTTTGCATAGTATGTTAGGAGAATGCTGATCAGCTTTCCGATACTGTTAATGAAAATGACAGAGCAGCTCAATAAAAATGAACTGCAATGCCACAAGATCACAGTGCTTAGTTTTAAAATTATGTACATCTAATTTTCTTTGCCCTCCATTTCTTTTCCCTATTATGTTGACCTATCTGCCTGGTTTAGGCTTGTCTTCCAAACATATCCCTGAAGGACCTATATCTGCTCAAAGCTCATTTACTGGACACTGCACTAACACAACAATGTGTTAGGCACCTGCTGCATAACAATGCTGGGGTGACTGTGGGCCAGTGCCAATAGGAGAAATCTATAGGAAGCATAGCTACCACTTGTCATGGTTTGGACCTGCTGTATTAGAGACAATGGAAACAATCCTGAACTAAAAATTCTCACAGAGCAAAAATATATCTATCTAGTATTTCCCAGTGGAGTAACTGTGAAGTGCTTTGAGAGCCTTTAAGATGAGACTGATTATACTACACTGCAGCTGGTGTTGCTGTATGTGTAGGCTATCCAAAACTTACCTCTGTCTGAACCATGTGAACCCGGTGAAGCCTGAGATCATGTACTGCTGCGTAAATGTCCACGGTGTCCTTTGAATCCAGTTGCTGCAGAATTCGGTCCAGTGCAATGAATGTGCCAGTCCGGCCAACACCAGCACTGGAAAACAACCCAAAAGATTTAAAAGGAGATGGATCAAAGCATTCACTATCTTCATATGATACTTCTGTAAAGTTCAGATCTCCAGGGCGAGAAGCTCATTGTTCAAATGGCATCTCGGGGACTTCAAACACTTTATAGTGGAATTTGTTTAGGAAGGAGGGAAGGATAGCAATGGTAGAGGTATCTCTGCTTACTGCCCTGTGGCGGTGTGCTCCCCCTGCCCCTCCTCTCCCCTGCTTAAGCCATAATCACCAGTGGGGGTTGTGATGGCTGCATCCAGCTTACTCTGGACTTTGGGGGATGGATGGCAACATGGTAGGCAAGGGCTGTCTGGAACGGTCAGCCAAAGGTCTTGCTGGTACGAAAATAATGACTGTAAGTCAGTCACCTTACTCCATAAATAGTGGACAGCCCAGGGCCCACTGAGCTCTCCTGCACGGCAGCAGGCTGCACGCCAGGATCTCCCCTGGAGTAGGGACACTTCTCAAGGTTACTCCTCGAGGTTGAGAAGAGTCCTCGCCACAACAGATTCTTGGTAAGTGATTAATAGCATGCTAAACTTTGAAATCTTACCTAAGTGATATAAAGATTGATTTTGCATACATAATCCTTCAGACGTAACCCACTGACCAAGTCTGGGACTAGGATTGGATCCAGTTGCACCTAGACTCCTCTCTGAGAAGGAGTTTAGAAAGCAGGGGGGTCCTTTCTGAGCCTCATGACCCAATGAGAAGGTCTCCCTGACAGTTTTGTCTCATCCCGTCTGCTATGCAGTAAATAATCAAGTGTACTTTGCCATTGAATCTTGTCAGACCTGTCACATTTACCATTGAACTTTGTTATATCAATAAAGTATATTGTTGCTTCTCTCTTATAAGTGCACGAATCCATCTGCAACATGCCTGCACTCCTTTCTGCTTTGGATTAACTCAGTCATCAAGATACACTAAGAGACTGTGCCTGACACTAATTTTTACACCTCTTCTCCCCGGGAATGACCCAGTAGGCTTGATTCTAAAAGATAAGTTGCCTTGTGACTTGTGGAAGGGCAGAGTAAGGCAAAGTATCCCAGAGTTCTCAGTAGCTGAAATGCCGGGAGATGGAGTTCGGAAGCAGGAGGCTGGGAAGAGGGAGGTTGACCTGTCAGTGATACAGCAGACATCTGACATGCTGCAGCACATGATGTACAGGCAGACACAGGTGGGATCATGTAAGATACACGCCTCAGCCCATATAATGGGCAGAGGGATCAGTTACTACATTCAGGTAGTACCAGTGAGCACGTGGCTTTATCAGAAGATACATACAGTGCCATGCTGCACTCTCTCACACTCTGTAACCCTGTTTTCTGCTGCAGCTGGCCAGTGGATCATGGATCAGAGGAAAAACTGCAGCCCTATGACTGCCAGAGATAGCACAACAGCAGAAGAGCATGAGAAGGCAGTAAGGAAAGGGAGTCTCAGTCAGAATGGGGGAAAGGATGGATCTGCCAGCTAGTTTCAACGCTCATACGTAACCAGATTCATCCCTGGGTATATCTTACCTTTTCAGAACACCCCTTTGTGATTCAGATGTTGGCCCACAACAGCAGCACTCAGGCAATTTAAGAACGCAAAAGCTTACAAGTAGTGACAGCTGCTGACACCTTCAGTGCTCTCCAGTGGCCCCACAGAGACACAGCAGTTCCCTTGAGAATCATTTTCAGGGCATCTCCAGGGTGAGGCTGTGAGCGAGTGCATGTGCCTTGGGAACTCTCCTCTGCTGTATCTGAAGACTTAAGCCTCAGCTTCTCTACCTGGAGACTACCTCTCAGGTGCTGTGACTGCCCGTGGCCTGACAGGGATGAACATTTGGGATCTTCCCAAGGGTATGCACAAAGACTCTGTGCTGCTGGCCTTTTTGCTGCTGCACGTACCTGCAGTGCACAATAGCTGGTCCTGTGTCTGGGGTCCTGTTGATATAATCCCTTACAGTTCTGACAAACTGGATCAGGGACTGGGTGGTCTCCGGCACACCGTGATCTGGCCAGACAGTGTAATGGAAGTGACGAATGAGCCTCGTTGAATCAAGCTGCTCTTCCTGTTGGGACACAAAAACGTGGGTCATCGGAACAGATGACAGAGGAAGGGACACACAACATGCACCTTCAGAGCAAATGCTACAGCTGCCACCAGAGACGATCTGGGTATGATGCAACTGTACTACAGCAGCAGAAGCCTTCCTAATTTAGTCTTGCAGGTGTTTTTAAGCCAACTAATTAAAAAAAAAAACCAAAAAAAAACCCAAAACCCCCAAACCAGATGAACTCAAACTTACACTGCAGATTTTAAACTCTCGTATTGTCCATTCTGGGAGCACTGATTCAGAGAGCATCTCAACAATCAGGTCTCCATAGTACAAGGAATCCTGGTCAAGGGGCCAGTAGTGATCACACTTCACCTGCAGGGACACAGAAAAAGACAGACTGAGTGTCAGTAACGGCTGTAAACAATGCCTCCATCCAGCACTGGCAGAAGCAGACTTCAGACCTCCTGTGCCTGAGGATGAAGGGAGAAAGGCAGCAGCTGAATTCAGAAATGCCACCCCCTGCCATGTCAGCTGAACAAACAGGGCCTGGGATGGGAACAGGCTAGGATGGGGCTGGGAAGAGGAACTTCTCATCATAGACGTTTGTGATGGGGGGAATGGGAAGCACTTCACTGATGTCACAACATTTTCTGTGCCAACTCTTCTCAGAGCTATTCTTGGATGAGAGATAGGCCTCCAGTTCCTGCTTCCCCACCTCTTGCTGAGGCACGGCAGTGGGGTCCCCCTCAGAGCCAGTGAGGTGCCAGAGGAGACAGGTGGCTGCCTGTCCTGCATCTGCTTTCACCATTTCCTCAAAAAAAGAAGGATAAACTGAAAGGATCTACCTCTGTATGTGCCACTAGATGATCACTACTTCAAGTCTGTTTAATCTTTTTACAGATTGAGTCCCTGTCTTACAAAGGGTCATGTGGTCGTACCTGGGGAGGTGGATTGCTGAGACAGCTAAATAACCTACTTTCACTTGCGCTCAGTAAGACTGTTAAGTGTGTGAATGGTCTTTTTGCACACTACATCAGGGTTTACGCATCAGAAAGAATTCCATGTATTTAAGGATCAACGTTTGCTCTCTAGAGCTTATATTTAAAGTTGTAGTTGATCAGAGTTGATGTGATAAACAGGCATTTTTTGCTGGTGGTTGTCTTTCTGTATGCTTAGGGGGATTATATTAGTACTAGTGAGCAAAGTCCTGGATTAGAGACCAGAAGCACTGAGCTCTCCTCCTATCTCTAGCATTGACATGCCGCATGATCTTGGGATAGTCACTGTCTCACTTCACAGCCTTAATCTGTCTGCAGTCTTTAGATTATACCTCTTATCTCTTACTGTCTCTTTCCTTGACTGGGGCCTTTGGCACTAGTGTGATGCAAATGATAAGCATAAACTTTTAATAGATGTTAAAACAGTCATTAATAATAAAGAAGAGTCACTGCTCACCCGGCCCTTCTCAACACACTGGGTTACCATGACAATATTGTGAACATTTTGCTCCCATGCCATCTTCCAGAACTCATCTTTGGTGCCAGGCAAAGGGCCCTGAGTTGCTATGTATTCCCTGCGGAAATTATTGCCCTGCAAGTAAAGAGAACTCTGTTAGTTTCCATAAAGGCAGAAAAAAACATCTTCTAGCAACTGAACAAGCCATGGGGCTGCAGCCAGGGCTCTGCAGCAACAATGCCCTTGCTGGGACAATAGTTTTGAGAGCTAAATTGTTGCTTTGGACCTGGAAGCAGAAGGCTGGCTGGAGGAGAGAGAAGGAAGAGACTGCGGCAGTGTATCTAAATACTATTCCTTTTGTGGCAGTCAAAGCTTTTCATTGTTCTATTGTGTTCAGCACATTTTCAAGCAATTTTGGAGTTACTAGTGGGTTTTGTTTTATTTTCTGTTTTTAATAAATTAGTTGAGCTCTGGTTTGAAATCTGGAATGCTAAAGCCACTGCTATTATCAATCACAACTCTTTGGTAAAGGGCGTTATTTTAATCTCAGCCAGTTTCACCATCCTGCCAGGTGCCAACACTGTCAGAATGAGCTACAGCTCCACAGTGAGGATGCCACCTGCAGTGATAGCTACAGTTGTTGTGGACACTGTATAAAATCAGTGACCTTTAAAAATATGTCCTTGGCCAATTAGACCCGCTATCTTACATAACTATAGCAATTCAAGAAAGTGTCCTTAAGTGCTCGGTAAATCACTCACAGTTAATGGCAGTCAGACACAGCCTTTCAGCACACCCACAAAATGATTCTCAGACTTTTAGCTCAAGTGAATAAATGAAGGGGGAGCCTTAAGCATCCAGCTTTATATTCAGTTTTAGATGAAGGACAAATTACCACCGGAGGGAGGACTGTAAAATACCACCCTTGAGTGACTTACTGGTATGTAGCTTGCATTAATGTAGTCTGAGCAAGGGTCATCATCCACATTGGAAAGCTTCACTCTTGATGTATCATCTAGGAAGAAATTGATTACAAGAGGCTTATGGCTAGGTCTTGATTTTCAGTCCCTCTCCCATTTGCAGAAATGCATTTGTGAAAGGGCTGGGAGCATTATTACAAGCATTTTATATAGAGGGCTAATTTAGAGGGATAACTGTTGATATTTGTACTGCCTTTTTCATCCACCAGTGCTGTGGAGCATTCCAGAGACTAGGAGATGGATGGGTGAGAAGGAAGCAGCAAATATCTCAGAGTGCCCCTGTCGAGTTGCATAGGATTGGTTATGGCAACAGAAGAGCCACAAGAGTGTCCTCCTTTGATCCTGACAGCAGTGTGCTGTACTGGAGAGCAGCGCCCAGCACTACCCTTGAAAGAGCTGTAGCGCTTCAGTGGTCTGCACAGCTCCTGAGCTAACATGTGTGAGCGGGCCAGCTGTCTTCCCTAGGAAGAGAACCCTCTGGAGAGAGGCGCAGAGTGCCTAAGCCACCAGCTCACTGATTTGTGAGATAATGCCACGTTGGATCTCAGTCAGGTGTTGTTTGCTGTACATTGTGGGCATGCTCCCCAGCCCAGCCCGGCAGGCAGGACACAGGAGATACTGTGAGGCTGAGCTCCAAGCACATACCACAGCCAGCTGCAGGGCAGCGTGTGGAGCAGCGAGGCAGGTGGTGTTCCTCCTCACTGCACAGCATGTGGTATCTGCAAAACTGCCAGGTAGGAGATTAAAGGGGGAAACTCTCAATGACAGGCCTTGCCTCAGAACAGGGCTAACCTCACACATGTGTCTTATCATGCAGAACCACGCTAACTCTACATTGTATAGCAGGTTTCCTGTGTCCTCTGAAGAAGAAAGATTGGTCAAGGCTGTCAAAAAGCACTGAATGGATGATACCCCGTATGTAAACCACCCTGCTGTTGTTTCTACTATCCTTGTTATCAGCAGTGACCGAATGCCCCTAAAAGCTGGGCCTTTTTCTCCCTAGACTGAATGCTAGTCATTGCACCTCTCGTGTGAAATGAAATTACTGGTCTGTGTGAAGCCATCCAGGGCCATATATCATCTGCCTCCGAGCACCAGAACCTCAGCTGGCAGAGGTATTTCATCTCTGACAGGAAGGAGGGAAGGGATTGGCTGCACTCACTTTTCCACTAGGCTTGCTGAAAAAAGTGAAAAATAGCTGGTGTGATGTAATATTACACAACCAAAGCTAAAACTCACAGGGCAATATATTATTGTATCGATTTTTCCCTCTGTTCTCTGGCAGAAGTGCTATGTCACATGTCTGGTTTCGACCCACATCTTTCAAGTCCTGCAAAAAAAGAAGTAGGAATAAAATGTGAGGTGAAAATAATTACAGGATGTGACAGCACAGGGGGACAGAGTGCTCCCAGTGCTTACCAGCTTTCAAAGGCCATGGATAGAGAATGAGTGGCTTTTTTAAAAAAAAACAAATTGAAATTAAATAGCTAATCATACTGGTTTAAAGCAAGCACATGGTTGGCAGGTGCTTGCCACGCTTTATTACACAGATGTGCCACACAAATGAATGCTCCTGACCTCAGCCACACAGGTGGCAGGCAGAGGCTGCCACCCAGAAGATGCTATGCCAAATGAAGAGCTGGTTTCTGCACTAGGACAAGTGGTATTCAGGTGAGACTCTCAAACTTATTTGGATTTGTGTGACTAAGACAAACAAATGCAGGCCTTTCTAATGCATTAACCCATGGATTCATCCAGCCTGGCCCTTCATAAAGCAAGTCCTTTGCCCAGGTTAGGAACCCACCTCATACTCCTTGGACAGGAGGTAGTTGGAGTCTGCTTGAAGTTTGGTGAAGTGTGCTTCAAAATGACTGACTTTGATCGGACTAAAATATTCAACAGGAGGGAAGAAAATCACAGGATGAATCACAGTCATAATTTATCCAGTTGGTTATCAAGAAGTTTTTTTAGGAATTAATTTTTTCTTTTTACCTGGAAGTTTTCCGGTTCCTAGAAATGATTTCAAAAGAAAAAGAAACACTTCATCAGTGAGTGATCAGATGGGACTTTTCATCCATGATGCCATGTTAAAATACTGCTCTTAGAAACAAAACATTTGATGTTACCCTTTTTGCCCCAAGTTCAGATGGACTGACAGTGGCCTGTCCCTGCGAATGCTCAGCCTTGCTGTAGGTCTCTCATGGCCATTGCTGGAATAAAAAGGAAGGTATTTTGTTTTACCGTTATGTTCTGATACCGGTAAGAGCTGCCAATAACATAACTTGCATTGAAAAAAGTAGGTAAGTTGGAAAAAAGGAATTTTAAAAAAGTCTGTTTTGATTTGTGCTCTGATCATGTGACATCACTCTGAGCTGTGGCACAGAGTTTTGTTGTATTTTAGTTTGGCAATAGCGATGTGGAGTGTATGCATGTCCACAGGCAATAAGACTTTTCTTGCTCCGAAACACTCATAGCCCAGCCTATCATTAAAGAAGGTGTACTATGCTAAGATGGGCTCTAAATCAGTTGATTCTCTACATGCAAAGGAACATGCAGGTAGAGAGACGCCCAGGTTCACAGCAGGAGTAAGTGGCAGCACGACAGTGGGCTTTGGGAAAGCTGCAGAAGTGGTACTGACCCCATGCAGTCAGTGTTGCCTTCCAGCCTTGCACTGCCATCCCCTCCTTCAACACCCCTCCCTTAGAGAACACAACACTTTCTCTTTACGTATAATGAAAGAAAACCACAGCAGTATACTTTCAGCCCTGTTGGCTGTATAACTCACAAGAAGAAACCACGCTCTATCTCAAATTTATCTACACTAAAAAAATGCAATGAGACATGCAAGGTGGAAAACACATCCATCTAGACTCTGCACTCTATCTGCTCTATATGTCACTAGGTACTGAGATGGCTAGGAGTGCACATGACTATACATGCAAAAGCAGACTTTATTTACTATTGCTAATGATTTATGCCTCTTTTTTTTGGATGGCATATAGAGGAATACACTGAATTTGTTCATAGAGCCTAAGAATAGCATTGCTAAAGGGTAAATCCATGCCAGCTAAAAGCTACGACTAGGCAAAACCCAGGTTTTTTTCAATGTGAAATTCTGGCATCTGAAAAGCAAATTGAAAACAAAATAGACCTAATCTTGTATCAGTAGAAGAACTGAATTTCAGATTTTCAGATTTTCCCATGTAATGGAAACGTTGTTTTTTTTTATTTCAGAAACCACAAGGAATTTCACGTCAGTAATGTCATATCTCTTTCTGTCATACAAAATGGCTTAAATGGATAAAGTTTTTTTCAAAGTTGACATACAGTATTTCACTTTCTAAAAACATATTTAAAATTCATCTCTGATGTGAAATATACAACTATAATTAACAAAATAATGAAACGCTTGAACTAATCTTTTGGACAGCGAGGTAATGCCACACCTTAAGATTTTTGAACTGAAATGATAAAGTCTAAATGAACAGTTTCAAGAGCTTCCCATCTACAATGCAAATGAAATTAGTTTGAAACATTTCATTTCTGACAGAAGACATTTAGTTTGAATGATAAACCAGTTTTTCAGAAATATTCAGATTCCTGAAAAGTTACAAGGATCCTCTATGAGATAATTCTGACTAACATCAGTAGGTATTTGAATCAAGAATATATAGATCTCTTAATATGTAATTCATTAGTTTTATACTTAGTGTGTACAGATGTTGGGGGACATAGATATTATCTGTGGAATAGTTCAGTGCATTGCTCCAATTTTACAGTTACACTTTAAATACTGTATTGCTTAAATGAATATAACTTGATCTGACTTCAGCAACAGAGACTGATAAAGGGACTCAACTTACCTAACTTTTTGTCTGCAGACAAATAAAGCAGTAACAGCCACTAACATCACAATCAGAAACAAGCCAGCACTCACACCTTCAATAACTCCAAATAGAGGCTCTAGAAACAGAACAGTGTGTTTATATATGTTGAGGAAAAGATATGAAGAATCAAAGAATCAATAATTTTCAGGGGATATGTTATTTTCAGCTAAAGAAAATGGTTAAATACAAGGAAATGTAAGGTATTTAAGCACTTAGCTGAAACCTGGCCTTGATTTTCTGTCCTTATTTTTTCCAAACATTACACAAAATCTTTCACTCCCCACCAAATAAAAGCAATCACAGCTCCATTTTATGGGAGTTTGGTTCTCTTCCACTTTGAAGCTTTTTTGGTGATAGCTGAGTGTTCACCCTTTCCTCTACTGTCAGCAGCTCCATCAAGCAGTCCTCTCACTTTTCAAACTAAGGATGGATAAACCATGGCTCCAGGCTCATTTCAGAGCAGCCTTCAGAACATGCACAACAATCTGGTTTTCTTCCATTGCTTGCAAATAGTTCTAGATAGCAGAGTGTTCTAAGGCACAATATTTAATCACATGCTACAGTCATTGAAAAACAAGCCTGAAACTAACCTGCCTCTGTAGTGATCGGTAAAGAGAAGAAGGTGTCTGCAAAGAGCGGTGTAGGGAGTTCCTTTGGGTCTTCACTGAAGAGCTGGGTAAAAGCCCGTATGCTGATCCTAAAAAAACAGTACCGTTAGAGCTCATCAGATGTTCAGAACCGACAGCAGAAAATTAAGAACTCATTTGCCCCTTAGAGATAACAACCTTTCTACTGACCGCAGACAGTTCTTAATGCAGGCACCTGAGTTAAATGCTACAGCTGGGAGAGCCCAGCCAGCACAGGGGAGGGCCCTGAGGTGCCCTGGCAGAGGTAGCAGACAGGGCTCTGGCTGCGTGTCCTGGTCTGGGCTGGAATAGAGTTAATGTTCCTTTCTGGTAACTAGAACAGTGCTGTGTTTTGGATTCAGCATTGGGTTTGGTATGAGAAGAATGCTGACAGCACACTGATGTTTTGGGCTGCTGCTGAGATTTCAAGGACTCTCCAACTCCCCATGTCCTGACCGTGCACAAGTGCACAAGAAGCAGGGAGGGAGCACGGCCAGAGCACCAGACCCAATTAAATATTCCGTATCATGTAACGTCATGCTCACTATATAGAGGAGGGGTGCTTCTGGGATTGCCACTGCAGGGTCTTGGTATTTTGGGATCGCTGGCTGGGAACAGGCTGGGTATTGGTCAGCAGGTGGTGAGCAATTGCGTTGTGCATTGCCCGTTTATATCTTCTATTACTGTCATTGTTTTCATTTTATTACCATTATTAAACTGTTTCTACCTCAACCTGTGAGTCTCCCTTTACTCCTCCAACTCCTCCCCCATTCCCAGGTTGGGGGGGTGGGGGGTGTGAGTGGCTGCAGGGTGTTTGGCTGCCGACCAGGCCCAAACCACAACACCACGCCTGAAGGCAGGACTAGCAGAAGCCGCCGTGGGGACAGGACTCAGAACTGCTTCTCAGTGGGGACATGTTTTCCCTTCACGTGTCTGGGCAGCGCTGTGCTAATGAAGTGTTACAGTCCTCTTGGTTCTCCCTGGCAACATGGCTATTTCCCAGACTGAACTCTTGGGAAATGTGCCCTAATGAGAGCAGGATGTGGTAGGGTAGCAGTGTGGATGCTGAAGCTGAGAGGCATTATGTGTGTTGCTTGGCATGTGGCTGTCCAGTGAGCAGCTTGCAGACCCCTTGGGAGAGCATGTGCCTGTGGGAACGGCATGACTGAGCTGCACTGGGGACGTTTGGTCTCACAGCCTGCGAAACTGCAGAGCTTGGTCTTGGCAGTTGCCCTCTTCTACACACTATAGCTAACCTGGGCCTAGCTCTGGAGCCTGGGGATAGTGCCACACATTAGAATAACCTCTAGGTTTTTCTAGCTTGTTCCAAAGGACCAGTGCGGGGTAATGGTGCCAAACAGACTTGCGTGAAGCATCTGTGCCTTCTCCTGTTAAGTAATCTTTTGACTTAGCTGATGTTCTTACGTCTTTCCAAAGAAATATTTAGCAGCTATAAAAGAGCTCCCCATCAAGTTGAGGGAAGTAAATAAGCCTATTCACTGCAAAGAGTTTTGTGCGTAATTCATCATACCACTCCCATGCTAGTGAAGGACTGGTTCGTATCTGTGAAGTGGGGGTATGGATAAAGCGTTTACAAATTCACAGTGAAACACAAAGAATATCATACAACCCAGTTATTAACCTACAGAAGCTCAGGTGTATCAGGCATCAGACAGCTTCATGCCTAATAGTGTGACAGAGCACAACTACCACCATAAGGCTAACCTATAAGCAGTCCGAGGCTTCAGAGGTCCATCGCAGAATTTTTGCTGATCTGGATCACACCTTCCTCCCAGATTTTCCATTTCTCCTCCAAGCTTAATGTCAAAGCTTTTATAGTCACTGTCAGGGTTTTCAGCACATCTACTGGCAAAATAATTTGTCTGGTAGATGCGTATAGAGTTGTTGTGTTTGTACTCCAGGTAGGAAGGTAATGGGTGCTGCTCATCAGGCTTCGGTCCTTCACTACCTACATCATGTGCAGAGAAAGACAGAAGGTTTAGATACCACAGCTGTTAATGTGATGCAGTTTATAGGCTCAAGCTGCTGATAGACATATTCTTATCCAACATTCTAGCATTTCTTGGAGGCTGCACAGGCTACTTTGTGAATACAAAGCTACAGTGGTTAGGGTACCTTGTTTCTAGTACCAATCTTGGTATTATTTTTTCTGGGCAACTTCAGACATTTCCTCACAAGACCTCAGCATAACTTTTCCAGATACAATGCTGCAATAGGCATGCACAGGTTGAATTCAATGCTATGATATTTTTTCCTGTGCTGTTGGTGAGAATTTCTGTGATCCAGATTCCTGGATCCTACCACCCGCTATTTCAAAAAGCAAGTAAAAAAAATCCACACATGGTCAAGTCTACTGTATATAGAGAAAAGCTGCAATAGGAAATGACAGGAGTCCCCTGGATGGAAACTTACATCAATGTATAAAAGACTCAGGTAGGCAAAGTCATGGCAATGAGTAGTCCCTTTCTCAAAGAGCTTTATGGTCTGCTCTAACATGACAGAGTAGACAGTGGAAATATTATCTCTGCTTTTTTTCCTAAGGGCTGATGGACAGAGAGATTTAAAAACCTTCTCAAGGGTCACAAGATATGTCCTGGCATGCCAGTAAATGGAGCCACTTCTAAAAACAAGGTATTAATTGTTGAGACATCCATCTGTTTTGTCACATATAGGTCAGCTGCTGAAAGGGAGGTGTACATGCATTCCACAAGGGCAATTTCTGTTCTACAGTGCTGCACACAGTCATTTTCTTTAGCAGGCAAACACCACCTGGGAGTTTCTACCTTTGCCTTCTCAGCATGGCTTACTGAGGTTCTCCAAAAAAGTTGCCTTAGTGCTCCCATCTAACATTTAAACTACTTCTTGAGATCTGTGTGCAGCAAGACAGTTACTTCTCTGCTCTCTGCCAATGGCATCCAACCTAAGTACTCCCACTGTGGAAACTTCCTGAAAATATGTGAGAGTGTAACCTAAAGTACTGAAGCTAACTAATGCTTCCAGCTGAGCTCTGCAGTTGCTACTGTCTCTCTGAGGAGAAGACTGAGTTCCTAAGTCCCTGGGCTAGGGAGCAGGTAAGATCCAAAACCTCTATGAAACTCAGCCATTAGATGAAGTGAAGCTCCTTTGCTCTGTAGTGATAGGGGTGGACGGGACGTCCCCATGTAATGCCTACAGGCTATAGGGAGAACGGTATGAAATCGTGACACTTACCATCAGCCTCTCTCACAACCACAGTAAAGTACTTCACAGCTCCATTAGTATCACTAAACCAGCTGCAGTTAAAAGTAAAGTTGATGGAGGATTTGGTAATCAGCACTTCTTTTTTGTTCACTCGTATGTCTGGAGGTGGCTGAGGGGGACCTGAGTAATTGGGGAAAAAAAAAAAAAAAAGATGGAAAGCATTATCTATGCATTTGCTGTGAGCTAGACCTAGTAAGGGAAATGTAGTAAGGGAAATGCAATTCATAATAAAGCTCAGCTGACTGGACTCAAGTCTCTGATTCTATTCTCTTTGCAATCGAGAAAGTATCTTCACCTCCCACAGGAAAACTGCCAAAGGATGAAACAAGCCGGCAGTGAGTTAACCATAATAACAGTGGCAGCTCCTCAGCAGGAATTCCTGCAGAAGCCTACATGGAAATGCATTAAAGTCTTGCTAAATCTATGAAATCAGAAACTGTAGCTGCTAAAAATGACACAAGTTTAAGCCAGGTACTTGGAGGCCACTTAGCACACAGGAACTAACTCACTGCAGGAAGTTACCTATTTTAAGCATCTAAATTTTTGCTTCCTTTTCCAGAGGAACAGCCCTGAGTCAGCCAGACACAGCATTCAAATACAGAGTACCATTTTCCAAACTGATTGCAGAATTTCCATAGCAAATGCTCTTCATATGATAGAAAGCTATACCTTGAACAGTGACACAGCAGAAGTAAACTGGAAGGCAAAGTACATAGGGAAAAACCTTCAGTGAACCAGTGCAGCAAAAGTGGGGATTTTAAGGATCTACATTGCTGAATCTTTTAAAAATCTGTATTACTGAAACTATATTGCATTTATGGGAAACATATCAAATATGTAAGCAGGTGGCTAAACTTCAAAACGTTTTAGATTGCAAAAAGAACCAATAATTCACACATTTGTATATTGTTCAGCTAAACCTCTTAGATCTGCAAAGCCTAGCTGTAATTTTTTTGTGTTCTTCTGAGGTAGAGCCTCCAGTGTTAACCAGAGTCTGGGAGAGCAGCAGTGTTCAAAACAAATAAGAACCAATGTGAAGCAGCTAACTTTCAAATAGGACTCAGTCTCACTTCTTCTGACATGAGTAGCTAGTTCTTACTACATCTGAATTTGTAGCATCCTTTGTGGTAGAGGAAGGATATGACATGGTTGCAATTAAAAGGCAATTGATGAGGGAAGGGAGAAGGTGTGTTGGTGACTGAACTCTGTAGCTTAGCTCGCTAGCTCCCAAACCAAACATAATTTTTATGATCTAGTATTTCATACAAATGTGGCTTTTAATAAGCAGCTATAGAGGCATGCCTGAATATAGGCCTCCTGGCCGTCCTGTCATTTTTGAGTTTAGCCCTGGCGTGGTTCAGGCCTCTATGTTGTGCTGTGCCACTGAATCCAGAGGTACTGCAAAAATTAGAGCAGCTCTAGGGCCAGCAATGGCAGGCTGTTGACCACGGTGATGCCTGGCAGTGCAGAGGCACCAGCAGATGCCATCACTACCCTCCACTCAGCAGCCTACAGGTAGAGAAATTGAAGAAGCCATTTGAAAGCACATGCTATGGAAATCTGTGATCCTCCCTCAGGTATAACTCCTACAGGTGATTTGGTCAGGTAGCCCCTCAGAAGAGTGAATAAAAAGCCCAAAGAGGACCCAGTGCTGATGGCTATTTGTGCTGAGGATGACTACCACCCATGAAGGGAAACAGCCAGGCACGGGAAGCCAAGCAGCAACCATGAAGACAATTAAAGGTATGTGATGATGAGGTGCTGAACGTCTGAGTGACAGGATAATTTTCCATGTTTTTCAGGCTGTTATCTTGCGAATGAGCCATATAAGCAGTTCTGGCAATGTAATGAGAGGCAGTACCATTAAAATCCTGCATTGCCTGTCACAACAGGGACCAAAGGACAGCTTCACTCTGTTTTGGCCACCAGATTTCAAGTGTCGCATATTGGCAATCGTGGAGCTCAGAACTCCTTTTACCATCTAACCAGCACAAGCAATTGCTTATTGCTGCTCACTGCCTCCCTTCGCGGCAACTCTGAATTCCACTTACGGTCGATCATTGTGATGGTGCTGTCTTCAACCACTTCGCTCGTCATGTCTGCAGAATGTACCTTGATGGACACCAGATACCTCTTGTGGGGAACGAGGGTCATGATATTAAGCAGAGATTTGTCTTTTTCTATCCTTTTAGAAAATTCCACTTCACGAGTGTCCATTTTTTTGCATTCAACGCTATACCCATCGAAGTCAGAATCGGGAGGAGTCCAGGAACACGCAATGGCGGTAGAGGTCTGGGGCCGACAATGAAGACTTTGTATCTTGTCTGGCTCTAGAGGAACGTTGAGAAATTGAAGCTCAGTGGGAAAAGGGACAGGCATCATACACTCCCTGCTTACCCTAAGGCCCCTAGATACTGTCATCGCCTGACTGATCTGGTTTCCTGGGTAGGATGTGGTGTGTCCATATTATTAAAACATACCACAGAAGTATGTTTTATCCATGTAATACTGGAGCAGCATTTATAATATGCGACATGTAACAAAGATGGGATTTCACTTTCAGATGGCAGACATCTGAAATACATTTAGGCATATATTTAGGTGACTAAATACAGGTGAAAGAGGTAGCCATGTTCTAATTTTAATTAATATGTTGAATGACGTCTAAAGAGCTATTCAGCTTACTAAACACAGATGTCAATTTGGAGCTGAATCCCACTCCCAGTGACATGATGGTCTGCCAGTGCTCAGTTATCTTTACAATTCCAGGTCACTTTTCAGATCAGCCTGCTACTGAGGTTGCTAGAGACAGCTAGAGGTGATGTGGATCCACAGGCACAGACAGAAACACAGACCAGGGAAACATTCCGATTCCAGTTTCAAATCTAGTACAGCAGGGTTTCATTCATAGGGTTTAATTAATCTTTTCTGTCTGATCATTCATAACCATTTTGATTATTATAATATCCTACTGTCAGTGAAGTTTGGATATTCAGCTTTACTTTACGCCTGAAACTGATTAAGACTCCACAACTAAACAGCCCCACTCTGGATGTGAAGAGTGTAAGTGCACATTCATTTTCAATCTTTAAACAGCTGACATTGCACACAGCAAGGGCTTAGAATCTTGCTGAATTCATCACCATCATGCATGCATTTATTAATGGAAATTACTGACTATGAAAGGAATTGGTAAAATTTAACAGGTTTGCACCTTCTCCAGCTGTGTGTTAGGGTGCAACGGAAATTGTGACTTACTCGTTCTCACACTTGCAGATTGTGACTGACTGTATGTCTTCCAGCTGTCGCCACTGACAGTTCTGACACTGAACTCATAGAGTCTTCCTGGTCGCAGGCCATAGATGATGCGTACTTTAGATTTGCTGCTGCTGTAGGGATTGAATACTGTGAGGGGATCCTTTGGAAGCCACTGCAACTCAAAATCATCGTAGTCTGTCCAGTCTGGAGGACCCAGCCAAGTGATTGATAAAGAAGTGTTTGCAACATCAGTAAATGATACAGTGTTAGGAGGGCTGGGTGCTACATGGAAAAGGGGTGAAAAGGAAATAAAAAAAGAGGTGCTTAACAAATTTTCACACAAGACAAATAAGATGAAACATGCATTATTTTTTTCATGTATCACAAAGTGGTTTATATTATCCTGTGTACACAGCCGGTTACTGCATGTGTGCTGACGGTAGTGACTTTCACAGACATTACATATTCTTGAGCCTCTGACAGAAAAACAGTGATGAATAAAATCACACTCCATTGATTTAATATCCTTAAGGATATCCTTTATCTTTACACCCGCAGTGACTCTTATAATAAATTCTCCCTCAGAATAAGTCTGTTGCATAGTTGTGAACTAATATGAATTCTGACAGATGGGACTATAAAAAATCCCAAAGCTTTTGTGTCTTTTACCTGTTCTTCCTTCAGCATTTGCTGTGTTGGTCAGGTCACCACTGTGAGTCACCACGACCAGAGTGTACTTTCTGCCAGGAACAAGCCCCTGGAAATGCCACTCTTTCAGGTCTTTCCTGTGCCAGGTTTCTTTCTGTGTCCCATTTGGGTTGTAAAGATTTAGCTCATAGAAGTCAACATCTCCTGCTGCTGGACCCCAGGTAAACCACAGACTGTCTGTCATGTTTCGGTTGGATGCCTTGAGACCAACAACTGGGGCTGGTACTAAAAAAAAGGAGATTAATATTACTTTATAAAGAACAGCCTTAGCGTGAGGAGAGGCAACAAGGTCAAGCAGACCTTGCACTTACCCTGCAATGACAGCCATGTAATAAACTAGACAGCCACCACAGCTGGCCAAAAAGCCAGGAAGCATCAGGAAGTATATCTCAATAGTTTCCTTCCTTATTTTGAGCTGCTACTGTCCCCAAAAGAGGCTAAAATGTTTATAATAGATATTTTTGCAAATGTTAAACAGCTTTTTCGGTCAGTATCTGGAAACATCCAATTCTGAGGTAGCTGAAGGAAGTGCACCACTGTCCTGAGGCTGTCTTACAGATGGGTTACTATATGGTGCCTCAGAGGATAAATAAAGGTTTCACTGAGTGTCAGGGCTGCTAGAGCTGCTTAGAAAACTTTGCTTCCCACGTGTGGCTGAACAAACATAGAGCTGCAGCCAGAGCTCCCCATGTGAAACAAGTTTTATTTCATTGGTAGATTGTCTACCCCATTAACCCTATTTGCTTTGCCTTTTTGTCTTTTGCACTCATAGATCAATATTGCTTTTAGGATGGGAGACAGCTATTTTCCTTTAAGGCTTGAGCAGCATACAATGGGACATCCTTCTTCCGACCTGAGTACCTGGGAACTATTGTAAAGGTCTTTGCTTCATTTTTCCTCTTGTAACCACATCATTCAGAATTTACCTTCTTACTAGTCTAATGCTTTTCATGTATAAGAGCCAGTTTTGGTATTTCTAATAGTTGCTCTAATCTAGCATGAGCATCAGACTCAGACCAGCTCACTGGTCTCTCCCATGAGCACCACACTGTAGACAGTTTTCTTAGAGGTTCTTGCCTGTTCTTCCAAAGACAGACGACTCGTTAGTGAGGTCTCCGCTGTGGGTAACAATCACCATTCGATACATCCTGCCTTGCCACAGGTTCTGAAATGAACACTGCTGGAGGTGCTGCTCTCCTGAAATCCTGTCATGAAGGGACTTGTCTGGGTTGTACAGGAAGATGTCATATGAATCAAGCTCCCCTTGTGAAGTGGTCCAGCTGAAGGACAGCCGGTCAGTGGTGTTCTCTGTGACCTTCAGATTTGTGACAGCTGCTGGAACTGAAAAGAAGGATAAATGCAAGAGTAAATATCAAAGTGTCTAGCCACTAAATTGAACCTTTAATAAAGTAACAACTCATGGCAGGAATACATTTCAATTAAGCCACAAGTAGCTAAGTAATGTCAACGGCAACTTTCAGAAGCAAGGGGAAAGCGTTTACGAGATGCCGCTGAGTCCCTCCAGTACAATGTTTGTATGTCCCAGCAGGCCTGGTGCTCCAGCCTGTGCTCACACTGAACTGTCTGTTAGTTTCTACGAGAAGGTTTAATTGAATAAAGACTGCAAGACTTGGCTCTAAGTTTAGAGGTGTGTATTCACATCAAATGCTGTGCTAAGAGCCTTGAGACTGTAAATTAAAAACTTGATGACAATAAAGCATTCAGGTAGTTCCATAACACATAGATTGAGGGAAGCATTCAGCACTTTGGTTTAGTATCCTTATTATGAACCACGGCCACATTATTATGCTAACAAATGTCAGATTCACATACTAAACACATATCGGGAAATACGATGCATAAATATCTGGAGCCCGTTCCAACTAGAATCTTTCCAGAATCAAGATATACATATGATTCATGTATTTAATGATGTCTGACTGATGGAACTATAAATAAACCAAGATGTTCTAATTACCTGTTCGGCCAACAGTTTCTGCTCGTTTACTGAAGAGCCCGCCACTGACTGTCAAAACTTGTATTTTATACTTCTTGCCGGCTAATAAATCTTCAAATTTGTGCTGTTTGGCAGTAGCTGGCTCTGATTTGTTGCTCAGGAGGATTCCTTGCTCGTTCAAGAGCAGAATGTCATACCTTTCAGCTACACCAGGAGCTTTCTGCCAGGTTACTAACAAGGAATGACTGCTGTATGCATGATGGGCTAATAATTCCTGGACAGAGGCTGGAACTGGAAGCAACAATTAAAGGCAAGACATTACCAGGTGAAATACGGACCATTCAATACACAACTCTGAACAGAGTAATTAATAGAAAATATCTTTATACATTTGCATGTTCACCTGTGGGAAAAAGGAATGTCTGTGCATGTGTTTACATAAGCAAATAATTCCTAGACATAAATACAATCAGATGAAGTAACAGAGCATCTTGGAAACCTGAACTGGGCATGGAAATTATCATGAAAAGAGGGAGAAGGAGAGCTAGACGAGTTGACCGAAACAGTTAAGAAGTGTATGTGAAAAAGAACTGAAACATAAAGAAGTGGTAAACTGGTGCAAAATAGCATCACAGAATAGAAAATGTTAGCCAGCAGCTGTTGTACAAAAGTCAAGGCCACAGCAAACACATGCAACTGCTAAAGAGGATTACAAACAAGCTGTTCCACTGTTGTGTGTGCTCCGACACGCAGTATATTGGGGCAATACATCATCTAACAAGCCTTGACCATGCAATGGGCTCTGCTAGAACACAGCATTTCACTACATGGAGCTCTGCAGACGTGTGTTGGATGGGTACAGGCAAAGGACTGGAGAGGGATGGAACTCCATCCATCCCATGAAGGCACACTTGGAGCTGGGGACTTGAACTCCAGACACATTCACCCAGGTACAGCTACTTACCTGACACATCTCACTGGTATTAACAGACCCATGCCTAAGGGACTGCAAGAGCGAGGACTCATGCTCTTTGAGATGAAAATGTCTCATGAGCCTGAGTGTCCCCATACCCAAAGGTACATTCATAAACATTATTAAATAAGGGTCAGCTTCTGGGAAGACATAATGCAACTTGCTCCTTGTCTCAAAAGAAACGTACTTGTTCTCCCAAAAGCTGCTAAGCTGTTGTGCAAGGTGCCACTGTTAGATTGCACCACCACCCGGTACTGCTCCCCAGCTTCCAACTTGTGAAACATGTGCTCAGAGACGTGTTTGGAGACACTCTGGGAATCAAGCTGATGGTTTTGCTGAAATATAGTCACGGTGTACGAATCAACATCTCCACCTCCAGGAGTCCAGCTCACTTTCAGGCTGTTTGTCATGCCATTGGGTGACACGTGAATGTTTCTGACCACACTTGGAACTGGGGAAAAAAGGGAACACAAAGGCACCTGCTCACAAATTTCCTGTTCGATACAGACTTTTTAATTCCTACTTTTTTATGGCCGCAGCAAACGACTGAAAGGACAAACAGCATTTACAGGTACAAGTAATTTCACTCGTGGGTAAACACAAGTAAAGCTGAAGACATCTGTGTAAGACTGTGCCATTCTAAAAGCAATTCTATGTGTTTACAGGAACAAAAGTAAAGAAAATGTAAGTTAAACAGAAAAAAGTTTCTATGTTCTTCTATCTGGATAACTACCCTCTTCTCCAAATGATGCTTTAGAAACACCTCAGCTAGTTAGCTGCTTCACAGTTACAACCTCGCACATACATTTCAAGTGGGTAAACAGAGGTGTAAAATAGCTTAAGTGATTTCGCTAGAGATATTAAGCAAACAACGTGCATGCATGGGAGTAACAGAAACCCAAACACTGACATCTCAGTACCATTCCTATGCAATAAATCAGATTATCTGCCAACAATCAAATATTATTAATTGTGATACTTGTTTATTAAGCACAGATCAAGTTGGCTGAAGTACTAGTGTGATTTTCAATGAGATCTGCTGTCTGTGCCAGTGTTACAGAAGCTCAAATAAGATCATGGTTCACCCTTGATTTTCTGTACCTCGTTCTTTCCTCTAGAGAAGCCTCAACTAATTTTAAATACCACATTATTTCTTACTTGTCAGGCCTTCTATGAAAGTAGCACGTTGTGCATCTCCACTGATGGTCAAGACAAGAATTTTGTATAGACGTCCTGGTGTCAGAGCTGTGAACCAATACTCCTCAATGGTGCTCCCAAGGAAAATGGGTGGGAAGATCTTCATATCATTGAAGAGGAGCTGAATCTCATATTTATCAACATCCCCCTCAGCCTTTGACCAAGTTACCTGCAGATCTTCTGTGCTCCTGTTACTAAGAGTCAGTTCCTTCACTGACTCTGGCACTGAAGAGGTGAGAAGAAAAATAGGAAACTTCTCAGTACTTATTACCAGATCACAGCAAAAAGATATCAGATCTGAAGCCATGCTCCTGAGCTAAAATGTTTCATTCCATTTCCTAGGAGAAGCAATAGATTGCACTTATACACAAGGGTTACTGTTAGTGGCTCGCACCATACCTAGCACTGGAAGGTCCCATTTCAGAACAGGGAGTCCACAATCTATCAGCATAAAAGTAATAAACAAATAATAATGGACCCTGTAGGGAGTTTGCATAGTGAATAGATTTTGAGTAGGATCTGCATGTACAACAGATGTGGTGCAGAGGCCTGAGCTAGTGGAGACCTCAGGCAATCCACCTATGTGATGCAGCACCACACTGAGCAGTTCCCAACTCCCGCCAGACACAGGTCCAGTTATTTTTGCCCAGTGCTACATCTGTGTTAATAAACTTGGTTTCTTAGCATGGCTCATTAGCTTACATGTAGCCCTGCGTGAAAACAGGCAGATTGCATCCATATCCCTGCTGGCTCACAGCTATCTACCTTACCACTCCTACCCCACAATCTCCAACTCCAGTTCCAGGGGTAATTTGAATAGAGTGAGGTCTAGCCTACCTTATTCCTTACTTATTTCCATGACCAAAAAAAACTGATTTCTATATTCTGGCATAGTATAAGCATAAACACTGAGCTTATGTGGAAATCTGTACAATTGTTTTTCAGTTTTCTGTTTCAAGATTTGCTTTCCAAGTTCACAGCACGGGTCTCTTCTTTCACTTTCTGTATGTCTGTAACTTAAACATTGGTCACAAACTAAATACTGCTTTCCATATTTGGAATGACACACATTCAAGGAGTCACACTCAGCATTCTATGTTAAAATCGTATGAGATTTTTGAGCCCAGCTATGATTAATAGAAAAAAATCCTGGAGTGTCTTAGGATGTTTCCTGGGTGTTTACTTACTTGTTCTGCCATAGATCCTTTCACTAGTTTCGTATTTCCCACTCTTTGTGCTGACTGTGACACTGTACTGCCTCCCTGGGACCAGATTGGTGAACACACATTCATTTTCATCCTTTGGGACACTCTTTGTTTGGATGAAATCATTGTTGTTCTTGATGATTACTTCATAATTATCAAAATATCCAGAGGCATGTAACCAGGACACCTTCAAGTAGTCACTTCTGGCTGAATTGCTGACAGTAAGTCCCTGAACACTTGAGGGGACTGAAAGGAAAAAAAATACAGTTAAAGATTCAGAAAGCAATAATTTCCCGAAGTGACAGGAGTTGCTGTAGTGGACTATATTTGTGGTAATTACGAGACTTTTCTGAGGAAGTTGCAGTAAGACCACAATGTGGATTTAAGCAATACCCTACTCTCTAAAATAGTAACTGCAGTTTCCAGGCTGCTTTATGTCATATGACAACAGCTTGCCTTTCTAACTTTTGGTCTTTTGGAACTTGGTCAGTGTTGCCTATAGCAGTCAGTTCCACAGGTTCACACTAAACCTGAATTTGCTTCTCCTCATTTAAATGGCTATCACTTGGATTTTCACTTATATCATGAGAAGACTAAAATTACACTAACTTGATAATCTCTGTCTTTTTAACACCCCTTACCATCTTTCTTTTATTCTACTGGATTACCAAGTGTAAAGGCTCGGTCTTTTTAATCTTTGAGGAAGCTTTTAAAAGTTTTCCCTCATTATTGCCACACTTCTCTGAAATTTCTCTATTCCTGTTATAATCTCCTTGAACACTGCATGACCAAAACCACAGACATCAGTGTTACATGACCAAAACCAAGACATGTGTGTTACTCATTTATGTGACACTGTACAATATTTTAGTAGTTAGCCTATCCTATCCCATTATTTCAGTGTTTGAGTAATTTTGGGGTGAGATTCTCTGCAGAATATACATGAAGAGTCAAGTAGATGAGTTAAAGGCAGGAAAGTGCATTTGAGCCAAAAGGAATATACGATTTCTGCTCACTGACAAGGACTGACACATGACTTTCATTCAAGCTAAAGTAATTTTGTGTGATAAAAAGCAGCAGTAGGGGCATAAGAATAAAACTAAGTCGGTAAAGCTGTAATTTCATGGTTTGACCCTCCAAACCCTACTCACCCATCCCAGTTTGGTCAGATATAACCACGGCTATACAAAGTGGTTATGGTGACTGGATTTGCTCAGAGGCTTTCTTTACCTGTTCGTTCCTGGCTGAAGGAATAATTTTCATACTTCCCACTCTTCGTGGTTATCATCACACTGTAAAGCGTCCCAGGGGTAAGGCTGCTGAAGGAGCATTCACTGAAGGATTTGGAAATGGTGAGAGTCTGAACAATCTGGTCATCGTGAGAGAGTGTTACCAAATAACTGTCTACATCTCCAGAAGCTGGCAGCCAAGAAACACTGAGGTAGTCACTGCGACCTGAGTTATTTACTGTTACTCCAGTCACGCTGGAAGGAACTGTGCAACAAAGAGGAAAAACCAGAAGAGCTTTAACTAGCTAATTCCTATTGTTGTGAGAATGCCTGGAATGCTATCCTGCAAAATAAGCAGTCTGGGACTCCCAAGGAGCTCTGCACTGCCTCCCACTCAGCTGCACTCATCTGCTTTTTTGAATACAGTGAAGGAAACTGTCTTTGGTGGCACGATCCCAACGCTTCTAAATTCCCCAAAGATGAGTTATCCTCTCAAATTGCCTTTCATCAGTAATAGCAATAGCTACTGAGGCGTATATGAAGTTGAGACCCATAGCTGAATGTGTTTCATTTACAATGAGTTCTCTGACGCCTAGTGGCCAAAACATGAATGCAATTTGTTTTTCAAGCCAGCAAGGTGAGCTCAAAGGCTCCACAAACTACCAGCACTCAGGTACAAAACTGTCAGTTATTGCAGGGGCAGACCTTAATCATAATAAACTGCCACATTTTCACTGGACTCTGATGCACTGAACTGACTTACCTCAGTAGAGGGGCTGGCTATAAGCTGTCAGAATCAAAAAAATAGAGTATTTTACAAAAAAATATGCTTGTGTACTTTAAGCATTTTAGTGTTATTCTTCTCCAATTCTTTTTCTTTCTTTTTTTTTTTTTGTTTTTTTTTTCCTTTCTTAACCTGGAAAATAGTTGTTTTCAAGAAGAACATTGGAGCAAACTGCGGAATGTCTAGCCTTTGCCAAATTCACATAAAGGGTGAAATTGCACTGTGTTGTCAGCTTTTAGCTCTCTAAATATCCAAAGGACTGGTATTGCATTTCATGAGTCATTAAACTTACAGAATTTGTTGCAATAACAAATTCTGACCTATGCAGTATAGAAGGGCCTCATAGTGAGTAATTAAACCTGCTGGACATTTTTTAATGTTGGATTGGAGAAAAAGAATGGGTCATGAGAGGCTGAGACACAAGTTCATCCCACCACCTTTAGGCAGCTAATTTGCACACCTAAATAAGCAGCAATCAGCCTACACTGTCATCCAGTCAATGGAACAAGAAAGTCCTTTCCAAGGAGTGATTCACCCACCACAGCTGTACATCACTCTCAGGGCATATTTTTGTCTTAACTGCAGTGATCCTGCTGTACAGAGCTCCTGTGGCAGGCAGAGCAGGTAGCTCCCTAAAGCTACATTAACATGAACCCGGACCCACAGTGTGCCTGACGTCACATACAGGAATAATATGTCTGAAACTCATGTATTTCTGAATTCTCAGTGCAGTGGCTTAATCACAAGACCATTCTCTTTAATAAATTCAGCTTTTAGGAACTGACAAAAGACATGCTGTAGTATTTTTCTTTTTACCTGTCCTCCCCTCTGCAATCGTTTGCCTTGAAGATATCCCCCCGCTGACAGTGGTGACAACAACTGAATAGAGTCCTCCAGGTTTCAGGGGGTAGAAGTGGTATCTGTTGGTTTCACTGGGAACAGTCTCATTTTTAATGACAACATTCTCGTGAATCAGTAGCACTTGGTATGAGTCTACATCTCCCAGTGCTCTTGTCCAGTTAGTGAACAAGCTGTTGGTTGATCCCTGACTTTCCACAGTCAGACCAGTCACTTGGGCTGGCACTGCAAAGAAAATTGTCATAATGTTACTGAGGAGAAACAAAATAAAACAAAACAAAATCCCCCAAATAACCCAAGTTTAGTCACACTGAGGAAGTGTATCAAAAGAACATTCCAGTTTGCAGCCAGACTCAACAGGACTAAAAATAATCTAACTGTGGACTGCTTCCTGTCTGATGGGATGTGGTCTATGGGAAAATATCTAAGGCACAGAAAGGTCTTTTGGGTTTTGCACAGCTTTTCTCAGTCAGACCAAAATGATTCAAGATCAGAGAACTGGAAGAGATGGCATTTTATAAATACCATTAAACAAAAGCCATCAGTTTAGGAAATCACTCGGGTTTTTTATGACTACTTCAAATACAGTCTGTGTCTTTCATTCTCCTTTTCCTCTCCAATTCCCCATCCCTCATTCCTATTAAATGGCAAAATAGTTTGATTAATACTTCAGCCACAGTCTCAGAGAAGTGTCACACCCTTTAATTTTGGGGCTGAGACAGATTGTTTTGGTTTTACTTTTTACATCAGAAGATCTGCAGGATACTAACTTTTCTAGCATCAAAAGATGAATTAATTGTTAAACAAACTGAACATTTATCTAAGTTTGTGCACTTAGCCAGACCTAAAAGGAAGAAGAAAGAACAAAAATAATGTAATATCTAGCAAAAATTTTACACCAAATCCTTTTCTTTTTTTTTTTTTTTTAATTTTACAGTATTAGGTCAAACAATGAAATACAGTTATTTCTAGGTATTTCTGCTTACATGAGAAAACACAACTGAAATAAAGAACACTAACTTTACAAAATGTGATTGTGAGCTTCATATCTTGTTTTATATCAGCCTTTTTGCACACAAAGTACTGGATGAGCAATCATTAACAAAACCTAGAAAATTAGTCACATAGCTGAAAAAATGTAACAATAAAAAAAAACGATCAGAAATCCCACCTGGTTTATAATGCTGTCATACCATAGTAAGCTCCAACAAGACACTGAAGTGCAACATTTCTGTGCTAAAGGCACTTTTAGTGGTACCTCAGGCTTCACTAGAAGCTGACCAATCTGGGTTGTGTATAAGACATACTTCTGGCATCTTTACAGAAATATTTTGCAAACCTTCTAAGGTGTCCTATCGCAAAAAAGATTCAGAGGCCTGGAATGCTTAATAAGACCCACGTTCAAATTCAATGATATTTGTTCTTTATCATGTGGAATGCAATGTTGACGCGCTACCCTGCCTGTTTTGTTTTCAGGCATTGATTCATACCAGTGAAGTGGGACACTGTAACCTTGATGCCTGAACAGGCCTCCTAAAGGGGCATAAGGCAGAAGGAAGTGAAATCCCAGCTATCTAATCACAGAGCAAAGAAATGGAAGCGTAAGTCAAACTTTTCAGGCCTTGGAAGGAGTTACAACATTTAAGTAAGGACCACTATCAAGCCATAGGCACGATTAGATTCATACACCAGCAGCTCGTTTTTCCCTGTGCTGTGCCAGACCAGAGCTACACTTTAAGACTTTGCTTGCGCTGGAGAATGCGTAAGTCAAGCAGAGTAAAGCAACACATATGGTTTAAAACTTGCACACGTGCACAAAATTAGCACCCTGCAGGGGGTGGGAATGGGACCTTCCTTGTGTCACAGTCATCATCCTAAGTAACAGATACTGATTCTGGAATCAGAAGAGCAGAGACATACAAAATACATTTTCAAGGTCACATATGTTTTGTGTCTGTCAACCTTGGAATGTTCTCCCTAAAGCAAGATTTTCCTGTGTGGTGGTGGTGTTATTTTTTTTTTCCCAGATGATGAATGCTTTGAATCAAGGAAGTGACCTTCCTGAAGATACCCAGTGAAAATTGTTCTTATATGGAATCTTGTGCTAATGTAGATTGATCAGATGTGACATAATATTTCAAAGGACTGTTTTGCCAGGAATTACATATCCATTTTCCCAACGCCTTAAATAAATATTGCAAGACAACTGAGAGTCAGAAATAAGAGACTCAGAAACATAACTTTTCTATTGAGGAAACAAATGCAAATTCGAGACTGTTGAGATTTAGACACTGAGTTCATTCAGTTCATTACAAAACAAAGAAGGTTGTTAGTGGTTAACAGAAATAAAGATTAAAATAGTTTGACAGGATGATACCTGTTCTTCCTTCCACTGAAGTCCAGTTGCTTAAAATCCCACTAATGGTAGTGATGGTAGCTGTATATTTTCTTCCAGGTACCAAGTCAGTGAAAGTAAATTCTTTAGCTTCTTTTGCAAGCCCTTTTTTGATGACAGTAAGATCCCTGTCTCCCAGTGAAACCACATAGCTGTCCCATTCCGCAACAGGAGTCACCCACATGACACTAAGTGAAGATTCATTAGCATGCTTCACACGGAGCTGGAGAACAGGCTCTGGAGCTGTAAAAGCACACAAATATCACAACGAGAACAGGACTTTGTAGTGAACACACATGCCATATCTCAAGGTGCTGTACAGAATCCGTTCTGTAAGACAGAAATGCGATAGCAGCAAAATATTTATAATCGAGAGGAGATTCTTTACCTTTCTCTAGGAAGCCAATCTTACAAATCTAGTGTTTGCGCTACTCTTCCAGTAAAGGGCTGTAGCAGCAGACTTCAGCAATGCATTACATCTGAAATGCTTGGGTTTAAACTTATGTCAGGTTATATATTTTAGTATGAATGGAAATGCAGTGAAGGCAGTGAGCTTCCTCTTGAACTGTGGGTGCTAGACAGGGATATAAAACATTTGTACCATAAAACAGATCTACACCAATTTAGCTGTAACAAACAAGGATGGAAATTATAGGTTCAGGATGACATTGATTTTGCACTGGTTCATATCTCAGTCAAGTTCAGAGACATTCCAAACTTACAGTGGTATAAAAGAAAGAATTTGACTGGTGAATTTCTGTGTGTGTTCATGTGTGTGTGTGTGTATGCATGCACACAGAGGGCATCTGTTACCTAACATACACCCCTAATCCGATTTTGTCCCTGTTACACTGAAATACAACTCATTTTCCAAGACTGTGGGTTTATGGAAGAGAAAATGAAGTCAGTATAGGGCCTAATACCTGTGCTTCATAACAGGTAAATTATGTACCTGACTGTGGGTCAAACACAGTTGTGATACACCCACTGCTGGATATTCTTTATTAGACCTTGTTCTAATCACTTTGCTGCGTCAATTAAAAGTAACACCATAAATTTAAATTATTTGTAATGTATATCAAAGTAAGCAAGATGAGAATGTGCTTTGCTCTGATCAAGTTGACTAGAAGTTAGAGAAAGCTTCAGTTCTGTAGCTTTTACGGGTCTTGTCATTGTGCAAAATTAACAAAATGAAGCCCTCAGAGGATGACAGGTAAGGGTGTATCAGGAAAGGTGGGCACAAGGATGGGTAAGGATGAAGTGAAGTAGGGTGGCCCTATCTTATCTCCTTCTCCAGTGAAATAAGGCTCGGGCTTGAGCCTTGCCTGATCCTCCTCCTCCAAGTCTTCTTTTCCTTTGAATTGCACTTATTTTGTATTCATAGAGCAGAAACATTAACAATTATATTGCAATTATTTTTTTAAGTTTGAAGCAATCAGATGTGGCTTTGACTAACATGCTGCAAAAGAATTCCACTCATGTTCCTGCAGTGTACATGGATTTCCTTTGCAAAGGCTGACTTGAACAGACTAACTGCATTTTCTTTCTGGAGCACAGGAACAAGAACTGGGATATTATGGAACAGTCATGCTAGGATACACCTCAGCCAGCTTTGGTTAACATCATTGATATATTTTATACAGGTTGGCAAGAAAACCGGTTTGACACTGAAAATACTGATGAACAGTACAGGAGGACCTATATTGATCACTTTAAGAACTATGTAGGGTGCCTGCAGTCAGCTACAAAATATAACTGTGAAATGTTGTACATGTAGTGTAATGCCTCAGTCATGACAGAATGGTGATATAATCCCCAAAATTTTCACTAAGAAAACACCACAAAAATAACCCTGAAATTTTTCACAGGACTGCTAAAACTAATTATTTCTGTTGTTTACAAGGGATCTCCTTTTTACTATATTAATAGTAAAATTCATCTGTGGATTTCCAAGTGCTCTTTCTTCCTCCCTGTCCACAGAGCCCAGCTGAACATTTTGTACTTTCACACTTCCCAGACAAGCACACTGACCTGTTCTCCCTGTGCAGCTAGTCCTGCTCTGCAAATCGCCACTCTCCACGACCACGTCCACGTCGTACTGCCTCCCAGGGATGAGGCCCACGCCGTGGATGAGGTACTCGGTGGTGTCCTTCTCGAGGGTGGTGTTGAGCACCAGGGCTGAGCGGTTCCACAGGAGCAGGCGGAACCTCTCCCAGTCTCCCACAGGGGGCAGCCAGTTCACTCGCAGAGACCTCAGCCAGCCACCACCACCGGCTCTCAGCTCAGAAACCTTCTGGGGAACTGAAATACAGAGATTGAGAGAGTAATTCTGAAGGGGGGGTATTTCTGGTAAGACGCAGCTGCACACTGCCAAAACCTGTCTCGCAGCACAGCTATTGCAGAGCACCTGGATCAGTGAGAGCAACGTGAGGCACCTTGTTACAAAAGTTGCAATTCATTTTAAAGATAACTTTTACTCTTCCCCACACAGACCACTCAGTTTTTCACTGTTGGTTTCTGACATCAGAAATGGGGAGCCCTTCTTAGGGTAGACAAAATCGCCCTCATGCACTTCTTGGATGCAGCTCGCATTTTTCAGTTAGCTTCCCATTCTTCTTCCCGGACTTAAGCTCACTTAGAAACTGTCAACCAATTTTTCAAAGCTAAGGCCAAAGCTTCAACCGCTGTAGGCCAAATTCTGGTCTCAGCAGCAGAAATACAAAATCTGATGGCTTCTTCCACAAAGGCCTTGTATGTTCTAGTCCTTCCCAGCTGTAAGGTGCTGAGGTTCAAACTGAGGTTCGTTACAACATCCACTCCACCCTGTCCTCCACTTCAAGGGTCCTGAATTTACATGCTCAACCTTCCTGCCCTACTGCTGCAGGTCACACTGGACCACCAAAGCTTTTCTGATTTTCATAGAATAATTAAATAGTAACCACACCAACTGGAGACTGAAAGACAGATGCAGACCCTTAGGTTAGGATACCTATAGCTCAGTGTTAAGATACTCGAGCAGCTTTGGAGCCCTGAGACCATCAGCAAGTATTAACTGCAAACTACAAGGCTGGAATCATGTTCTCATGTTTTCTCTGGCTTAGTTAATATTTAATTGCTCAGTACCTAGCAAAGGATTGACAGATTTCTACCAGCACCACAAATACTTACGTTTCACTTCCCACAGGCATAGCCGGGTATCAGACCTAGATATCCCACATGCCAGTGAATTTGGGAGATGTGTTTCAATTGCTGAGTGAGTGGGTAAAAGCACACAGTGTTTTATTAGGAAGCATGGATGTACTTACATCGTAACAGATAAAGTTCAGCCTTGTCAGACTGGCTGGACATCATTACACCCTTACTGTACAAAGTTTCAGCCCCTGAGATTGTTCATATTCCTTGCCACAACATTCCTCAGCACGTTCTGCTGCTGTGGGCACCCTCTAATTACACAGTGATGTAGATTATGTTCGTGGGCACCAAGCTCTCTCTGCAAGTTACAGAGGGATCCTAGGAGGATAACCCCTTCTGTGTCTGTAGACCTGACAGCCTGGATTTACAACTTTATCTTTAGGCCACAAATCTTCTGCTGAAGTGACTCTGTTTTCAAAGCTCTTGGTATCTATGGAAAAGTCAAGGGGAGGAATTGCACATGATCAGCATCCTTGGAAACGGGACTTCTAGATCCCTGACTTTGAAAGTACTGGGTCTAGGTCACAAATCTGGGGACCAGTGATTTGAGTGAGAGCCTGAAGCTCTCCCTTCAGATGGAAATGGTAACTTAAAGGTCTTTAATGGTAGTCTAGACAAACAAAAAAGACATGCATGTAACCAGTCCAGCTTTGTACTTACTGGACATGAAAGGCTTTTCAGGTCTCTTCCAACCTGCACTGAGAGTGGGGTAGCAGCTAAATATTTCAAGGATGTGCCTTTTACACAAGATGTTTAGCTGCAGATGATAAATATTCTCTAAAATAAATACTCTGTGCTCTCTCCCTCTCTCACACACACACATATTTTATATTTTTTGGCTCTGAGCCTACTAACAATTTATGTATGTATTCTTCACCCACTTATATATTTTTTCACATGTAAATTCTGCCTGGGTTAGGCTGGTGTGGAGAAGATGACACACCTTTGTGGCCAGTAATCCTGTGGGAGAATTATGCCAGAGTTTTTCAGGTTCAGAATTCATATAAGAGACACCTGAAAGAAAATTATACTTCTGAAAGAAGATAAACAAAACATAACCCAGCTATGCCCAGGCTGCATTTGCCTTCCTTAATCCACGCTGTTGGTGGTAAAGAAAGCCAAGACCTAATCTTTTCCTATTGGTAGATTTGTGTCTGGAGCAAGGTATAATACTGAACCTTGCAAAATTACTTAAAAATCCGTTAACAATTTGATTACATGCAGACTTCCCCACAATGTGACTCACTTTATATACTATGCTGAGTTGAATTCAAGACAACAAAGTTGGTCGGAAGTGCAGTAGTGTGGAACAGTTTTGTAACAGACTGACCCAACTATAAGGTCCAAAATGCGTTATTGTTTCCTGCTCCCAAGCTCTGCTGGAGCTGCTTTTGGCTGCCAGATTAACTGTTGCCAGAGAGTCAGGAAGGGGTACTCCCGGAACAATATATCGTGCTCTTTATCTTATTTTGCCTGGAATCCAAATAATTTTGTCTCCTACAATGATCTTCTACAAGGCCAGTGTAGGCAAAAATAACATTGGTTACAACGTTCTTACTGAAGCAGAAGACTTACATGTCCTGCCAGTTGCCACCCGATCAGTAAACAGTTCACCACTGATTGTGCGGGCAGTAACCTGATAAAGACGTCCTGGAGTCAGCCTGTCAAAGTGAGTCTCTGTGACCGGTGGCTGTAGAGTTTTGACTTCTTTAACTGATCCAAGATGAGACAGAGTGATATTATAGAAATTGAGGTTTCCTGAAGGTCTTCTCCACTTAACTTTTAAAGCATCTACGCTGTCATCGTTAGTCACCGTCAAATCTAGGACTTCAGCTGGGGCTACAAAAAAAAATAAGAAAGAGAAAAAAATACTTCTACCACAGAACATATAAAACCTGCTACCTCCAAACTACGATAGTTAAGTTTTGCTTTTGAATAGTTATATGAGATGGAGCATGAATGATTATGCCTGAAGAGTGAAAGGGCAAAGTCTGGTCACAGTGAAACTGAACCCAGAGCTGTTTAAGATATTCCACTGCTGAGAGACACCTCTTACAATGCCCACTCTTGTTTCACAGAATAGAAAATCTGTTAGCCATGTCTGCAGTCACACTAGTCATTTTGACTATAAACCAGACGAGGCACATGCTCCTAATAACAGAGATGCCTTCATACATTTTGGTAGAGTAGACACTACAGGATCATTGGAACTATGTCTGTTCTATACCAGTGTAGAAGGGATTGGAGTCAGACTTCTTTATTCAAATGCTCCACCAGAAAAAAAACATAGTTCTCTTCAATATCTTCCCTTCTCAGGCTTGGAGCACACTAGGTACTGAAATAGAGGACCACAATGCAAGCTAGATGGAGTGCTTTTATGTTCTCAGAAACTCAGTGAGATTTAAAATTTCTGCACCCCACAACAGGAAGAAATAAAAAATTCTGAAGAAATAAAGTGCAGCAAGAGTATAATTCCCAGAACAGCCAGTGATAGGTGAAAACAGCACTCATTCATGTGCCCTAGACACCACAGTATTGCTCACTTAATATTAAATTAGATCTACGCAGTGAGATTTCAGTAGAAATAGCACCTTACATTTCCCAGAGATTAAGGAAAGCAAAGGCTTGACCCTGGTTTTGCTTACATGAGTGTTTTAACCACTGGAATCTAGTAGGGTGTCAATTTATCTTTCTCTGTATGACCACAGAACTCTATCCTGAAAAATCTTCCTGAAAAATAATTCATTTCTAAAACTCTGGTTCTGTGAATCAATACTCCTCTGTGAAAAAAAAAAACCAAAAAAAACCAAAAAAAACCCCAACAAACAACAACAAAAAAAAAAAACAACAAACCAACATTCAATTTTAAAGTTCTTAACATGCTGTACATTTTTTTTCCCTTCCTTTTCAGAAGTGCAGCTATTTTGCAATGCAGAGAAAAAGTCACAGAAAGTATTTTTTTGCAAAACTCACAAGCTCTACATCTCCTATTCAGCTAAGTAAGAATCATGGAGTTAAACTGTCTTCACTACTGTGAAACAACCAGACTACACACTGCCTCAGTTCATTGAAGAAGTTCATACAGGAGTCAGATGAATCTCATTCACAGATACGAGGTGACAGTAGGGCACTTGGGCTCAGATTGTTAACACCTAACTTTACATGTTTAATGGAGCTGCCTACATTAAGCAGTGCAGATAAATGAGCTGCAGACATCCTACAGGCTAATTTAGCCACTAACTTTGCAGCAGTACTCACTTAGGGAGCTAAATAAGCTTATGGTGTCTCTACCTTCCTTTATAGCTTTTGGAGAAACACCTGCCAAATGTAATTCAGCCACTGAAGGCTGGGAATATACACTTGGAACATGAATCATTTATTATTCTGAAATATGTCCTGTAAAATTATTAGATTATGGCCTTAGTGTTTTGTTCTGTTCTGATGAATTCTGAAATGATACCTGTCCGGACTGTTTGTGAACTGCTGCTCTCCAGTCCTGCAGCCTGGGTTATGATAGTGAGGTTATATAGGTGGCCTGCTGTAAGTCCTGTAAAAGTGTAGGAGGTCAGAGGATCTTCTTGGTGAATTTCATGAACTGTGACATGATTATCCAGTAACACCAGCCTGTAACAATCCACATGTCCAGAGCCAGGAGACCATGAAACATGGATAGTGTCTGTCTTGACACTGACCTGAATATTTTTCACAGGGGATGGCACTGTTGGAATAAAAAACACATGCTTAAGGCTTAGTGGTTATCTCCACAATTTTAGCAATTTTGAACAGATTTACTTTGGAAATATGTTGAGTTTCTTTAAGGTTAGTGAAAACCCAAGGCCAAATTCATATCCAAATACACCATAACAACATGTCTCCATTCTTAGCAAACAACTCTTTGCTTTAATCAGAGATTCACATTTTGTTTATTTCTACTTATAATCAGTATATATTTACACAGATATATATGTTGCCAGGTAGAAGACTTGTATATATTTGTTTCAAAATGCAGAACTGCAAAATACTGTAAGTGGTTTTATTTAGATGAACTACAGTAAAAGAAATCCTACCAGTAAATCCACTTATGTGAAGTTCTGGGGTACTCTTATTTCCAGCAATTGCACTGAGGACAATGGTGTATTTATTCCCAGGGATGAGACTGGAAAACGTATTTTCTGTTTTTGAAATTCTTCCTGGTAGGGAGACTTCTTGTATCTTTTTATTATCGTGATCAAATAATACTAGGTTATAGGAGTCCACCTTTCCATCTGAAGGATCCCACTGAACCTGCAAGCTTGTGAGTGTAGTTTTTTCCTCATTAATTTCAAAACGAGGTGGTGGTAAGGGATCTGTAGTTAAAAACAAAAAAAAAAAACAACAAAAAAACCCAAACAAACAAACAAAAAAAAAACAGAAAACATAAACTAGTATTTCTTGCATTGTTTTACACAACAGCACAAAAAACCTTCCAAGACTCTCCCTTTATCATCATGATGCTGCCAATGCTTTTCAAAAAGTCTTTTCCTTTCCATTTATAAACATTGTATCACTGAAACCTGTCCAGAAGAGAGTCCTGCAGAATTCAGAAATGTCACTTGTGTGTATGTGTACACACTCACACACACACACACAGACACGCTGAAAACCAGTTCCAGTAGTGGTTGTATATAACAAGCTTGGAAATCTGCTGATAGTAAAACTGTAAGAACTTTAATAAGAAACAGCAAACATGAAAACCCAGAAAATTACACTCAGTGCCTCACTGTAATGTAGCTTTATAGATACATTGGTATCAGTGGCCTTCATTTCCTAGCACTCATGCTAAACACTTTATCAGTAATGGGCACGAGCATTTATACAATTTTAAGGGCAACAATCCTTTGGTTTTAGTATTAATTTCAACCACTTCAAACAGATTCCAATAGAATACGCTTCTGCTCTGCTGTAGTATTGTTCATACAAATTTTAAAAACCCCAAACAGTATATTAGATAAACTTTTAGGAACTATATTTAATTGGGACTCTTTCTCTGAGAAAGTCTCAACATTTATTACATTGTTTATTTAGGAGCTCTCAAGTAAAATCACCTGTAAAATACAATACACTCTAAAGGGATGGCAAACATTAACCAAAACAAAAGACTCTGGTTGTTTGTATTCTCTAGGTGTATTTCATCACTCACAAGATTTCATGCAAATCAAAAGTATTACATGTTGATGTACTATGGCATTGACATGTCTCCCAATAAGGTTAAGCAATTGCATATTAAAAAGGTATCATAAAACAACCCAGAGCAGCAAAATCAAGCATTCAAAAGTTGGGGAGTTAAAGAATAAAGGTTTCTCAACCATTTAACAACTAAATTTGGCTTCCACATGAGTACCCTCTGTGCTACTCCTGCCTAGCATCAGGCAGGGAGTGTATGGTGAATCCAGTCAGAACTGAGGTCTCTGTATGACCAGGGCCTGACACACAGAAGTTTAGGACCGTCTGTCTAACAGTCATTGCTGCCTGGTTCCCTGAACAAGGCAGATGAAGGACTGTGAGATCACATAAAAACTGAACCTTAAAGGCTGAAAGGACAAAGCCAAACCTCCCATCACCCTCCAAATACAGCGGTAGGCGTATCACGGGGCTAGTAGCCTTTAAGCTGTTTTTTTCTTCAAAGCCTGGATGGTGCAGAGAGTTTAATCGCTCCTTACAAAGCTCTGCTGAGAACATACTGGTGCCAGGTTTTGGTGGCATGCTCTGTCAATCAAGTATATTAGGAATAACAAGGGAGTATCTCCTTCCTTGGGGACATTGAGAAGCTGTTTGGGCATGGTCCTGGGCAACTGGCCCTGCATGAGAAAGGGGCTTGGACCAGACGACCTCCAGAGGTCCCTCCAACCATAATCATTCCGTGATTCTGTGACTCTCTGAAAAATACTGTGTCCCTCTGAACCCAAGTCTCTGCCTAAATTCAGATTCTTGCTTTGAACCACAGAGATGCTAGTGCTCTTCAGAAAAAGAGATGAAAATTGAATTAACAAAATCAATAAATAAAAATAACTATCTTCTTTTCTTGACCGCTTTCTTAAAGGCCAAACTAACTCTGCTTAAATATAAAAAAAAAAAAAAAAAAAAATTAAAACTCAAGTCAAAGACCAAGCATATCAAACTTCAGGCCAAATAGTTAAAACTTCCCCCAGTTACAGCAGTTGAAACAGGAGGTTTTAATGAAAAGTGTCAGGAAATCTTAACAATAGGTTTGACTACCAGCTCCACCTATAATATATACTAAGCCATTAAAGACTATTATGTTGGCAAAAGTGAGTAGTGGGGGTATAATCTTGTTCCTTGAAGGCAATTGTTCTAATCAGAAAGGTCAAACTTTGGGAGGCAGAAATAAATTCCAGAACTATATATGGTCAGATGCACAGCCAGCTGAAAAAATTGTAATTTGACTGATATCAAGAGAACAGTCATGATAACTGTCAAGAAGTTTAACTCTTTCTCTGACAAAGTCAGGATAAGGTTGACTGCTCATTAGTCCTGCAAAAGTAATCAACATTGTAATCTGTATTATTTGCCAAATTCTACAAAATATGACATCTACATTTTTATAAGGGTTTATACTGTCCTGGGTAATCTGTCTTCTAAGGTGCATTAGCAAAGAAAAGAGTTGCGTGCCTAGAAGGTGAAGTTCAGAAATTCAGACTTTATCTAATCTATCTGGTCCAGAAAACAAAACACTCAGTGCTTTGTACATCCGCTGGAACAAAGGAACAATGAGATTGGGAAGTGCCTGGGCTGAAAGAGCCCTGGATGGAAACAAACACTTAAAAAGCCATTTACATTGTTATACAAGTCTCTGCTGGCAACGGTACAACCTGATATATCACAGAAATAAAATATTTTCACAAAGATATTTTTATACCATTTGGTACTATATGAATTAATGTCTCCTGGTCTACAAAGGAATCTTCCAGAAGACTTAATGTTGTTTGAATTATATTGCACCTCCATTTTCACTTCTGGGGGAGAGAATATGCTTTGTGTGCACAGCTGCTAGATATATTTTACTGAAATTATAGATAAGGCTATGTCCAATCCCAATAACATGACTCGCAAATACAGCCTGTAAGCACAGAAACCCGTGCCTCTGCCTTATGCAGGAGAATAAAAATAACAGAGATATGAGCTCAGGACTGAGTAACGAGGAAGTCCTGCCGTTCTCAGCCATCTTCCTACCAAATTATCCATTTTTTTCCTAGTCTTCCCTATTCATAGAACAGGAACCTACTTCACAAGGAATTTTCTGAAGATTAAGTAAAGAGGGTTGATTTCATTGTTCTTAGGTACAAATATCCATTTCTTTGGGATGATATGCAACCTAAGAAATCTTTAAAACATGGTTATTTATTTTCTTCTCGTACTCTGACTTTTGAAACGATGATCATAACCATTACATGATTATGGATGATAGGATTATACAGCCCATAGTCAGAGCCATGTCACAGTAGTTGTTCTTACAGATGGCTAATAAATCACATTTGTCCCAAATAATTTGAAATTTACAGGGGTGAACACATGACCGAGCCATGCTCTTGGCATTTACAGTTACATATTACAATGGAAAAATACTCTACCGGTCTATGTCTTAGAAGGTAGAACTTTTAACCTCTTTTCATTCAAATATTTAGCAGTTTTTCTGGCAAAAATTTATTTACCTGTTAGTTCTCTCAGTACAGGTGGCTTGGATTAGGCAGTAATATAACATATCACTGCAATATTTTTGTAGAAAACAGAGCTGAAAATGGAATTTATATGCCTATTTTAGAATATATCTGTTAAAGCTGGGGAATTGCCAAATTGTGTTTTGTGGCTCCCAAGACCAGTATCTCAAATCTGAACTTCAATTCAGAACTGAAATTCATAAATTTAACTGTAATTCAGAAGCTGTTCGTATACTATTGTTTTTAACTAGAATTTTAATTAAAGAACCAGTCATTCACTGAAAATACACTACCAAAATACACAGTTAAGCTGGTGCACAGACATTTGGAGAACTGAGAACTTAAAAAGTATTTTATCTGAAATAAAGAAAGACAGAACCCTACCACCTTTTGTCATAGAGTAGCTCTCAGACACAGAAATAGTTCTACCGAGAACAATAAAGAAGATAACATGAAAGGACTGACAGGTGCATGTGTTGTCCCAACTTTACAGTGTTAAACATGCTGACTAGTTGTATGGTTTTATGTGCTGTTTTATGCATATATATTCAAACACATAACAAATGGAAAATATTAATGTGAAAGAAATGTGCAGACTTGTGCTACTAACATCTGTAATCTCAGGTTTGCAGTGGAAAATTTATCTGTAGCTCAGAGCTGATAAATGGTGTTATCAGCTTTTTCTTCATTTCCTATTCTACCAAAATAGCACAACTGCCAACATTATATGTGTGTTTGCATGCCTATGTATACCTGGCTCATATAGTGCATACGTGATTGTATTTTCCATCGTTCTGGAGAACCTATTTATTTCAGTTCTGCTCTAGAGGATTAGATACTTGCCATTTTAAATTGATAACCCGTAGGTCAAAATTTCTTGAGCAAAGAGACTCCACCTTAGTGGACCAGTGTGTATTATTGTACCCAGTATTCCATACATTATTAGATTTCAGATCTCCGCATCCACAAGTGAAATAGAAGCTGCTTCTCCATTCAAAGATTCACAATGGGTCTGGTGTTACTTGAGAGGTTACAAGGTCTTGGTGAGCTACACACTTATTCAATTGGAATATCAAACTTGCAAACAACATTGACTTAACTCATTGTCATACTATGATTTTAAGGTGAAATTAAATATTCAAAAGGACAAAGTAATTTAGGGATTTGGACTTCTCCAAGCCTTCACATTACAACTTTGACTACGGTATGCATTATTCATTGCTTTCACCTTGAGTTCTTCGAACAGATCACACTCAAAATATTTAACAAAATATTTTGGATTTTATGGGCTTAGATACTCCAGCACTTTGTATAAGAAACATGATGACAACTGAACTCGTAATAGGAATGAGCACACAAAAATTTTAACAGGATCGAATATGAGCAGAAACTTGAAGTTTCTGAACTAGGTTTACAAATGAATCTGCAATTTTCTCTGTGTACATTTATTGTATCAAGATGATACAGAGGTTCAAGACCTCATTTTGCAAAAGTAAACACATGAGATGGGATTCCTCTTACTTAACTTCAACCATCTAAACTTTAGGTGCCTGATTTAACATAGGCTCCTTTTACAGTCAGTGGAGAAAGCTGGGCACCACCGAAGAACAGCATAGCCCATCTTTCTTAGACAAAGAGCTCAGGAAGGGGACCTCACTGAGTACTAAGGTCAGACATATTTTTAGACAGTCCATGATAGCTCAGTCCCATTACCATTCAAATCAGTGGGAATTTTGTTTACAATATGGCTGAAAACATTTCTCATAATTCCAGGAAGACATGCCTGTGGACAGTCAGGCTCAGCAGATCGTTAAACAAATCTACTGACATCAAGTTGCAAAGGAACAGGTGAAAAAGAGCTTCCATAAAACTGGTTTAAAATGCTGCCCCTAGTGGAAACATAGAGAGGAATAATCCTCCCTCATTCTGCACTAGAATGCATAGTATTGACAGTACAACATGGGTCGTTGACAGGCATAACAAACCCTGTATATTCTTCAGAAAAAAAAAAAACAACACAAAATTTTGGAGCTGATGGTGTATTCTGAACACCATCAAGCAAAGCAACTGATATGACTGAATCAAGGGAAGCAAGGAACCCTGGAGCGATCTGAGTAGCTGTCTTTGCAGGAAACCTCCACGGTTCCTCTATTCTTATTTCAAGCTTTTGACTTATCTCTGTATCTGAAGTCCAAATGTAAACCTCATTTCAACTATGGTCCAGTAATTTGCAACATTTAAACTTAAACTTAAATCAGTCTTTTCACTCTGAAGTCAGCTACATAATATGAGTACAATCAGCAGTTTCTTCCAATCACTTTTATCTTACAAACTTGCAAAATCTATTTATTGATAAAAAAAGCCATAAATGACATGTTCAAGCTACTGTCTAAATGATTATGCATTAATCAAAATGCAATCTAAAGTGGTATCTTTTCCTCTACCTCTGCAAGTGTCCAATAATAGATCTCTACTATCCAGTACCAATGGTGACTTATACCTGTCACTCTGGTAATAGTTGATTTGTTCTTTCAATTTTCAAAATACAGGTCATCAATATTAAAAACTGCTGGCATGATGCATGACATGGATTTAAATCACTGTCTGCATAGAAATCATTACTCATTTTTACCAAGTGACATGACTTGTGCTTATTCTATAGCTATCACACCAGCAGACTCGTCACTAGACATTTTTAACTTGAGTTACCAAAGCAAATTAAGAGGGTATTTAGTGCATTTGTACAGTTAATGCAGGGAAAAGTATCTGACAGTAAACGATGTCTCTGAACTGATAATTGTTAAGTATTTGGCTGCTCTAATCTTCAATACTAATACTGCAAAGTACCTCTCTGAAACAGGAGCAAATCAGGGAGGCATTTCATGATGGACCTCATTTAAGACATCTCACTTCTGAGTCTTGTGTTACCACCGTGAAGAGGCTGGATAATACTATATTTCATCCTCTTTAAGAAAACACTAATACAGGTAGAAAGAGTCCAGTTCTGTCACTGCAGCTGGTGGCTCTATGTCGTTCACTGCTTCACAGCTGAGCTGTTCACATGCACACACAAACACATATGCAGAAAGGGGGCTTTCCTTGGCAGCACTCTGGCAGGCTGCTGGAACCTTTTTACAGCCAGTCATGGATGTGACACACAGTTGTGCTCTGCACACAACTGTACATCATAACACCTCACTGGTTATATTCAAGGAAAACATACAAGCAAGAAGTTTCAGCCTTGCTTCCTGACTTTTAGACTGGTTAGAATAAAAGTATAGAAATGGGTTGAAACAGTAAGTTATCCTTGAACAGGATCTACCTGCCATGAAATAGATTGTATTTTAAACACAGTAAAAAAGCTGTCACCTGAGTAACTATGAAGCCTATAGGTTTGCATGAGCACAAATGATGCTACAGGCTGCTACTTCTTAAAGTATGCTGCTGGATGGCAGCTTAAGGGGGCAGCTGAAAAGTACTCCCAGCACTAATCGTGCCTCACAGCACCTTCTCCTTTCAAGCCTGCTGGGTTAACTTTTGGCAGCGTGTTTTTCTTGTTTTGGTTTTTTTATTTTTTTTTTCCCTGGCAGTGAGGTAAAGAAAACTCACGTATTAGGTATGTTCGGCAAACACCGTAGGATTACAGTAGCTGTAAACGCATCGCCCTCCTCTTTACGGCCGGCCGAGGCAAGGAGAGGGGAAGGAAAAGCCCGGCGACCCTCCCCGAGCACCTGCCGCGCCCTCCGCCCGTACCTGTCCGCACGGAGATGTTGACCGCCTCCCCGTCGGCGAGCGGCTGGATGCGGAGGCGGTACCAGGTCCCGGCCCTCAGGTCCCGCAGGGTGCAGCCGTGGGAGCCGTTGCCCGTGGGGGCGGGCTGGCAGCCGGCCGCCTCCCCGTCCTCGGAGCTCCCGCTCAGGCTGAAGTTGCAGGCGCGGCCCGCGGCGACCCACCGCAGCCGGACGCTCTGCCCGGCGACCTGCCGCTCCGTCAGGTTGGCGCTGCATCCCGCCGCCTCCCCCGGCGCGGCCTGCGGAGAGCGGGGAAAACGCTGAGAGACCCGCCGGTGCCCCGCTGCAGCCCCCAACAACCTCCCCCCCCACACCCCCACCCCGTCCCCGCTGCGCGCTGTGGGGCAAACCCGCCTGTGCCCCCCCCCCCCCCCCCACCTCCCCGGGCTCGGCGGGGACCCGAGGGGCGACCCCGCACCGCCGTCCCCGCCCGCTCACCTTGGTCAGGGCCAGCGCCGTCCACAGGGCGAACCCCGCTCCATAGCTCAGCATCGCCGACAGTTTTTAACCCCGAGAACCCCTCGGGGGAGGGGAAGGGAGGCGGCGGGGGTGGGCGCGAGGTGGGGTAGGGGGTACGAAAGAAGCGAAGTGGCCGCGGCGGGCCCCGGGGGCCCCCCGCTCCCCGCCGCCGAGCCCTTTGCCGGGCCGCCCGCTCGCTGCATACGCTCGGGGCTGCCCCGGCCGCCTCGCCGCCTCCCTGCCACCGGGGTGGGGTGGGGGGGCTGCCCGCCGCCCGCCCGCCCGCCCGCCCGCCCGCGCCTGAGGAGGAGCGGAGGAGGCGGGGGAGGCGGCCGCCGCTTCCCACGCTGCCATTCTGACCCGGGCTGACTCTGCCGGAGCCCTTCCCGCCGACTTCCGCAATCAAGAGGCGATTTCCTCGCGTCTCGCTGCTGGGGGCGAAACGCGGCGACCCGGGACCTGCCCCCCCCCCCCTCCCCGGGACCGGGGGGGCGCGGGGGGGCGGGCGGCTGGTCCCGGGGTGCCGCCCCTCGCTCCTTGTGGGTCCCACCTTCCTCCCGGCTCCTCTCCCACCCCACCTTCCTTCCTTCCTCGCCGCTTCCTCCCCGTGTCGGCTCTTCCCGTGGGGCTTCTCTCCCCGCGCTCCCCATGGCTCCTGGGGACCCTCGGCCCCTCAGGTGGGGCGTTGTTGGTGGGGGGCGGCAGCGCTCCCGCCTCAGGGGTGGCTGCACCTCGCTTGACACCGCTTTGCCTCGCCTCATGGCTGCCTCGCCTCGCAACCGCCTCTCATCGCATCGGCCTCGCCTCGCATCTGCCTTGCCTTGTGTCTGCCTCGCCTCATGGCTGCCCCGTCTCAGACTTGCCTCGCCTCACACCCGCCTCGCCTCACACCCGCCTCGCCTCACACCCGCCTCGCCTCACACCCGCCTCGCCTCACACCCGCCTCGCCTCACACCCGCCTCGCCTCATCGCCGCCTTGCCTCGCGTGCCCCCTTCTCCTCACGTCTGCCACCCCTCACGGCCACCTCGCCTCACGCCTGCCTCCCTTCATGGCCGCCTCGCCTTGCACGCCCGCTTCTCCTCATGCCTGCCACCCTTCACACCCACCCCATCTCCTGGCCCACCCTCCTCTTGGCCTCAGCCATCCTTAAACCGCCATTACACCTCCCGTGGCTCAAACGCTGAGGTTTTTAGGGGTTAGCCATGGACCACCGAAGCAGCACCGTGACTGCAGGCAGAGCCTGACGCCGAGCTGCAACCTGCAGCCCCGTGCACCAGCAGAGGAGTAGCCTGTCTGTCAGCAGCCAAGTTATCTCAGCTTTTTTGTTTTGTTCTGCATCAGCTTGTGTCCTTGAAACAATTCCTTCCCACATCCCCTGGATAACTCAAAAGCTAAAATTACACGCACCACGGAAAGCAAGAAAGTCTCCCTGTTTTCAGTCTGCACCAAATGAGCTGTGCACGACTCCGAATCAGCTGCAGCCACGGCACAGCTCTCCATTTCTGTCATGATTGCCCATTTCTTTCTTGTTTAGGTTTCAGGCTCGTAAAACTCCCATATACGTGTACGTGGGGTGGGGTGAGGGAGAAAAAAATGTAGCCAGAAGAGGTTTGGACCTTCAGATACTCAAATAGACAATAATCTAGCAGCCATGGGATGAATTTGAGATTTGATAAAGGGGGGAGGCATTTGGCATTTACTTTCTTCAATGGGAATGGCACGCACTCTTCTGCATCTTTCTGTACTGTATGATGTACATGGGATTTTAACTTTTAAAAGCAGCACCTCAAACAAATTCAATACCATCTCTATTTTACTTTTGCCCCATTTTAAGGAGAAAAAGATGCTAGGGTTTACAGACATTAGTCTGCCTTTTAGGGGAGCTGCTGCTGCAGGATTTTTCTGGTCATCAGCCTGTCAAACAAGATACAACTGTCTGAAAAACCTAAGCTCTCATTCTTCTGTTCAGAAACCAAATGTCTGAGCACGCATGGGTGGTATTTGCACCTCTGAAAAGCTTCATCTGTCCTGGTGGAGCTCCATGCTTGGTCCTAGGGACATGGCACTGAAAGCGTTGGGCTTTACTCTGCAAAGCTCAGGATGATTAACAACTTTATGAACATTACCTTAAGTGGTGATATAAATATGTATTGGTTATTATGCCATTCTCAAGCCCATTGCAGAAGTTCTCCCTTGGAAAAGATGTTTTAGGTACTTCAAGCATAAGGAGGGACAGTGCCCCAAAGAGCTAGTACAGTGATAAACAAACCATAGATGGAAAACACAAGGTGTGTATTAGACCTAAATGGGAACTAAAATTATATAGGTGTCCTTTAATCAGGTCAAAATGAGAGAGTTTTACAGTGTAAATTCATCTTTAGATGATTGTGCTTTTTGGACTTAATGGCATAAACCACACCAATATTTTTCTGGCACTGGAGAAGAGCAAATCTGAAGGCTTATTGGGATGTTTGGATTACTCTAAACCCCTCTCTGGAAATGACAATATTTGGAGTAACCTGACTATTCTTGGAAAGTGGAGCTCACACTGTAAGAATTTTTGAAAACTTTCATAATCTGAATTTGCAGGGAAGATATAATTCAGATATATAGGTGTTAGTTAAGTAGATGTAATATGTGAAGTTAAAAAACCCCACAGTAGTGTAAACTTATAAAATTCAGGACAGAAATTGAACCTAACACAAGTAAAATTTAAAGACACTTGGAAACGTCTGTCTGTCTCTTCCAGCTTAACATAAGATAATGTGTGAAGAAAAGGGATGTTGCTGCTTCCCAGCATTGCCATAATTTAGAAGTTCCTACTTTATTATTCTTATTCTTGTTATCGTAAAATCTTTAAAACTACCTTTTTGTATTAGTAGAAAAGTACTGGTTTATTAAGGGTTTTGAGACTTCCTTCTGTACGTTATCCAGCACAAAGCTGCTGCAAGGGTAAGGTCTAACACAGATGTCTATGCCAGCCAGCACTGGAATAAAATGTGAGGGGTCCATCATTCACTGGTGGCAATATATTTATATAGAATAGACAACATAATACAAGTCACTATTTCCAGACTGGTATCGAATAAATGGGCTTTTAGCAAATCAGCAGTCACACACCCTTTAACACCTACCGATCTGTGTGGCAAACCAAGAAACTAATTAAAAAAAAAAAAAAAAAGACCTGGAAGTGAGTTTTGGGAGTGGCCGGATGTGTCTCTAATAGCAGGCTCCAAAGTCCCTTTCAGACACTTTCCCAAGGTTTCCTGACTTTTTTTTTTTTTTAACACCAACATCTCTCTCTCTCCCTCTAATCAAGAGGAAATGGGCTTTGCGTAGCTTTTGTCATGGTTTGAAAGTGCAAGCTGCAGTTTTAGTTGAAATCCAAGGCTGCTGTAAACCAAACATTTTGTTCAATTGAAGTGTCACCATTGTCCACCCCAAAATGGGTATGCTCACAGCCAAATAACATCAAGGCTTTACTTCTACAAACAAGAGAACCTAGCCTGGGCAAATGCAGTACATAGAAGGTATTGTCTTCCTAACAACAATACTCAGTGTTTACTTAGTCTATGTGTTTTCAATGTATCATGTTAAATCCAGTGAGTCCTTTAAACGTCCCTGCTAGTTTGACAAAAATGTTTTCAACTCCACTCTAAGGACATGGAAACAGAGACGTAGGCCAGAGATTTTAAGTTTGTGTGTCTAAAATGGTGTATCTAGATTCAAATGTCCAAACCCAGCTGGAGGCTCTATGGTACAGATATTCATGGATATTCATGAATTTTTTTTTTTTTTTCATGAATATGCTCAGAGTGCTTCTCATAAGGATTCTGGTTTGAAAGTTTTGACCTAAGCAACCTGCTCAGTGCAAATCATGTGAACCAGGAGGTAAACTGGAGTAGGAACACAGGAGGCAGTAGCTTCAATTCAAACGGTGCCATTTCTCTAGCAATTGTGGGATTATTTAGTAGGACTGCTGGAGGCAGTTTGGGTAATACCAGATTATATAGGACATTTCCATTTGGAGGAGACCAGTATTCTGTGTAGGAGGTATGCGTAAGGGCAGAGGTATGCATATGGGGAAATAAGATCAGTCTGCCTGCACCAAGCCATAATAATAATGTTTTAAAAGAACCGTCTCCATCAACTATGGAAGGGGGTACAGTGCATCCAACATCAGCTCAGTCCCTTCCCCTCATCAGCACTATAACAGCAGTGGCAAGTCCATAAACCTTCGAGTTGGTTATTTGGGTCAACATACTCCTGAGTGACACTACTTCTCATTTCTCCCTGTCTCTAGTGATGTTTTTCATACTAGATGGTACAGCTTGCTCTGTCCACAGCCGTCCCAAATACAAAACACATTTCTTAGTCTTATCCACAGTAACACTGACACCCAAAGAAGTAACTGAAGCAACATGTTTGCCTGCCCCAATACACTGAGTGCAGTGTGGTCTCCTGGAGAAGAAGCCGCAGGGAATTTAGGGATTTTTGGTCCTAAACCACTATGTGTTGATAGCGATACAGTGACCAATAATGTCCTGCATGCTTTAGCTCTAACTGCCTGTGCACATTTTGCCAATGGTGATTCCAGATTTGCTCTCAGATTACTTAACTGTGCCTTGCAGAAAGACTCGAAACTGGTGTGGAGGTACTGAATGCCCACCATTAGCTCCTTCTACGGACTGGACTGGCACCCTTGTTCCCCTCCTCTGCCAGGGCTGTTTGTGGTTAAACCAAGCAGAGATCAAGAAGCAGTTGTGTGTCTCCACTCTGCCTATCAGTCAGCAGATAACCTGACCAGGGTCAAGGCCAGGGTTCCTTGTAAGGCAAGTTAAGGCATTCAGATTGCACTTGCTTTGATCTGTAAACCATGTGTTATTTTAGGACTCATCCTAAATAAGGTCATAAAACACACTGTGATGCTTAGAGAATAATTAGAGCTAGACCCTCATGTCATACAGCAAACCAGTGGCAGAGCCTAAGTCACTGAGAGCAAATATCCAGTTTCCTGTGGTTCCTGCCACATCCATGAGCTTCCCATTGCTCCTCAAGTATCCTGAGCATTTCTCTCAGGTTTAGAGATTTTCCCAAGGCATTGTGCACATCAGGATTGTGTTGTACAGAAGAGGTAGAAGAAGCTGTGCTTCTAGAAGAGAGCACTATCAGCATGAATAAAGCATCCCATCTAAATAAAGAACAAAGCTTAGTCCCGTAGCTGTTTTTTTTAGACCACGAAACATCCACCTGTAATAGCTATCAGGCTCCACAGAGTGGAGCAGGCTTAATAAAAATCAATCAATAACTCTTCTGCCTTACCTCTACTGCAGTGCTAGAGTATTGAGTAGTTGTTGGAATCCAGGCTTTCTCTGTTACTGCAGATTTCAAGTCAAAGTAGAGGTTTTCAATGAGATTTTTACTGAAGTGTTCAGTCACATTTCTGATGAACATGTCTGTGCTACTCTTGAGCAAATTTTCAGGCCTAGAGGTAACAGTGTTTAAAGGGGCGGATGTAGTTCTAGTACTCCATACAGAAGTGTTTGCATCTTGGAGATCTAAGACAAATAAAGGAGAGTAATTAAAATCAGCTCTACATTTTTATAAGCAATTCTTTAGATGCCAATAAATGAGGCTGGTATGACTTCTAAGTAGTTTAAGCGCACCTGTCAGTTCTATGGCTTTTTGTTTTCAGTGCAAACACGTATTTTGCATCAATACCAGAGTCTGTGCAAAACAAATGCAGAAAAAAGTAATTTCCCTGAACACTCATACCATTCATTTTAAATACAGTTCATCAATGAATCTGAAGTGAAGAGAAAGATTGCACTTTGTCATTGACGGTGCAATGTTTTCACTTGTAGCTTTGTCACTTGCCTGAGTCTATCACAGAGCAGTCTCAGCTTTATGTGGTCAACCTGTTCCCTCCACCCCCATCCTTTGTAAGTACATGGGCCAGATTCTCATCTGCCTTTTGTTGGTGTAAGTTGAAAATATGGCTTTGTTCAAGATAATTTTTCAAGATAATTTGTTCAAGATAAGTTCCTTGTGCCCACATGGGACATTCCTCTTGCATTTCTAAAACAGTCCCACGCAGAGACCATGCTAATCCCTGACTGCTCTCTTCCCAAGGTTCAGCTAACAATCGTATCAGTTAACCAAAGTGTCTGAAAATATAATGGTGGAATTGCTTTTTTAGTCACGTATCCTTCAGAGAACGCCAAAGTTGCAATTAGAGCGCAGGAAAGATTTTACTACACATTTTTCCTCGCTCTTCCTCCCCATTGGTATGTATTTAATATCCTTTCTTTGTGGCTGTGAGGGCAGGGTTCAAGCTGTGGTGGCCTCTACATCTGGTAGCATCACATTTCAGCTCAGCGATTGGAATTACTCACTGGCCCCTTCTCCTCCTCACAAAAAGCTGCCCTGCCATTGCTGGAGCACAGCTAGTGTGCGTTGGCTCAACGCCCAAGACACTTTGTCTGTCCTTGAACTGGGGTCTCCAGCATGACAGAACCTTGTTTTGCTGCGGAGCCACTGGGCCAGTTGCCATTTATAACAATTTTAGCTCACAAGCCCTCCAAAAAAAAAAAAAAAAAGTAATGACTGGGTTAAATTGCAGCAGAAGCTTCCAATTGTAATTACTTGGTGTGCAATTACAATGTCTTAGCAGGCCAATGTATGATTACCTCTTACCCAAAGGATCAGTGGGTGAGCTTCCATGAAGTCAACATGATGGATTTTTTTGTATATGTGAAAATATATATGTTAACAGGTTTATATAAAGAAACTTTCAGTACTTTCATTTGCATCCAGAAATAAAAGTGAGATTGTAAACCCTTGTAAGAGACACTTTCATGCAAGTGTTTGTGTGCCTGATATCACAGTGCATTTACCTGGTACACAGTTTTGGATCCTCTTGAAAAAGATTGTTTTGCTGGAATGAATTGATACCCAGATTAAACGTTTACCCTCCTTTTATCTTACTGTGCTTCTCTGGCAATAAAAATCCCCAAGTCTCCATTTAATTACAAAAAATGTTGATCAAATATTTTTCCAAGGCACTCAATACTACAGATCTAATTCTGCTCTCTCTTATACCTATGCAGAGGGTTTCACTGAGCCCTCAGGTCTGGTCCAACACTGCATGATCATTCTCATGCTGCTGCATTTGCATAATCCCCTGCAGAGTGCCTGTGGTGCAGAGTCTGCTGTGCTCTTACATCACACACCTTCATGGTCCCCACCAAAAGGGCAGGGAAGAGTCTGGCAGGGGCAGTCCTGTGCTCAAGCTGTCATCAGCTGCTGCAACAAACCCATTAGCAGACACAAGTCCAGACTTTGTCTAAATTCCATGTTGGTCATTGTTCCTGGGGATCTCCTATTAGGGTCTCTGAAGGTCTGTGGCAGGCAACTAGAAATGCTAGCCCCGAGGACTTGGAAAGAATTAGGCCTGCTGCCTCTGTGCCTCTCAGGTATCTCCAAGTTCAGCAGGGAGTAGACCTTACTTATAGAAAGCTGGCAAAAAGAAAAAAAAAATTACATCTGAATGGTCAGCAGCTGCTTAGAGAAAAAGGCCACTCAACTGGGTTCCTAAATATAGATTTACACACCCAACTTAAAAGCCTATTTAAAAAAAAAAAAAAAAAAATCTTGGCTTTATTTACAGATAAATAGCAGCGATTCCAACAGGAAGACGTTTGCGTTCCAGTGCAATTCTGCTTTAGGAAAGCTGCTGCTCCATAAAAGGGAAGCTGGTGCTGCCAGCAACATTCATGGGACTCAGCAGCCAGGGAATAACCAGCATTTCTGGTGCAGGAGGTGAGAGGAGAGCCCGACCCTCCTGGAAATGAAATGCTTGATCCTGAGAAATACTCCACCAGCCCAAGGAGGTACCATGAACAAGTACTTAGTCACTGCACAGCCTGGCTCCTCTTGTTAAGCCTGGGGCTACCCAGGGTTTCCAACTAAAGGATCTTTCCCAGCAAAGACTGACAGCAATCTGTTACCTGTAACCTATAGATGGAAATGACTTGTGTATAGCACTATGCCATACCGGAACTTCAGATATACGTACCAGCATTTTCCATGTATCCGACATTGGACTGACTAATAAGGTTCATATTTGCCCTGACTTCAAGAAAATCAGGATCCAGGTCTATATTTTCTTTCTAAGGAAAGCCACTATGGTCCTGGCATAAGGAGCCTCATAACCCTTCTTCAATTGCAGGCATTTATAAAAGAAAACTGCTTATTATAAGAGACCCAAGCAAACAGATTTCTACACAACTTCAGTTCCAAATTTTTAAACCAGAAAAAACTCACCTCCTCTCTGGACATCAGTAAAACTCACAGAAACCTCAACAGCGGGATTTTTCAGAAGTGTTTAGCATTGTTCTAGCAGTCTCTTTGGAAATCAGTCATAAAACTGTTCATGGGAACCAAACTGCAGCACTGACACTGATGTTGATCACTAGTGGCTGAATGATATATAGTGTGTGAACATACAATTGTAATCACCAGTAGCACACCCAGGAGAAATTATGACATTCTGACTAAACACATATTTCATCCATGGGGTGTACTGTATCCATCTGCACAGCAGCAGGTCACTTACAAGAAAAGGAAAACCATATATTTTGCATGTCTGATGAGTAAGAGGGCTGATTAGTTGTCAGGTACTGAGAACCCTACCGTGGTGCCTTCAGTCTCAGGTGAACAGGCATGGTGCAGCTTTCTGAAGAAGCTTGCGTTGTACCAATCTGCCTACCCTATTAAAGCAGTTGCAGAAAACTGAGGCTGAACTGCTAGTGAAACATAGATGAATCAGATATCTGTTGGAGAAAAACAAATTTAGGACTGCATCTAACTCACTGACAGCAAGACTTGAAACTAGAAGGGGTTGTTTTAAGATGTCTGTATGTGCAGGACAAAATGAATGATCTTTTTAGCTATCTAACTACTTGTAAATGGACTGCAAAATAAAGACTATTTTAAAAACATACTTCAGATTTCTGTTTTATGTTAGAGTGACAGAAGAACAAAATCCACTAAATGTCCTTTTTTTCCCCATTCAATGCAGAATTTTTAAAATTGCAAAATTTATGCTACTTGAAAAATGTTTACCCTCTTTATCTGAAATGTTGTAGAAGTTAGAGATATTTGTATCTCATGTCAGAGAGGTCAAATGTCTCCAAACTCCAGTCTAATCCTGAGCTGCTCTTTTACTTGCTTGCTTTTGAAGTGCCGAAGTAGCCACTTAAAGGCTCTTTCAGCAGCAGTGGTGGCAGACCATCCCAGATAACTATGGTGACAATGCCATAGCCCTGTCAGCCCTATTTCTGACACTCTTGGTAGCCCCAGTTCACCTCGAAGTGGATTTTTGGTCACTGAAAGGTGTCTAGACTCTATTAACTCCATGGATTATTGCTACTGAAGAGAGCTCATAAAGGTAGCTACCGTGTAGACACCTACATCTTGGTTCAGTTGCCTAAACATAGTCGCCCAGTGCAATCTGAACTGCCCTAAGGCATCTGAGACATCTGCTCAGGGGTCTCAGAGCACCTATGGGAGACCTATGTCTTTCTGGGTAGGCAGTCAGAGTTCAGGTGGGATATCCTGGAGCATCTCAAATGGCAAAAAGCACCTACGGTGAGACAGATGAAATGAGCCCTTCCTTCAGACACCTACATTTAGACACCTAGAAGCTGAGGCCCACTCCAACTTCTACACAGAGATCCAGACAAAATAAAGGGAGGGAATGTAGTAATGAAAATTACCAGTATAGTTGTCTGGAATTGGGGTCTTTGTTAGCACTCACAGCAGAAGATGAACTAGAAAAGCAGGACTTGCCATCCTCCTGGTTGCTCTGGGAAGCTGTTCGTATCATTCCATTTTTTTCCCTATGAAAGTGGCTGAGCTGATTTTGTTCTAAACTCTCTGAGCTGTGGCTCACTGAGACTTTGAAAATTTACAAAAACCAAAGACTTAGGCTACTCTGCAGATTTTTCCATTTCTTTTTACAAAATATAAAAACACATTTATATTTGAGCTTCTGTCAGTGTGCTATTGGATTGTGTACAAGGTCTTGTAATTATGTTCAAGGATCTGACACTAATGCCTTTCTTTTTCCAGGTGGATCTGAGCAAAGTGGTCAGCCATGTATTGCTTTGACCAAAGAAAGAAGATTCAACTCATTTTTGGAGATCACATAGATGTTAGCAAACCTCTTACTTACAAAATCCTATAAAATAGCAATTCAGGGAGATTAAAAATGGGTTTGAGTGTATGTTTTTTAGGAAAAAAAGTTTTGAGTTAACTTAAAGGTGGAATGAAAATACTGATTCTCCCTGTTCTAATTTATCCTGAAGAAATCTGTAAAGGCTACACACACAAAAATCCAACCTGTTGTGAACCTATGGGTGGATTGTTGCACTCATTACAAACACTGAAGGTGTAGAAAAATTAAAGCCCAGAGATGTTAACATGATCATAAAAATGGGTAAGAGTTGCTGCCTCTTCTGTGCTTCTGCCACCTTTCCTTGGTGCTCTTCTGCTTTCCCATGAGTGCCAAGAAGATGCACATGCCTTCCCTTGCCATGTTCTGCAGTTGCTACTGCTGCTGCAGTGATTTTGAGTGTGCTCTGAGTGTGCACTGCTCTGGTCTCTTCTACCCTCCATCTCACCCACTGAAGTGTCAGCAGTGGCATGTGAGCTCAGTCAGCTCAGGTTCTGCTATGAAGCAGCTAAACTGAAAATGGGATAAGGGGAAGAGAGAAGCCCATGTGAAAGAGAAGACACAGAGCCAGAAACTGGTGTAGAAAAGGAGGAGGGACTGTGGAGATAACAGTTTGAATGTCAGATGGCACATCAGGCTTTGGCTCATACATAGTACCTGATATTTTGTCTATTTTCGACTGCAAACAAAACGTATTTGATATTTGAATTCCTTTGTCCAACTTGTTTTATGGCTTTGTAGATTCCACTATGGTTCTTAAGTATCGGCACATAACAGTAAGCAATAAAACCATTCTTCTCCACAAAATCAGCTACTCTTTTGAATGGGACTTTGTCTGGATATCCACAGTTCTAGGGTTTTGCAGCTACAATTCCTTCAGCGATGTCCCTACTACACATGATATGGTAGAAGAGAAATGCAATGCAGAGCATCATATTACAACACAGTTCATGTCACCTTCTACATCCAGACTGCTCTACAGGCTGTGTGACAGTCTCTAGATCTCAGTGAATAACTGCACTATACAGCTTGGACTTGTGTTTCCCTATTTGAAGTCATTCTCCACTTAGTGAATAATTTTTCGTCTGCAGTGGTTTTGAGGTTTGTTGGTAATATAAAAGGTGCCGCATAGCATTGCCTCTGCTCTCTAATTGGATATTTTATTGAAACTAACCTACTCAAAAGAAGCTTGTAAGAATTACTCACACAATTCAGAAGTGACATTGGTGTGTTGGTGTGTCAGCATTAGCGGTGCTCTGGGTGCTTTCCAGACATACAAGAGGAGATGGGGTTTGTTCCACAATTATTATTTACATGCAGCAATTTTTGCTCTTTTCAGTCATCCTGCCTTCTACCCCTTCACCCCCTCTACGTTTTCCTCCTTCCTGTTTCCATTCCCATCCTTTCTCCTGGATCCTGGGATTAGAGAAGCTCTGACCCCAATAGTTGGCTTGTGAAAAGAAGGCCTGAGCACTATAGAGACTATTCCTCTCTCTGCCCAGAATCTCCTCATGAATTTGATGAGAATTGAAGTCTCACCATCTCAAGGGAGATACCCTGTGGCCCTTCTTCATGTTAGCTGTTTCAGCCAGAGGCCATATTCAACCATGGGTTTGTGTGAGAAGGACTGTCTTCTGTGAAATTTAAAGTGATCTCTGACTGAACAGAGATAGGATACATGTTTAAACTGATCCCGATTTCCACAAAGAGTCATTTAGGTCAGGATTGTAGCGAAAAATGTATATCCAAACACATCTCAGATTGCTAATCTGAAATCCAAATCCAAGCTCAGACTTTTCCCAGGCTCAGAAAAATCATGCTTGGCATCTGAGTTAGGTCCAGAATAAAAGGTAGTTGCAGTTGTTGAGTTTGGAGCTTGTGCTATATCTGGGCTGATAAGATGTTTGGGGTGCAATTCAGTGAGTTACTCCTTTGCAAAAATATAACTATTTTTACGAGTACTATGAAAACAAATGGTATATTATATCAAAATATGGTGTTAGTCAGAAGTAGAAAAACTTACAGCCATTTCAGCTCCAAAGACTTTGTTCAGTTTTTACTATCTTAGCTAAATATAGAATGAATCTGTTATTTTAGGCAGATCCACTGCTGCTTTCACTGAAAGTAGACAGATCTTCTTGGAAGACTAATTTTACACATTCAACACTGAAAATTTTGACATATATATGGATGTAAAGTCCAGCACTGTGGGCATTAGATTTCATTCTTGTAGTAGTAGTAGTAGTTGTTGTTATTACTATTATTATTATTATTTCTTAATATTATAATAATTATTGTTATTTAAAAAATTAATCTATTTGCACTACTTCAAATCTTTATGAGTTTCTTATATACCCAGAATTCTTAGGTATTAAGGATCATAATACTGTTGACTTCTCAGCAGAGCTCCCCAGAGCTGTGAAAAAGGAGATAACCGACAAAGTGAGACTCTTAAAATAGATCTACAGGACTACCTATGGAGACAATTTCAGGAAAATTAAGGTAAATTAATTAAAGGACTGAGTAGAGTAAATATATGAGAAGGTGCTTCAGTACCCCGTGACAGTTGTCTTACTGAGTACTCACTGGTCTTGAATTGCTTCTCCTCTGAGCATGATTAAGAAAAGGATGTAAGGTTACTTAAGCTCTGTTAGGCCACACTTCATCCAGCTATCTAAAGAAAATAACACTGCCTGCACACCTCATCTTAACTTTTCATGGTGTCCTTGAATAAGCAAGCCATACTCATCCTATACACAGAACTTCAAATGATTTTGCCTTTTTTAATCTCAAAAAATATATGGGAGGGCTGGAAAGGCATCTTGGCCAGTTTTCCATTCCCTGATTCTGCAAGTTGTCCTTTCAGACCTCTACTCAAGTGAGTAGTCCTGCTGCTCTGAGTAGAATTCTGCAAGTGTAAATTTGCTGAAAAAAATGGTACCCTGCTTTACAGTGAATGAGAGGTTAGAAAGGTTAGAAAGAACAAGGATTTGTTTTAAACATTCTGAAAACTTGGCCATATGCAAAAGTATTGGGTCATAAACCACTTTTTTTTTTTTTTTTAAATTCTGCAAAGAAAAGAATACCTTGTGTGTTCCCCAAAAAAAAGCTTAACTGTGCAGTTTGTTCTTATTTACAATGAAGATCTGCTTAATAGTGTGCAAGAAGAATGTCAACAGGATTGTCAGGAAGGATTGACAACAGGACATCAAGGAAAGTGTTATTAAGCAGTATTCAAACTGTTCTACCTTCCCTTTTGGTATGGATATGAAAACATATAACCACACAGTTATGTCAACACATCTGTAAGTATGTTCACAGACCCATGCATCTCAAAGTGCTATTGCAAGAATTTCTGATATTTTTGATTCAGTTAATTTTTTTCATGATTTTGAGTTTCCTCATATATATTGCATGTAAGGGCAAAGTGACACTGTGTAAACACATGAATGTGTAAGCCATGTCTGTTCTAATCATGCATTTGGGTTAATCAGATAAATAACTGTGCATGTATTTGACTTTCAGATGTCTTTGTGCTCTGAACAGATTCAATCAGGATTTGTATGATAAAATGAATGTGGAGGAGAAGGACTTCTATACATCCATATTTTTAAAAAGTACTAGGGATTAGTACCCACAATTCTGTTTAAAAGTGAAAAAGGAAATGATACAAGAATAGTGAGCTGAGCTTACACATAAGCACTTTTATCCAAAGACTGGGAGTAGAGAAAAGGAGAGATATCCTGAAAACATAAAATGGCTTAAAGACACAACCAGTGCTGTGAGAAAGACAGCACTCATCTCAGCTGTTCTTTTTATGGCTCTCTAAACTCTTTTCAACTATGAAAAACATTTCTCTGTATGAATAAAATATCACCACTTTTAACATTTGAGTTAGCATAAAAGAGACATTTTTGTTAGCAAAACTTCCATAATACTTCCTCAAAGGAGTAGCTCACCTTGCTTTGAGCACAGATTTACATAAACAGGTTTTCCTGTCTCGCTGGCTTCTAGCTGCATCCATGTATGAAGGTATTTCTTACTCTGCTTGGCCATTACCTTCTGACCTTGCTTTGTGAGAAAGAGAGAGCTGTTGGCCACCTTCAGGAGCCCATCCTCCTCGTGGCAAGTCCACCTGACTGCCTGGGGACAATCAGCGATGATGCTGCGAGATGACAGGGCAGAGCGTGTAGAGATGCTCAGGCACTGGGCAGATTTCACATGGAGGAGCCTGTCATCTGCCGTCCACTGCCACTGCTGGTTGAGGTTGGTCATATTGCACTTCTCCATAATGACTCCTCTCTTTTCTGAAAGACACTGCTGTTTCTGGACATGGATGATCAGAAACCCTTCTAGGAGAAGAAAATTCCAGAATAATACAATGGATTACACATGGTTATTTAACAAAAGGCAAATTCTTGATGATTTAAAATACATCAGAAAATAAATCTCTTCCCACTTTCTATGTGTTGAACTTCTCATGAACTTTCCATATGCTGAACCTATTTTAAAAAAACCCAAATGCACAACCCATATGATGCAAGTGCTGGTAATGTAAAGAGTGAGAAAGCAAAAAGCAAGCTATTGTAGCAAAGGTCACCTTTAACTTCATTATACATAAAAATGAAGAAAAAATTAAACTGGGTATAAAAGAAATCCAAGAACTATTAACTTTAAATACCAATTCTAAATCCCCTACTTCCTCTGCTTGAAAGCATACAAAGATCTGCATGAGCTCTCAATCTTTTTTTTTTTTTGTTTTATGACACAGTCTTTTTACAATATAATTTACTACCTGGAAATTGTTTTAGTACAACTCATAGCATTTCTGAAGAAAACATATAAGAAGACGTTCCCAAATCTGTATGCCTCTCAGTGCCTGTGCCATTACAGGAATGGAGGCTGTTTACTGGTAGGAAGTACATCTGTTTTACTGGATTTACTCCAGTGTCTCTATCTGTTTTGTGATTATCCTAATTCACATTTGCGCCACTACACTCAAAGATCAACACCAAACACTCAAATGAAGAGAACTACAGTGCATTCATCAAAAAATCCCAAATTTACCAAAGCAGAATCTGTACTTGTTATAGAACACGGAACTGGTTATTTCATATGCAGCCTCTCTGCCACATCTCGTTTAGGCTTTTCTCTTTTTTTAATCCCAGTTACTCAAACATCAGCCTCATTAGTTAAAAAGTGCTAAACCAAACGTGTACTTATTTCCCTTGGTTGAGCTTTGTCACCCCCCTGTTTCTACAGACCTGGGTATTTTCTAACTAATCATCAGAGACAGTTCCTGGCTGTGAAAGTTTCACAAAGTAGAAATAAAAAATAGGAATCTCCCCTTCAAAGAGCTTGTCACAAAACTCAGCTCCTGGATTGCCTAGCAGATCTTTTTTTTTAAAAAAGAGGTCTCTCCGGCATAGAAGGAGTCAGTGTATTTTCGTTTGGAAAGAAACCTAAACAGAACGGGCTACGTTGGCCCTGCCCCCCCGTTCCTGTTGTATGAACCCCATCGAAGCAGTGACTCGCTTTTTGTAAGTCCCCAGCTGTGCCTGAGGGCTCTGCTCACCACCAGAACGAGCAATATGGCAGAGGGGAAGTAGGGAGAGACACTTACCTGAGAATGTCAAGGCAAGACAGGTAGAAACCAGGACGTGAAATAAGGAATCCATTTTCCCTCTAGCAACTCCCCATGCTTCTCTTAAAAAAACCCACCTCAGATAAGTGAAGCGAAGGCTAGGAAGGAAATGTGCCTTCACAGGGGGAAAAAGTCAGTGACGAGCACTTCCTTCTATTCAATTGTTTTGGGGAGTTTACACCACTTTGTCCTTTCATATGATTCTTCACAGTTTACTAGTTGCTTTATTTTGGAAAAATACAAGCAAAAGAGAGAGATTTTCAAACACCTGGGAAACTAAAAGAGATGATACTGAACTTCTTTAGACTGAAAGAGAAGGGATTATACTTTTGTGTAATTTGTTGCCTGTGAAATATTACAAGTCTGCAGGTGATGTGAATGGTACTGAATAAGTACGTACTGTATTATCCAGGGAAAAAACACATTTCTTCTAACTATATGTAATCAGGCAAAATCTCCATATTGATACTTCTAACTCCACAAGTTCTAAAAGCCAAGTGGAGGGGGGGGAGGAGAAGGGGAGGAGGCAAGGCTCTGTAGCCTGCACTGGTCTTACACAAACGCCCCCTCAAGGGATCAAGTGATGCTGGTTTTGCCTTTCCATCAGGTGAGCCATCTTATGCCATGTCAGTGGGAGATTGCCTGTGTCCTCTGCATTGGTTCTCCAGTGGTCTGAAGCCATGGTGGAGGCTAACCAAATTCTACTGGGCTCTGCCTGTTTATGGGGGTACAAGAGTGTACAGTGCATTAACTATGCTAGGCAAGAATAGAGACTTCAGTAAACATTTTATATCAAGTGTAATTTATTAGCAGTATGAAGCAAAGTCAACATCACTGCATTAAAAACTCATTATACCCTGTAAACAGACCTCCCAGTGCTGTAAGTCATAATACCAACTTCGCATTTCTCTTAAAAACAAACTCTTACTGAACAGTAAAGGAAACAGTCATAGCAGCATTTTCTTTCTTGTATAACCTGTCATGGAACAGTCCATATCACTAAAGGCGTCTATCTCTTACTGAAAGAGATAGAGCAGATAAACAACATGAGCAAAAAATTCCATATTAATAAAAGACAGACAAATGTTTAAAATTCTTACCATTTAATATATGCTACAAAGTTTCTTTTAAAAGTAAAATGACTTACACAATTTACAAACACACTGGATTCAGGTCTGTAGCAGAAGCATGTTCTAAGACAATCAACAGTATAGGGTAAATACATACACACTGAATAACAGACATTGTGCTCTGCAACTGCTCCGTAAGACCTACAGTAAATACACATTTAATAGTTAATAGTATGAGGAACATGTATTTCCATATAAAAACTGCTTTTGAATATTTTCAAAAACAAGACTTTAAATTTTTTTATCTCATCTTTTTTTTAATCCATAATTGAACACTTGCAATTTTAGCAGCAAGAATATTATGTGGCCAAGAAACAAGCTCACCACATAATCAGTAATAGCACTTTACAGTACAGTTGACAGTCCATTCACAAGACAGTTTGCAAACGTTAAAGCATTTATACACTTGATAAACATTTCTTCTGTAGAAGTTCCAGTGTCCTTCCACCTGCAGCAGTAGCACATACATACATTCCATATGGCAGATATCAGTATTACAGAATTAAACCCACCTTTAGATATATATGTGAAATCCATGTGTAGTTTCAGCACAGTACCTTCTTTAGAAATCATTTTTGGGAAGCTCACAATACATTCATATACAGTAAGGGTCCAGCAATCTCTATACTTTTGCCAAACCGTCCACAATCCTTTCAGAAATTGGCCTCAAAGCTGCTCTTCCCACTGCAGTAAACTCCTTGAAGAAGCTGCTGGTAGGTAATGAAAAAAATTACCTCGAGAGACTGACATCCGGTTTTACCTTCCTTGGCTTCACTGGACAGCTTCTGCAGAAAGTCTGCTTTCATACAGACTCAGTGCATGGTGCACAAATTCATACTGTTCGCTGGTCTGAACCATTCCTCCCCTGAAAAGGAAACACATCAAAATGAAATCTTATTTCTTAAGAATTTCTTAAGAACAATCCCTAGTCCCTGCCAACCCCATGACTACCAGATAATACAAGCCCTTTTCTCAACTTTTGGCTTAGAGTTTTCTTGAGTAAGTGGGAGATTTGCCTGAGCAGAAGTACTTTTTTTCATAACTTGCACCATACAGCACATACCCAGCACAAACTACCATTCCCAGTTCTGTTAGGGTAAGAACTAGAGAGGAAAATGTCTGCCATCTACATTGTTAAAACCTACATTTCAAATTCAACACATTCAACGAGAATTTTGCTCAGTCACTTGGTCAAGGAAGGCCAGATACATGGATGCAGCACTACTACGGATGGCGCAGGGGAGTAGTCAGAATCTGACCTTTCATTTTTGTCCTTTACTAAAAATGTAACCTTTGGTGACCTTCAGATCGCATGTGCAGAGAACAGCTCTTCCTGTCCTCTTTTTAATGCCTACAATGCATCCTGTCTGAACAGCAGCCACCTAAGAAATTTTACAGCAATGACTCATTTCAGCACCAACAATACAAAAGAGTTTACCCTGACCATAAAAAGGACTAGTTACAGCCAGCTTGTATTAGATGCCTACATTTAACACATTCACTTGATAACAATCCCTTTTTAATCGCTTTTTCAGGGCTAAGTATGAGGCTCAAGTCCCACACCTCCAGTGCCAATTGGAGTGTGTTAGGAAGGGAATAATGTCCTACAGGAGGTAGGTATGATATTTAGTAAGAGTGGTACCATTCAGCTCTGAAATTAAATTGAGCCTCTTTCTGACAGTACTAAGGCCTTCCAGGTCTCACTTCTCATGGTGTGAAGCCTCAAGTTTACTTAATTCCACTTTTATTATCTCATCTGCCAGGGCATTCAAAGCTACCTATTCTGCTTCTAGAACCAAGCCCCCAGTTCATCCTCAGTGTACCCTGAAGCAACTAGTTAACTTTGGGGGATTGAAAGACTAAATGGCCTTAGTGGGAAGGAAGATATTAAGATGTCTAGTGTATTTGGCTTCAGCTAGATCTTCACTGAAACAATCAAATTTGTGAAGGATCTAGATCCAGAGCAATGTCGAAGCCAGACAGCTTACAGGAGAAGGTCTGACAAACCCCCATGGGATCCCTTCAGACACCTTAGCAACAAAAATGTCTACTGATGCACAGCGCTACATGGAAAATGGTAAAACTGCCTCAAAAATTATTGTCCTTTAGTATTAGAGAACATTATCTATAACCATAAGGTCCTTTTATTTTCCTTGGTGCTATTGGATGGTTAAATGGCTGTGGCAGGAAATTAAATAATTATTTTTTAATTATTTAATTTATCATAATTGAAATAATACCTACTTCTTTAAGCAAGTGACCAGCTGTCTGCACTCCTCCAGTGAGCTCAGGCAACTGTAGAACACCATTTAGTGACCTGCAAGTCTATTATGATATGCTATGCCTAGGAAGTAAATCACAGGCCCTTAAATGGTCCCATCCGGTGCAAAATGTAGCAGCCTCTTAGCTTTGCCAACAAAGACATCCACAAATTCGTAACTCTTGGCTGCCTGCTGCCTTCAGCTGCTCTCCTCTGTGCCTGTCCTCTGCCTGGAGATCCAGCGAGAGTCTAAAGGTGATGGGAGGGCTTTGCTCCGGTCCTCTGTGCTGCCCAGCTTCTTTCCTTCCTCCTCACTGCTGTGTCCTGCCCTGCCCACGCAACCCCTAATCCCAGTCAGCTTCCCCCTCTGTCTCCCCCATCAATGTTCCCCCAAGATGTTCTCTAAGGGAGTGTGTTTCCCAGGTTAGATCCGCTGTGTGGAAGGGGTGGAGGAAGGGAACATATCCAGGGACAAGGACTTGGCAAGAAGGGGCAGGTTAAAACAAGCTTGGCTGCTGCTAGGCTGTTTGCGGGGGTGATTCTTGCTCTTTCCTCTTTGGTGCTGAAGCAACATATAAAATCCCCAAGAAGGCATGTAGAAGACTGTCTGGGGCTGAGCCCAGCACTACTCCTTTTGCCCTGTGTTAGCAAGCACAGCTGAGGTGTGACGCTTCTGAACCCCCTGTATGGGAAAATCAGTGCACACCTCTGTCAGCTTAGGGGCACCTGAGTCTTATACAAAGGTTCAGACAACTTGGCCTTGTCAGTGCTATTATACATGGGAATCATAGAACCATAGCATCACGGAATGGTTTGGGTTGGAAGGGTCCTTTAAAGATCATCAGTTCCAACCTCCCTACCCTGGGCAGGGACCCCTTCCACCAGACCAGGTTGCTCAAAGCCCCGTCCAGCCGGGCCTTGGACACTCCCAGGGAGGGGGCAGCCACAGCTGCTCTGGGCAACCTGTGCCAGTGCTTCACCACCCTCACAGGGAAGAATGTCTTCCTTATATCTAACCTAAAAGTATTCTCTTTTAGTTTGAAACTATTACCACTTGTCCTATCACTACAGGCCCTGGTAAAAAGACTTTTTCTCATAAGATCCATTTATATATTGAAAGGTTGCAAAAAGATGTCCCCAGAACTTTCTCTCCTCCAGGCTGAACAATGCCAGCTCTCTCAGACTTCCTTCATAGGAGAGGTGTTCCAGCCCACTGACTGTTTTCATGGTGCTCCTCTGGACCTGCTCTAGAAGATCCATGTCCTTCTTGTACTAGGGACCCCAGAGCTGGACACAGCACTGCAGGTGGGGTGTCACAAGAGCAGAGTAGAGGGGAAGAATCCCCTCCCTCGACCTGATGGCCACACTTCTCCTTATGCAGCCCAGGACACAGTTGGCTTTCTGGGCTGTGAGTGCACATTGCTGGCTCATGTCCAGTTTATCATCTTCCAATATCCCCGAGTCCTTCTCCCCTTTGTTCTTGTGCAAGGCTCACGTTTAATAGCAGGGAATTATCTGTGACCCTAAGACATCAGTTTGTGCAAAAGGCTGCATGGGAGAGCATTTCAGGAGGAAATCTGCTCAAGGAGGGAGGCTTCCTCTCCTGCGTCCCTAGTACCCAGAAGGGTTCTACCCACAGCTACGGCATCTCTGGGTGTGCAGCCTTCATCCTCTGCCAGCCCACACTGCCAGCTTCTTTGTGAGCTGCTGGGCTCTCTGCTTCTTTGGGACTCTCTGGGGTGGTGCTCAGAAGAAACACCCCTGGTATCCTGAGGGCTCAGGGACTATGACCAGCTCTGCCCAGGCAGCCATGGGGGAGGGAAGGGTCCTTTACGCTGCCCTCTGGCTTGCTGCTAGTGCAGCTGGATGCAGTCTGCTCCAGAATGAATGTGATACAGGGTTTAGGATTTTTTTTATTTTTTTTTTTTAACCTGAGTCGATTAGTCAAAACACTTAAACAATGAATTGACGCACACTGGAAACTCTTTTCATCCTGTCTGAGGAGCCAAGAGCAAAGTTATCGGACGTCATTCCAAGAATGTGCCTTTAAGGTTAAGAATGTGCATTTTCTTGATATCACAGTAAGTCTTGAAGATGCCTCACATCAAACATTTCCTGTTCCTGTTGCAAAACATAAAAAATGAACTGGGAAAAAAAGTAAGCTGAGCAGACCTGTGGGTCTGTCTTTCTATGAATCCACACAGAGCATGGCTGTATCTCCATCCTGCTCAGCTTACTTTTTTTGCTCTATGGCCAGAGCCAGCTCTTGTGGCCAAGTCTACTGGGACGTTAAGTTCATTTTGCCAGCTTCATGCCATGTGTAATGAACCTATCTCACATGCCACCTGCCAATAAGCACCATGCCAGGTCTTGGTCATCAGGGGAAGCTGGTCTCATTAAGCTTTGTCCATGTAACAGGGTTACTTGGCCGCTTTATGAACCCATGATCTGTTTGGGCTGGCAGTGGCTACTGTAGTCTTAAGGGGCTGCTAAGCTCTGTCTTAGCAATCCTTGCTGTAAACTGACTGCCAGGTGAGTGAGATCCATTCTGCAATATGGTGAATTGGAAAGAGAAAAGAAAAAGAGCTTTTTGTTCCTGAGTTTTACCCAGAAAAATGTCTAAAAATTAAAACACAGATAAATTTTTTGTGTCAGGCAATGCCTGAGAATATGAAGAGCTGAGGTGCCTTAAGTAAGATCTCTGGAGTCTATTTATATAATCTGAAACTCAAAAATATACAGAAATGTGCAAATCACATAACTTAACAATTTTTATAACAAGCTTTGTGTCACTTGAGATTGCTGTTATGAATGTTTATCTTTGGGTCAGATTTCCATTCTCTTTCCAAGTTTATCTAGGATACTAATACATATAAGAAAGTTCATTAGTCAGATACACTCAGTGAAATTGTGTTGTCAGTTATAATGCTGAAAATCTGGATTGTTTTTTCTATGGCTGAAATAATGACATAAAAAATAATGTAGCTGAGACCAGAGTTTGCTTCCACTTCTCTACAATGGAGTGGAAAAGCAATAAGGAAAATATTATCTTATAATAGAAATACTAAAATGGGGGAGAACACTACAAACCCTTTCCAATAGGATGAACAGATAATCAGAATGGAGTGTTGGAAATTTGGAGCTGATAATTTAAAACAGAGTTAGCATTTTCCCCTCAGCTCTTCCATCTTTTTTGTTGATGAGATTTTTAGGTCAGGAACTCCCCTTGGAGAATTTTATACCCCAAGTGGCTCATGTTGCCCTGTAAGGACCACATTACAATATCTAGTATGATGAAGGTGTGAAGGAGGGGGAGGCAGAGGAGATGATCCATAAACACAATCAAGTATTCTGGTCCTTCTGCAGTTCATGGTTCCAGTACCTTTCACAGCTCTTCAGAATGGAAAAATCCTGTATTGTCTCTTTGACCTAAGCTCTTTTTCAGTTTTTGCACCCTTATGGGTTTGTTTCTATTTAAAGAAGAAATGCATGTCAGAAGCAGTTCCTTACAAAGAGATTATATGACCTGGTACCTACAGCAGGAGAAGAACGAGACTTCTCTATTCTTGGTGCAGCCCTGTTTATTTACTTTATACAAAATCCTGCTTCCCTGAGCAGAATAAGAAAGAAAAGTTCAACCAAACCAACAGCTTCCATTGTACACAATACCCATATCCTCCTTTCCAACACAAATCTCTCTTCAGCCATGGTTTCACAAAACAAAGCACTCTGCAACAATGCTGGCTTACAGTGTTGCTGCTCTTAAGCCATGAATTCAATCAGGGAATTGATCTGACTTAAGAAAATTCTGCAACAAATGCCTTGCCATTTTCTTAAGCTGGGTAAGTTTGCCAACCTAATTCAAAAGGACCCCCAGCTCAGCTGAGGGAATAGATCTGTCTCTCTCCGCTGCATAAAGAAACTACACACTGAGTGAGCCTGGATGCCCCTGTCAATCCAGGCTCAAAGACAATCCCTTGCCTCCAGATTGCCCTGTGTCTCTTGTGTCCTACTGGGATGCTGCAGACAGCAGAAAGCTCCAGGAGGGGAAAAGAGGAGTGCTAAATACCCAGCAACCACAGGGTTGCCATCTCAGGAGAATTTCATTCAGTGGAGTCTCACACAGTTTCACCCAGAAAACAATATTCCTTATTCAAGAACTAAATACAAATGTTACTTTCAGTGTGCAGCTAATGCTGTTATAAGAGTCAGCAAAAGTGATGGCAGCCATTTCATGTAAAGCAACATTCAACTGTGAAAAGGTTTTCAGAATCATTTCAGAATCATTGACTGATTTTCAGAATCACTGACTGATTTAAGGTTCTTCTGGAACTCACCGATCCACTCGTAGCTGGCAGACAATGCTCAATGCATCTACAACCCCCTCTTCCTTCAACTGCTGACAACCAATGGCCGTGGCAATAAAACATCCAGTTCTTCCTATACCAGCACTGAAAAGAAGGCAAGATTTAAAAGGGGTGTAGTGTTCACAGATTAAAGGAGTTAAGTGGAAAACACTACATAGATACGAAAACACTAAAAATACGAAACATGGAACTACTAGAACCTACAGTTCCTGGGTGCATGACTAGCAAGGGTAACTTTGCAGCTCACTTGCTTAGAGAGAAATGAAAGGGTGCACTGTTCCAGCAGTCCAGTTGTTGTGGGTAATTTGTGAGGCTTACATGTTTCCAGTTTGCACACGTGTGTGGTAAGAAAAGTAATCTCCATTAGGACCACAAAGTCCAAATATTCTCTGGCACTGTCCATGAAAATGATGAAGATATGGCACTGAGACAGGGGAAAAGCTCACCTAAAGGCAAAAGTCAGTGGAGCTTTATGTTTGAAGCCCACAAAGTATACAGGGGTTCTGCTAACTCATACCTCTCATCACGATGGTAGAAATAACTTAGAACCATGCTGATGAAGTTAATTCCCTCTCCTGTGATTCTGCAGGAGGGAGAAGGATTTAGTGCTTCAGGTTTTCTTGATGCTTGCTTGAAAACATCCATTTTAGCATTATTTTTACTCCCTGGGCCTCCAACACTTGGGAGAATCTCTGGCCCACACTGTTTCTTGCTTAAGTGATGTGGAATTCAGTGCAGCGCATCCCTGTCATGCTGCATGGCAGGAAAATGTGAGCGAAATATTTAAAACATGGAGCCAGGAGTCCAGATCTCCATGCCTGGCTTTTATTATAAATACTTAACCATTTGGTGCCCTGCTTTCTTCATCTCTGCAATGGGTATGAATGCTACCAGCCTAATAAGAGCACTGCAACAGTTTTTAAATAACTTAATTAATGCCAGAAAGGATCCATTGAGTATCTCAGATGGACACTTGATAAATCTGAGTGCAAAGTGTTACCAGGAATATGTCCATTTGCTACAGCTGAAACAAATCACAATCTACTCACCACAGAATGAAAGATAGGAGTGCTTTAGAGACTCAAGAGTCTTCCCAGCTGGAAGTGAAAATCTCCAGGAGGACTCAGCAATATTAAATATGTGAGGATGTCTAAGCCAACCATGAGGGGATAATGAGAGGTGAAACTGTCAGTGTAAGAAAGGATCAAGTGAGATGAAGATCCTGAGTTGACTGCCTGTCTCCCTGGACATCAATATCTATGGGATATATGTATCCAAAAGGAGAAGGACATAGTTCATAAAGAGGGATTTGGAGAAAGCAATCTAATGCATACCCCCATTCTCTTCCTCAAGTATTCTGAAAACCTTGAAAGGGGGCCTATCAATTTTAAACAATTCAGATGTAAATGAAGATGGCTATAATGAAGGGTTCTTTTTTTCCCTTTTTTTGGGGTGGATTAAGTGTTCTTGGACAAGTTCTTAATATGTATTAAACAAAGACTAGGATTTTCCAATGTCTTTTCTTCCTCAGCTCAGGCATGCCGGTCCTATCTCATTACATACCTTTATTTCAGATGGTGCAAGATAAAAATGACATTGTTCTTCACTTGCCTGACATTTCTTTCTTGGTATATCCAGAAAATATGGAGAGCTAATTTTAAGTATTTTCAAGCACCCAAACATGGTATACATATATACATATATATATATGTGTGTGTATGTATATATATATATGTATTTCTATCATATATTATCCTATTTTTCCCTTCTTTTTTAGGAGTTTAAGGGGTAATAGCTCATTTGTAACGACTGTGGTTTGTTAATTGGGAGTGTGGAATATCAGGCTGTTACAATTTTGTGACTAAGAGATGCAGGCAGTATGCTTTTTATAGAACATCTTCTTGCACTAGCTGATGAGGAAAGAAAAGTAAAAATTTCCAACAATAACTATAACAGCATCAAGTTTCTGAGCGGGAAAATTTTATCCCTTTTTCTCATTTAAGAAACTCTTATAAGTCCTTCAACCAAATTGCTGGTTCTCCTGGGAAGTAGAAAATGGCATGGTGGTCCAGATTCTTCGTTAACTTGGTTTCACTGACTAAATGGGACTAAATTAGTTTTACACTGTCAGAATATAATTCTGTGTTCTAATTCTTCCTTATTGATTCAATTTAAATAAAAAAATATTTTCCCTCTATATTGGAAATTTCTCAATTAAAACTTGTATTTGATCCCAAACCACCCAGTTGCCAATAAACCCAAACTTATTTTGGTGTACTAACTACACATACAAAGGACAGATTAAGGAGATATTTTCCATATTGACCACGTTTTTGAGGAGTGACATAAGAGAGGAAACATACCATTCCAGTGAATGCCACTATAAAGATTAGTAAGAATTTAAAACTTCCTTTGGCAATATGTGTTCTTGGTGTGTGTGTAATCAGATCTGCTGATTTCAAGGCCCAAACAAATGTTTACTTTTTTCCTATTCTTTTGCAGAATAGGAACTACTTTGCCAAAAGAAGTCAAGTCCTCCTTACATCCTGAATCCTGAATGGGCTCATCATTGAATTGTGTAAAACAGCACCCTATGCTGATAAGCTACAAGAAGACACGTACAAAAAACTTTTTTTCTGTACTAATGCCATAACTGCCAAAATTCAGGTATTATTAAAGCATTTCAGCTTCAGATTAAGGATCATTGCTTGAGTGTGCACTGTAATGGTCCTCTGGAAATAACTGAGAATTGCGCAGTTGTATCTGAGGTCCAAGTTCAAAAGTGTGCATAGGCTCTACAAGACTTGGATGACCTCAACTGCAACTCCGATTAAAGGGGAAGAAACTATCTGACTAGAAAATGGACCATGAGTGAGTTTACCCATTTTGTAGACTATAGTGTAGTAAGTGTATAGATAGCTAAGTTGTCACGGAAGAACTATTACTTTAAATCACAACTGAGATGATATCTGGGTCTTTAATCATTAATAAATTCCTACTCATGATTACAGACCTTACTGTCATATCACTCACCTCAGACACTCCGTTCTTCTGAGGACCTTCATTACTGAAAATCCTTACTAGAAAAATGGGACTCTCAATAGCCATCAAAAGATCTGTGGATCATTTAGGGAAACTACAATTTCTGATAAAAATAGCTGCATAATATTTGAGAAACTTCCTTATTCATCACCTACTGGTTTTGAAATATGATGGTTCATTCCAATCTAGCTTTCATTTCTCTAAATCTCCTAAATACGGAGTTGAAAAGAAGTGGTTCAAGATGAAAAGTTCTGTTTTGATGTACTTCTAGGAAAAGAAAAAGTACTATCCCAACTGTAAGAGATGTATCACCATGGTAAAGAGACAAAGCAAGTAACGGAATACGGATCTTTATTTTTTTTTTCTGTTTTGTTTCACTTACTTTTTTCCACCAGTATATCAAATCCAGTACTACTTCCTACTACTTAAATTGCAACATGGGGCAATGAATCAATAACAACAATAGAATAGAAGTCATTTACAAATATTAGAAGGACATTCTCTGGTTCATTACAATTCGTATGAATAACACTCAGCTCTTGAGTACTGAATAACACTTTGCTCTTGAGTATGAAACCAACTGCCTTTGTGGAAAATGTTCACAAATTTTAGTACAGATATGTTTTGGTCTCCAAATTTGTACCTGCTGCCAAAATGATGCCTGCTGCTCAAAACTGACTTGCTTTACAACCTTTTAGCTAACCAGTCACAGGGCACTGCACCTGACTTAGGTATGTAATTATGCAACAAGACTAAAAAGAAAGGAAATCATGAATAAGAAACAGAAGCAAAATATTTGTTCCAGCTGGTCTTTCAAAAACAGAGCTCACTAGCAGAAATAGAGAACAGCTCAGAAACTATTTGCTAGCAACAAGGAAATTCTCTCCAAAACTCAAATCCTCAAATATGAACTGAAAAAATCAATCAGAATGAAGAGTATCTGGGGAATTTTACTCTTCCCCAAAGGCTCTTTGTTTAGGAGGAGGACTGTTTGATGTGATTTGCCATGGCCTTCCTTTGGGCAGTCATTTAAGAGAAGGATTGCAAATTACCTGCAGTGCACAGTGACAGGCCCTCTGCCTGGTGATTCCACCCTGTCCTCTTCTACATCCAGCATGAGCTGCAGCAGAGGCTGAGCGCTGTTGGGGGTTTTGTGGTCTGGCCAGGATGTGTACCAGTAGTGTTTCACACCTCGGGACTGACTCCCTTGCTGAAAATAACATGAAGATTTTATATGCACACTTGCGATGAACAATTCTTTTTATTTCTCTCGATGTTATGGTAAAAAGATAGTAAAATTGTTAAGAGAGATTTAACTTTTTTTTTTTTTTTTTTTTTTTTATTAATTAGACTCAGAGGATGCAATTGCAGGGAACAGGCATGCTTCCGGGGACCCAACTGTAAGCAAGGTTTGTGCACCTGAAAACTTAGCTGTTTTTCCAGCTATGTAAGTTCTGCTTTGTCCATCTGACTACTGACTTGCTGACTGTGTTGTCAATTGGGAATTGTCAGAGGTCTGAGTTAAATCAGCACAAAGATCTAGAGAGATTAGCTTGATCTGGTCTTCCAAATCACTAAATTATTATATATTTCCAATAGCTTTTAAGGACATTATCATAAGGGTCTGATACTAAAATTACAAGAGTATTTAAATTAAAGGTGCAGAAGAACTGCCCTTCTAGATTAATCAAACATTTCAGTTTGTCCAGTCATTCTCTCCAACAGAGGCTGATACCACTTACTTCAACAGGCAAAAGGGCTAAATATGGGATGGAGTAATTTGTGTTGGATGATATGATTTCTGTCCACTTCTCATTGCCTGGGCTGAAACCCCAAACAAATTTTCCCAATTCATTATTTATTGTAATGCTCTGTCAGGAGCAGATGATGCAATCCAATAGCATGTAAGTGTAATATGGGGAGTAACTTAGAAGAGGAGCATCTGCCTTATTTTTCACAGTTACTGTTTACTCAGAACCATGAAAGCATGAAGCTTTCCTTATATATTCCTTATATTTTTAGCTTCTCAAATGCACTCAGCACACGAGTAGTGTATCTTTTTCAGAAAGATGCCATACTAGTTCTTTCATTAACTAAAATCCCTTTACATTGCCTTGGCAATGCTAAAAAGGCCTCAGAGCAAACCTGCACTCTTTTTGAAGCTGTTTTTACTGCCAGAGTGATACAAAGCAGCAATATGGTAAGTGCTTCAGTGCTTTGGTCTCAATCCTACCTTACAGCTGTAAGCTTCACAGCTCAGTTACTCCTCCTGTAAAATTTATGCCCTTTAGAAAAACCACTTTCACTTCATTTAACATTGAAAAAATAGAGCATTAGAATGCTTCTCAGATGAAGACTGTTACCTTTATTGTAAGCTGACGGACAGTATAGTTCTCGCATTCTTGCACACTGTTAACAAGGACTTCAACCTTCCCATAGATTCCTCTTTTTTCTGGCCAATAAAGCACGCATTTCTGGAAAGCAAGAATCAGTTTTGTCAACAAACTGGATCCTGGAGCCATATTCATATCTAATTTTCACACAGAATGTATTTATTGGAAAGTTCAGAAGAATTCAAACAAGGTGTTATTCATGTCAGAAGCATTCCTAAATAGGATATTGCAGGGTTCTTAATAAATGTCTTAGGCCTGATTTTCATGATCTGAGTTTTTCAAATATGGATCTCTATCACTGAACACTTTGAACAGCTGTTTTTATTCTTAAAAGCTCAATGAAGTTCAGTTAAATGAACTGTTTTTCACATTCAAAAGTAAAGATTTTTTTTTTCTAAAACATTGTTTAATTCATAGAATTGGATTCATATAGTTTACTCTTTCCAAACAGGATTTCCTTCTGAGCAAGAGATTCAGAATTTGTCCTCTCCTCACAAGACTTTTTATCCTCTTTACTCTCCTAAGCCCTGATATGACAAAGCATGTAAATGTGTCCTTAGATCTTACTGAATTCAGTGGGACTTAATGTGCACATTAAAATATTTTGCAGAATCTGAGTTGTTTATTATGTAACTTACTGGAAATGAATGTTTTTAAAAAATCCACCAGTCTTGTTAGAGCTACACAAAATTACATACAGAATTCTTAACAAATCAGTAGTGCTATACTATTTCAGCAAGCATCTACTAAAAAGGAGATGAAGAAATAGTATTTACAATATAAACTATTTTATTTTTCCCCTGAAATAGTTTGCTTATCTTCCAGTCAACTGCAACCTCATATTAATTTCCATTAAAGTATGTCTATAGTCTACCTGAAAGTAAACATCCCTGTTGTATAAATACTTGCTAAAAATAGATGGTTATTACCTAAAGAGTGTAAGATATTTGAAAGACACGTTTTCTGAAATAATGCTGGACAATCTGACTTGTTCATTAAATAAAAGAGACCTCGATAATTAAAGAAAACCTTCTTTTTCATATCCAATGCACAGGTTAAAAAAATCCACTGACAGAACAGTTCTACAATAATAGGAATCCCAGAAAAAAATTGTTTGCATTGCCTCACAAACTCTTGCTGAAGAAACTGGTATATATTTAGACAGTAGCCTAGATTATGCAGCAAAATGAAACAATCTCCTTGATATAATTAATTGCCATAAAGCATAACTCCCAGTAAATCCTGATAAAAATGATCCAGAAAAATATATCAGTGAAATGCAAGGCTTTACCACCAGGTGTGATCTTTAAGCTGCTACTCTACTTGATAACCGAATAGCTGATTGAACCGAATAATCTCTGTTGTATAAATACTTTTCTAAAAATAGATGCTCATTACCTTAATAGAGTAAGGTGTGTGAAAGCCACATTTTCTGAAATAGTGCTGGCCAATCTGACTGGTTTCGTTCAAATCCTGTCTTTTGCAGAATTACTCGAACATCCTAAATTTGCTGTCTCCCCGAAGACATCAAGAATGGCAATAAAATACTCAGAAATTTGTATGAAAAAAAGTGTCCACAAGTTCCACAGTCCCCCCCATGTGACACATATAGCTACTATCATCTGTCAGATCTGCAATTCATGCCCCTCCCTGGGAGTGTAGTTTTCAGTGCTAATATGGGAAAAAGAAAAGTCTAAATACACAATTGTACCCTGACAATCAACAATAGTTGAGTCAACCCCTGAGACTTCTTGATAAATGCGAGCATGCAACACTCACTACAAAGCCTTCAGGCACTCCAGAAGAGTGTTTTTCTTGACTCTTTCCCAGAACTGGAATTGGCAACTTGCACTGGGTGGACAATAAAATGGGGCTGTTCATTAAAATAACTTTCAATTAACAGTCCGTCTACATTTAGTGAGATACAATGGATTATTTTTAACACAGTCTCCATGCATCTTTTAAAAATGCCATTTGTTACTGTTTTAAAAAATAGCTTTGAAAATAGAGCTCGGATCAGCTGGTTCAGGCACTTTTAAGAATACAGATATTTCGGGGAATTGACACGTTTTTGAAAGTTAATTGTAAAAAAGGGATAAAGATGAAGATGAGAGGGATAAAGACACCAGATATACAGAAAATAATATAAACAATCCCAGGAGCATTAGCAAAAAGAGCAAATTGCTTCAAGCTATTATTTGAATCTAAAAGAAAATTCTACTGGTCTCAAGTAGGTATATTTTAAACCTGTTCAAAAGCCAAACACAGTGGTTGAGAAGGCTACTATCTATCCTCATGTCAGTAATAAGTAAAAGCTTATTGCATATAGTATGTATCAGAAAAAAGGAATATACTTGTTCTTATCATCACATGGTCCTTCACCTCTACTCTTTGTGCTGGTCCTGATTCTGTTCCTTGCTCTTCTTTCACGCCATAGTTACCCTTTCAGAATACTCATCTATTACAGCACTTTTTAAATAAGTCACATATTTCGTGAGCATGAGGTTGAATGTACAATCATCTGTGTAGTCAGCAAACATGTAACAGCTATGAGCAGGATTTTTTAAAAGATGCTTAAGCTCAAAAAAAAAAAAACAGAAATAAAAAAAAAAGATAAATCCTAACTATGTTGCATGGCAGCCAAAATCCTGGGAATCTTCTTACTTTCATGTGGAAAATCTCACGTTCCTGCCATCTTTCAAATTCCCCTCTCAGATTCATTAGCTTTTGCTAATAAAAGATTACTTACTTCTGATCTGGTGCCTCACCATTTTTTTTTTTTTTAAATCAACATTCCCTGACCTGAACAGGAAGTTTATACAAGAAAAAGTATCTTGCATGACCTTTAATTGATTTCAGCCTTTGCCCTTCCCCCTGTGGCAGGGCTGCAGGCTTAGCCTCCATCCCCCGTCCCATCTCCTTGTGCGCCCCATCCCACGCCCGCCGGCTGCCAGGCTTCGTGGGACCACTCCTGAGGTGGGTCTCCATAACTGAGTAGGATCTGGCCCTGCCTCGGACTGGGACTGGCACCCGCTGTCTGACATGGTTGGTCTGTGCTCAGGAGCACAGGCTTTTTCAACTTGCCAGAAATGCTCCTGTTGCAGCCGGGCCCCACAGTTCTGCTGAATGGAGGAAGGCTCTCTCAGCTGACGTGTTATTTACCTGCTTTATTTCCCTGGATTTGAACCCTGAGCACAATTAGTTTAACAATTCTCAAATATTTGTGGAGTTGCTTTACTTCAGCTCCACTTCTTGTTTATTTTTCCATAAAGCTATGCTAACAAATTTACACATTAAATGTCCCAATAACCAGGCCAACACACAACAGTAACAAATAATTGCAACAAAGCTTCAATTCCAGAATCCTTTTTCACTCCTGCCCTCTATTTACTGTCACTGCTAACTCACGCATGAGAGGTATACTTTAAGAGGGATTGCAGGATTTGCCTCTGTATACTAAAATCCTCAAAGTTAGGACCAAATCTTCTTAAGTTTTTCCAAAACCTAAGACACATCTATAGTAGCAATACTCAACTTAACTAATAAGTAATCTTCAAAGAGGCTTATGTGAATTCTGTAAAAGGTAGGATTTCCAAATTCCAAAATCTCGTTTGCTATGTGTAGATAAACATGCCTATAGACCAACTGAGGGAAAAAATGTTACATGAAAAATCCTATGAGCTTTAAACAGTAAGTTAATAAGATTGTCCTAGATAATTACTGACAAGATTTACATTATCTGAGTTGAATAAACACGCATTGTTTAATGCATCTGTCAGTATTAGTCCTTTCTTCTTGCAGAATGCTGCACAGTAATCTTTATTTATGCTTCCCAAAATATGTTTCCCGGTTAACAAGTAATGTTGCTAGTAAGTTTTGAAGGCAAACTAAATGCATATTAACTATGGATAGCACAGCATACCTATGAAAAACAACCGATACAACAAAAGTCTATAAACTTCCCTATAAAATTATATAAAGTATAAAATTATTACACTCCACATACTTGTCTAACTTCCACTGCTCAGTTGTCTTGACTAAACTCAGTAATATATACAAAGTTTATATGTGCCTTGTGGATAAAGCTTTGTAAGATCATGTCCTAAAATATTACTAGAGAATTAGAGATGAGCATCTTCAGTGGGTGATTTATCTCATTCTCTTAGAGTGGGATGGATTACCCTCTGGAGGTGACTAGTGCTCTTCGGTGACCAGGGTGGGTACCTAGATCACTAGATGAGATGTGTTTTCCCTCATATTAACCCTAAAATTATAGCCTAGAATTCCAAGTTTCTCGTTATTTATTCAGGCAGAAGCTTCTTTGCTGAGCACTCTCCTTGCACAGACAGATTTCCAATCTGTTCAGACATTGTGTAGTGTTGACGACAGGTTTTATACATTCTGCTAAAAATACTCACAGCACTCGTAGTTCCTTCAGCATTATTCATGCTTACAAATCAATCTCCTTTTTTTTTATCAGACTTCAAAATGAAAAAGGAAGAAAATCGAATAATTTAATGCTCCACATTTTTTTCACACAGCTGAAATGAATATTTTGCTCAGCACTCTACTTTCATATTGTATTTTCATCCATCTTACAAAAACTGTTACCACAGCAAGTCTTAACCTTTTTTTTCATATCATGGAAGAAAGTAACTCTATAGATACCTTTGTCTATAATCATTTCACACAAATCCCATTGTTACTGAAAATTCATCACATCAGTGTATTGAACTAGGACACTAATGTTCCAAATAATTTTACTTATGCTAAATAAATTAACTTACTGTTGAGATTAAGGCTTTTCATGTGTCTCTCATTTGAGAGCTCCCTCATTATACGTTACTTTATATATTATAGTACATTATAGATCAAATGGAGGCTGACTGATGTTATACCAACTGAGGAATGGGGCCTCTACCTAAGTTTTGGGTATGGGGGGTTATTTTTGCAGGGATGAATGTGGATGAGTGGATGAACACGTTTTTAAATATGAAGGAATTTGTATGTGTGTATATTGCAGATGTACTTCCCTGAAAATAATGGAAATAAAGCAGACCACAGAGAAGAAAAAATATCAAGTGCTATTGTGCTAAATAACATCTGCTCTTGCCTCCTCTATAGAGAGCAAATACTTTTAACAGTGAAGTTAATATGCTGAGCATAGCCACTAACTAAGCTGTCGTCTTTTCAATAGCAAGACAGGTTTCAGAAGGAACCCGCTGCCGGTGGGAGAGTTCCTAAGGTTTCTAGACAGGGCAGGACAGCTTGTGCAAACACAGCCTCTCTATATAGCCTGGGAATGATTTGAGATTCCCCACCCTTTCTATTAGGAGGAAATTACCACTGCCAGGCCACAACAATGCGGATAAACACCAGTGCCTAGAGCCTGCGCAACTCAGGTAAACACAGAGCTTCCTGACACGATGGAAACCACTGGACACTTCTTTCAAGTCATTCTTCTCACACAGTGTCAGATGTGAGTGCTTAAACAGTCAGCATTTCCTCAGTGAAATACTTACCCTTTTGGCCGGTTAGGCTGAGGTAAGTTTTCGATGTTTTCAGGAGTAAACTTCTTAACATAGGCTTCTGGACAGTTGTTTGAACAGGCTAGTGCAAAATGGCACCTGGTTTGGAAATACATCTTGGGATACTTTACAGGACCAACCTATTTTTTATACACAGCTTTCTTAACATCCACTGGATTTTAAGTTCATGTTAGAAGCCCAAACTCACAATGACAAAAAGCCAAGCAGTGGTGAAGGGCAGAAGAAAAAAGAGTATGTCTACTGAGTCTGCATTTAAATGGAGCAGTGAGTTTGAGTCCTAGGAATACACTCAGGCTCCTGGTCTCTTGATCACTCAGATTGGGATCTTTTTCTGAATAAACTCTGTTTCTCTATCATCACATGCATCTGAGTTTGAAGTGCAGAGGTGTGAGTAGAGCAGGGACAATATGGCCCTGGTGCTTACCTGGCAAGGTGCTGAGACTTGCCTGGAGTTGAGAATTGCTACCAAGTGTAGCAATTTGAACTCAAGAAAAAAGTCAAACTCCTTTATGTCTGTTTCTTTCTTGTACACAAGCCCTCTAAACCACTTCTTTAACATTCAATATTCTAGAACAGAGCTTTGTGTTGGGCCTCTGCATGGGAGAGTGATTTTTGTTTCTAATGTCTGGCAGTCACAAATATGGACTCTGACAATATCAAACAAAACCTGGCAACAATTAACATGAATACTAAAAAAAGAAATTAAAGAGGTAGTTGGGAATCGATCCAAAAGTCCCAGAATATATAACAGTCAGTTAGATGGCCATTGGTGATTAAAATGTAATTGTCATCTCTACCTGGTACTAAGGTAAAGAACCATGTATTTTCATCCTGGCTAAGTACCTCCATGGTATTTGGGTGCCCAAACTGTATTTTTGGGATAGTCCAGAAGATTTGTAATATCTAGAATGGATTCAAAATCTGCCAATACAGCAAAGTGCAAACTTCAACCAAGTCAGGAAAACTCTAATCATAACACTAACCATCTATTCTTTATATCCCAGAAAGTAACAAGTACAGAGGTGACCAACAGATAAATAAGGTGTTTCTTAAAAAACTGTGAACCCAACAGGACAGATCTAGAAATAATACATCTCTTATGATTGTTATGCAATTGAAGGTGGTGTATCTGGCTACCCCAACATTACTTTTCACATTGTCCATTACCAATTTAAGAGCCGGTTATCTGCTAGCTTCGTTCCATATCTGCTAAGGTTCTTTCTAGTACACAGCCATAGGAATAATTTCTCAATTTGGCTGAGTTATCATACCTCATTTTTTTCTTTCAGCTTTGTGATCATAACAATGACAGGGCTGTCTTCTTGCCAAACCATCTGCCAGAAGTCATTCACGGTATTAATCATGGGCCCCTGCGTTGCAATGAAAGCCTTCTCTTTACCTCCATATCCCTGGTTTAGAAACAGATACAAAAGCATTTACTTTAAATTCATGTGGTTGACCAAAATTGCAGATGAATGTTCTAAAAGAGCAGAAAAAGGAATCTGGAATTAAAAAAAAAAAAATAATATTTGAACTGAAAGCAGGTATGACTAACAGTACAGCAGATGAGAAATTTTTCAGTAGAACAGTTTTTCCTCTGGAAACTACTGATTTGATGGACTGAAATGGTCCTGAGAATCCATCAATCCCTCTAAGATTTCCCTGATTACTTGGCTTCTTCTAGCTTACTCTGTTCTCCAACTTGTTGGTGCTTTCCATCATCCAGTGGTACTTTAATCCATGATTTAAATTGCTGCAGTGTTTACAAGACAGTTTACAGTCTACAAGCTACAGAACAAAAATGAGAACTATAAAACTGGTTTCAATGAAGATTCATGACATGAAAAAAGATTTAAAATACATGAATGCTTGTGGAGTCAAAGGCTCTGCTATGCATCTTTGCTAAGGGAGAAGTACCTTTATGAGACCTTACAGGAGGGACAGCATATCAGTACAGGGACTCCCAAGACACACAAGTGTATAGGAGGACAAAGAAAGGTCAGGCAAACAGTGGAGAAGCAGAGGAAAGGGAAATGCAGAAGAAATAGGAAGAACAAGAGATTGCCTTCTTATTTTTCAGGTGAGAAGGAGAACCTGTGAGTTTGTGCAGTGACAGAGTGCCCAACAGTACTGCAAATCAGGAGAGCCTGGCAATGTCTGAAGGGGATGAGTGAATGGAGAACAGCTGGAGGTGGTGTGGCAGCCTCTAACCATGGGTCTTCCTTTTGGGTGCCTTTCTTCCCAGCAGCTGTTTCTCATTTCACAAACCAAGGGGATAGATACTCAGCTGGCATAAACAGTCCTCCTTCTGCTCACCAATCTGCCTGAACATACTTTGTCCAAGACAGGTCTGGTAGGATCTCAGCAAGCCTAATCATATTGCATACATGGATGTGAAATTTAATTTCATTATTGGGTTGTATTTTTTCTGTGCCTGCTGACAGTTTAACTGGTGTTAGCAGCAGGAGAAATCATCATATGTTGACCTGAAGGGTGGTGGTACGGGGAAAAGGGAGGCTTCAGAGGACTCAAAACACGGCCCGGCTGATGGAAAAGTTGCTCTCCAAAGATAACCGCTCTGCTTAGTTACATGATGATGTCTTTCATACAAAACACTGAAAGTACAGGATATAAAGTGAGGCAGGGTAAGGGGCATGGGGGATGGGTAGGCATATATTCATGTACTGTTATTTAAACAAGTAACACCACTGTAGACCTCTGGGGCCAAATTTTAGTTGCACTATTACATTTATTCCAGCTGAGGATCTGGCACATAGCTCTAATCAAAATATTTCATTTTTCAGGTAGAGGACTACACTCCTAAAACATGACTGAAGTAGTCCCTTAGTAGTCTATTCAGCATACGCTGTGACATGAGTTAAAGAAAGCTCAGTGTGTGTGTGTGTGCATGATCAAGGATCGTAACATTGCTAACACTTTAAAATAATGCTTTCCAACAGGGTTTATGCTGGTAAAGTCTTTGTGTCATGTAAATATTCAGTATAGGGAGTAAAGTGTGAAACAGTGTGTATGCTTGTGCACATGTGTATGCTTAACTCATATGTTTATGATCCTTTTCACAAATTTGTTACAGTATTTATTTAATTACTTAACTGATGATTTCAGGACTACCAATTGATATAATTATGCCTAAAAAAAAAAAAAATCACCATTGAACTTGTTTGTGGATAACATGACTGCAATGAGCAACCATGCAGCTTATATTGCTGTTGACTCTGATCTTCCCTTTACTGAAATACCGGTGTCTGTCACTGTTAAGAGGTAACCCTCTTTTCCTTACTATAAGGCAGTAGAACAATATTAAACACTACATACAGAAATAAACAAATAGTAATGCATGTGTTTCTTAATGTTTTTTATAAACTATGTGATAAATTCTTTTCTTACTGCAACCATTTTAGTACGTTGATGGTTATGTGGTCTTTGTTACAAGCAGCTCATAAAACTATATCTATCACACCAATGTAGACAAAAAGATTAAGAATTATCAGTGAAGATGGGTAGGAATAAAATGAGTGACACCTTGACAAAATCAGTGATTCACGTGGAAAATCAAATATTGTCTCAAAACCACAAGAGTGTACATTTACTTACCCTAATGTAGTTAGCATTTATGTAGGTACTCAAGGAGTCAGATGGATTTTTTGGTTTCAAATACACTCTGCTTAGAGGATCTAAGAGCACAAAGAAGATGGAAATTGAAAAGAAAACCCATAATTAGAAGACTTCTATAAAGAATCAAAGACTTGTTGAAGAAAATAATCTACTGTTACTTGGGGTTGTCAAGCACTAAAGCATTATGCATCAAATTCTTCCCTCTATAAAGGATCATCACATGTAACTAGAGTACACTTATATTGCACAGTGCTGGGCTCTGTAGAAGTCTCAGCAAGCTGTGGGCATTGAAGGAACACTACCAGGTCCAGGCAATGCTCAGAAAGGTCTAGTCTGCCTGTGTTGAGTGTCAAGCTGACCTGCCTAGACTGTATCTGAAACCTGTGTCATATTATTGTATGATGATAGACAATTACACCAAATCCTCTGGATTTAACTTTGATATCTTTGCCTGAAGCTATATTGTTCCAATGACTACAGCTGGACTTAAATTAAGAAAAGCTCCCTCTGCTTGGCATGAAATCAGATATGTGTATTTATACCAATTTAAGTTCACTGTAAGGTGAATTAGGTAATCTATATCTTCCCCTTCAGTCCTGTGTTCTCATCTGACACAATTTGTGACCATTCATGCACACTAGACTGGAGACATAATGCCAATATACACGAACGTTTTCCTTCACGCTTCTCTCTCCTTCACGGTCTTGTATAATCTAGAATGGAGTGGGGACCAGTTCTGTTGAGTATAAAGCTGGGGGTTACTAAATCCCTCCTGGAAAGTAAGTTTTTGCTTACTCGTTTGTAACCATGTGATCTCCATGTATTACCCTTTTGGAATGAAAGACAGTAAATTCTCAATTACACAACGTAACAGAAAGGGGTAAGGAGGAGAGGAGTGAGGTGCCTATGTTGCGGCTGTCTAGGGCATGTTTTGACTTTCTTCACACCTTTTCTGAAAAAAAACATTCTACTGTTAACAAAATGATATGGAAATATTTCTACTGAAAAAAATATTATTTTCCTCTAGCAATTTTCTTAAATAATTAAATGGAATCAGCAGCTTTTTGACAGTATATAGACACCTATTGGTTTGGAAATAGCCTCTGGATAGCTGTTCTGTTTAGTGCAATCTAGGCAATGCATTCAAAGATACATACGTGGACACTGAACTGGAGAGTGGTAAGAAAACACTATTTTCTTATGTGGCCCTGTTGTTTACACAAGAAATATATAATTGGTGTATGTATGCTGTAGCAAAAACCTGGTATTTTCAGAATTGCTTTTGGATTTCTTTGTGACTTTTCATCCTGTTCCTAAGAACAGGATAAAACCTTTGCAAATCAAAGGAAGAGGAGGGATGATCCCAAACATTCTTTATGTCCTCTTCACACTGGAGGTCACAGGAGTGTCTTGGACAGGAGCGGAGCCTTTGCAGAACACAGGCTGGAGTTCTGAAAATATGTTTCTTAAAATGTGCAAATCAATGCATGACTTCTAGTTCAAAGTCTGGTCATGGAAATCTTGTCCTCTTCTTAATAGCACATGAACCCTAATTAGCTTGTGTTAAAATCTCTTTGTACTAGTTTTCCCAACTTTTTCACTTAGAGCTTTTTTTTCCCCTTAACAATATGAGGACAGGAAACCTCTCATTCCTTTTCAAGCACAGAGTGATTATTAGCCATTTCCACAAATGCCTCAGGCTACGTGGCCTTGAAAAAACACCCACTTCCTCTAGCTCACACAATGCCTCTGATTCTGCTGTAGCTTGACCCCTACCTTAAAAAACCTCTCCCAAGCAGACTCAACATCCAGTTTAATTACCATGTCTTGAGATAAATCCCTGTTACCAAGGAGCCGCTAAATCAGTTTCAGCAATTTCTGAGACCTCCTTCCAATTCCAATCAACGAAACAAACACTGCTTCAGAATGGGAATCTTTTATAAATTAACAGTTCTGATCAATTATGAGATAGGTAAGTGCTGTAAACTCAGCTCTGAAATGAGGAAAACCTGAGCACCGCTAAAGATCCAGAGCCACTAAGCAATCATCAGACACAAATGGAAGTAATTAGCTTCCTCCTGAATGACAAATACCTTGGAGGTAATAATCTTTTCCTCAAAGATGGCAAAGTCTGAGAGTCTGAAGCTACAGCAGGAAGACACAGATGGTGGCTGCAAGGCTGAATTCATCAATGTTTGTAAAGCATCCTGAAACGCAGCAGAGCTGTTAAGCACTTACAATTACTAATAAAAAATATCTCCTACAGTTTTGACTGAGGCAAAATTACTGCTGTTTTCTTCCACATACCTAGGAAGTCTGGAATAGATCTCCCATTAGAGTAGAAGCAGCTTCCTCTTAATATTAACATGAATTTACTAGTCTGGAGGACTAGGAGGGTGTCAAAGGGGCTGTAGCTTCCCCCTTTGAGACTGCTCAGTGCACGGAACAACCTGGGTTATATGATAACACTGCTGGACAGCCTCTTCCACTGCCACTGATACTGGAGTTCGTCCACTCCATGAACGACTTCATCATGAAGACCCACACCTCTGCCCCATTGCAAGGGTTGTATGTGTTGTACGGTGGGTATGATGTGCTGTGGTAGGTTTTTTTCCTTTCATTTTGACTGTTACTATGCTCTGAATTTTTTAGGGCGTGGGTATGCTTGCATTTGTATCATTTCCAAGATAAGTCATTTGCTATTCCTAGTCCAGTCTTAGTTGACTTACCAACAGTAGGACTGAAATACTGTGAGAAGGGCTGTCCTAAATGTATTTCTGTTTTGTGAGCAGGAAAGGAAGATGAAAATTTTGTGAGGCAGAGTGTGAGTGCTCTCACATCTGCAGCCCAAAAGACCATAAATCTTTCAGATATTGAAACATTTTGAAATTCATCCACCTCTACGTTGCTTGGTTTTGCTTGCAGTCTATAAATGAATTATGGATACTGGTATTATTTGGTAAACGTTGTAACGCAGAACGTGGAAGAATCATACCAGACTGCATTCCCAATCTCTGCCAGGTGGGGAACAGGCTATTAGACTTGCAAATAATAGAACTGCCTCAAAACACCTCATGTAAAAAACACCTGTAAACTATGCATCATTTTTTAATCTCATCTGAATCATTTCCTGGCACTTCCAATATAGTTCAGGATTTCTCAGTGGAAAACCGAACAGATTTATCATGGTGAGTGTTCCTGCATTTTAAAACAAGCTTCAGAATTACAAAATGAAGTTACATTCATGCAAAGGGAATCTTTCTTATCTACTGAAAATAAGGTCTGCCTAATATCCACTTACATTTTTAACTATCCAGTCTAACGTAGATCAATTATTATAATACTGGCTATTCACAAATACTATAGATATTATGATACTGGTGACCACAACTAAGACACATTTTGTCGACTCACATGGATATACAAAAATGCTCTGATGAACCCATGCTGAATTCTGCTAAGTTTAAACAGTTTTTCTCCTTCTGCTTTGTAAACATGCTTTTTTTTCTTTAGTCTTTGAAAGCCTGCTGGTGATCCTATTTGCCTTCATTAGGGAGCAGAATTGGAGCAAACATGACTGTTCGTAGGTCAGGACTGTAGTGCAAGGGAGCCTGAAAATTCTCAACATCAAAAGAATGGTTTTCCAGCATCTGTCTATAAACTTGCATAATAAACTGCTTTGTTCATACAATTTAAATTTAACTTTCCCCTTATCTTTAGCTGGAGTGCCAGAGCCAGTTTTAGCACATGCACTTCACATACACTTCTGACCCACCAAGTGTTTTCTGCCTTCATGTTACTGTGAATCTGCTGTTCTGCCATGTGTGTTTTCATGTAGGCTTTTGCCCTGAGGGTACTCTTCAGAAAGGGATGGATGAGGAATGACATCCAGGTACCTTGTATGTGGTGCACAGATGAAGACACCCACAGAACAGTGTTAAGCCACTTCTCTCCTTTGTAAACAAGAACCCACACATGCTCTGAAGCACCACGGGAATTCTGCTTCTGGCTTGAGGTGGAAAAGTGAGATATGAAAGGAAAAAGATACAGGGCTTTGAAGGTGAGGTCTTGCTGCAGGGACATTAGTGGGGGCTGCAGGCGACAAGCAGGTGAAGGTGAAGATGTGGAGTAAGAGGATGAGGAGGGAGCAGCAGGGCTGATGGTTTGCCACAAGGACATGGCTGTGGTGAGAGACTGGGAAATCGGTGTGCAGGACTGTAAATCTGCTCAGATGGAGTGAGAAATGTTGTAGGTGGATGGCAGAGGGAATGCAGCTGAAGATATGGAGCGGGGTTTAACAGGACCAGTGCCTGGGGTCACAGTCAGAAGGAAGGATGGAGAAACAGTGATGTTAAGGAACTGTTTAGACACTTGCCTCTGATCCCACACTGTCCCATTTTCGTTGTATCAGTATATGATAAAGCAATTAACACTTAGAAAACTTAAAGAGGCATCCTAGTGTTTGCATAAGAGCGTTGGATATGTTACATTGCAACTGAAACATCTTTCATAAAAATGTAACATTTCCTGCACTTTATAGTTTTCCATATAGAATGATTTTCATTAGGTGTTAATTTCACATGAGTGTGTCTGGCTAGATAGTATCTATTAAAATGAACCTGCCCTCATGCACTCTGTCACAGAATTATCTCTTAGAAAATTAGAACATCCTCCACAGTGCAGAGGGTGGAGATGGCAGGACTGGGCATTTTTAAGAGATAAACCATCAACTCAAAGGTCGTTTGTCACCACAGGTGCCTCGATTCAGGAGACGCACCCAGCGCTGGGAATGGAAAAGCTGATGCAGGCCTATGAAGCAGCGGGTTGATATCATCTGAGCAGGAAACCAGGAAGGCTGTTGTATTTAATCACTCAAATCGTTTCCAAACCCTCTCAGACTGGGTGTGGGGTGTGCGAGTATTTATTATGAGCATGTGCCTCAATCCTCAAAATATCTTCTTTGAGAAAGCCTGGTGCTAACACACAACAGACCTTTTGATTTCTGTCAAGGACGGTTACGAAGTGCCTGTCAGTGAGGAGCTGTGGTGCACACCGGCAGTGTGCTTGGACTGAAAATGTGCTGTGGAGGTAGCAGCACGTCCCGGCTAACTGGAGGTGAAAACACAAAGACATGCTCATCCTCAAAGCTCAACAGCATCAGCCACGGCCCAGCTGTCGTGTCCTGATTCAAAACACATGTTGCAGTGAAATGGGACTCATTGCATTTGCAAGGTGTTGCTGAAGGCGAAGCTGGTGGTGGCTGGGCAGCTCAGGTGTGAGATGCTATGGGAAGGGAGAACTTCCAAAAATCCGCCCGTCAGGTGGAGGGAGGCTTAGTGAAATCCCGGCTCCGCTGCAGCTGATGGCAAAAGTCCTGCTGTCATCAAAGGGGTCAGGGTTTCACCCTCCGTGTACATCCTGTTGACACTGGGCCAGACCCTAAGGGACGCTGAATTTTCTGATTATTTGGTATACAACTTGCCTTCAGTTAGTTACTTTCTTTAATTCCCTTCAACACTCCTTGAATGCACTCAGATGCACACAGCTATTGGTTCCAATAGATGAACTAACCTTGAGGACAATGGAAGTTTTACTGGGGGCTGAAGGGAAGTGAGGACTCCACACGAGTTTCTTTCCCAGCTACGTATCACATTTCTGAAACTAATCTAGTGGCTGAAGACCATCAGTTTTTATCAATTTGAGTGCAAGGCCTTTGTATGATGTGAACAAATTGCAATGCATTCAGGCTTGCTGAGAGAAATCTTGTCATTTAAAGTGTGTGAATTTGCATGACTAACATATAACATAGGCCTATGAGGATATTACTGAGATGATTAGAAAACAAATTTCTAGTTAACAGCATATGTGGTCATTTTAAAAGTATTCTTCATTCCAAACCTAAGAAAAGGGATGTGTTTACATTTTTCCATGGGAGTTGTCCTCCAACATTTTCAATCACTGAACTTTTTCCCTTTGGTGATGTCAAAATTTATAAAAACTCAACTATTTATGTCTATATTTAGTGCAATGTTAAAACCTCTGCAAACTATTTTGAAACTGAACACAAAACAAAATGATTAATAAAAGAGGAATGGAATATCTCATTATCCCCCAATAAATGTTATGAAAATAGTGGCATTTCAGAGAAATGTGTATTTTGAAGGAAAACTATTCCACTGAAAAGTTTTCAATCATCTCTAGTTATGACAAAGCAATTGTTACTTGGTCAGAAATAAAGAATTTGGGCCAATGAAAATACAGAAGCAGTATAGCAAAGTAGTAACAAGTTTACAGCGACGATGAGGCAGCACCGCATGAGAGTGGTTTTCTTACTAATGTAAACAGGCTTCCACAAAGCCAATTGGCACATGGAGAAGAGAAAAAAAAAAAAACAAACCCACCAGAGGACTCAGAAAGATGGAAGTCCACTGCACGAAAGGATAGGATACACCTGCTCTTTTTAGTCTGGGCCACTTAATGTTGGACAGGATCCCAAGGACCTTGACCCAACCAGGGGGAATTCAGTGACTGGAAGACAGTGTGGGCTGTGATGGAGGCAAATCTCGGTCCTCTCATCCTCCAGATCTGGGGAGATACTGTGAGACATGGCAGACCCCTCTCTATCCATCTGCCTGAGCTGTCCTCCAGGGAAAACCAGCATGCACCCAGGCTGCATTTCAGTACGTGACTGGGATGCTGCCGAAGTGTGTTGTGTACCTACCAGGGCATCCAGTGAGAATTCTGCATTTGCCAGTCCTACAGCACTGGGCTTCTGTTATCTTTCTACATAGACTATAAATACACTTAGGAATAGGTGCACAACGATCAAGATAGAGACAGCTAGATTTTCACAGCAATACGTTCTCAAAGCAGGATTAAATGTCATAGGAGGAAACCATGGGCTAACTCACTTACTTGGCAAAATTGTTTTATAGCGATTTTTAGTTCCATGACTCGGGATGTCAATTTCTTTGGGATCCACAAAATTCATTGGTATTTCCTATAAAAAAGAAATTAAATCAGATTGGTGTTTCCAAAGGAGCCATGCAGGAAATTATCACCAGAAGACCATCTGCTGTTACACAACTGTCTTTTGACATCAAAGTTATTAAGAAAAAAAGTGGTTCCCACCTCAAGCCTGTCAACACCCTTCCTTTAATAAACACAGGGAGCTGCATCTTGAAGGGGTGACTTCCAAGGAACACTTCTGATGAATTATTAAAAGCAAAGTTTTTACAGGATTAGGAAAGAGATTGAAATGCACAATAGTTCTAAAAAAGTAGAATTGAGAAGTGCAGTACTATAGCAAAAAAGCATAACGTTTTACATAATTGGGGGAGGAACTTTCAAAATAATTAAATATTAATATATGGCAAACATTTTTTTTTTTTAATTTTGTGTAAAACCCTTAACAATGTCAGTCAAAGACTTCACTTGCTTTTTATAGAAACTACTATAATGAAGTGCCTAAGTCTTTTGCATTCAGTGGCTCAAAAGCATAATAAAAATTGAAGCTATTTCTCTTGGTTCCTATTTTGATCTTGTAGTGACTGATCTGCACTGTCTTCTTTAAATATGAAGATGTGCAAGTAACTAATGTGACAGTTTGCTTGAAGTTCCAAATTATAAACTCCTGTTCCACTTATTTTTTTTCAAATTGTTTGTCAGCATGAAAAGTGAAAATCGTTCAATTTTTTATTGAACAAAATGTTTCACTTAGTCTAAGGGGGGGGGGGGGGGGGAAGAATAATTTTGATTTTGAGGTCCTGAAACGTTGTTACTGTTCTTAGAGTTGAATAAAAACAACCCTTTGAAAATGGCAAGATGAAATATGTAGGTGTTTTTTTTTTTTTTTTTCCTGATTGTGGGGGATGTTCTACCTATCAAAACAATATGGCAAAACCACATTAAAAAATGCTTTAGTTGACTAAAATCTTAATTTTTTTACTGAATTATTTTGGCCACTAGTGTTTAAATTATCTTAGGGTAAGATGGAATTTGATCCTCAGTAAATTAATACTTCTACTTAAAAGCACAGTCGTTGCTAGATGTTTGAAACTTCATTGCTAGCCTGGGACATTTATCCAAAGAGACAGCGTCATATTAAATGATTGCCTCTTACAGACACACAGGAACATGAGGAGACACAAAGGTATGTTCCTACCCTATCCAGTGCAAACCTTATTTGACTTGCACCACTGGAAAATTTACTTAAGGATTTTCCTCCATAATCAGCTGGTTTCTAATTCCACAGGCACAGGCCTGCCCAGAACTTTGGCACAGGTGAGATGCATGGCCAGAGTCCTTCAGACCCAAGCTCTGGTCCTGCCCAGCATGACTGGCTGCTGCACACTTTAAGATAAACAGGGATGAGGAACCCAACAGGAGATCATTACATGGGTTCACCAAGCAGGGGAAGCTACCTTCTTATTTTTCTGGCAGAAGAGAAGGCCAAGTTAAGTAAAATGTGATCTTTTTCTGCTTCCCAACCTGACTTCAGAACATCTTACTACATGAGGCTGCAACTTCTGTGTTGGTTTTTGTTTTTTCTACCTTCTCTGACTTATGCCCATGTGTTTAGTGGAACTTCTTTATTCTTCCTCTCTCCCTCACTCAGTTTCTTCCTTGATCTCTTCCATGCTCTTCAGCTGACTTCTCAAAAGAATGGCTAGCTGCTTCTCATTTCAGGCCAGCCAAAGTGATGCTACTAAGATATACCTTCCTTGTAGTTACTTCACCTGATCCCTTTTCAGCTCCCTGTACTGTCATTCATACATTGCCTGTGCTATGCGCAGGATCTTCTCACTTGTAAGACTCCATTCCTTCATAAAACTCATCCCCATTCCTTCAAGTCAAAACAAGTCACCTCTCCCCTGCTTCTGATGCCCCTTCCCCTCCTCCGTGGAACCACGAAATGAGCTCCCGCACTTCCCTCACACCCACCTCTGACTTTCACTCCCTCCTGGTGGTGACCTCTGTGAGACTCCTTCACTTGGTCCTTGGTCTCCAAATTGTCCTAACTGGCTCTAGTATGGGCTAGTGGCTGACTCAGAGCTGCCCTGGTTCTGGCACCACCAGTGCATGTCTTCTGAAAGGTTCCCCTGCTGAACTAGACACCAACTGAGAGCGAGCGATACGTTAAGCCTGCGTTTAATATGATCTATGTCTGTCATCTACAGAGACTGGAAAAAGATGTGTGAGGAAGAGTCCTCTGCCTGCACAACAAGAGATGGTGGTCAGTGCGGCTCTTCCAGCAGCCTGGCTGTCTCCCTCTCCATGTCTGCTGAAATTCTAGAACAGTTCATCAGTTGGCAAATTACTGACAGATGCAGAAATGCCACTGGGTTGAGAACAGAAACGCATTTCTCCGGGCCAACAAGGTCAATTAATAATATTAATCACTTACATCCTGTAAACAGTTTCTAGTCAGTGGGCTCCTCCCAGTAGTAAGTACTTGTGGGGCCAAGGGCACAAACAGAAATCTGACAATACACTGTGGATCACAGCCACAGACAAGTCATTTATCCTGAAACTGCCTGTGAAAAGCAAGAGATTATTCCAGAAAAAAAATCAGGATATTGTGGGGATAATGTTCTTGCTAATGTGGGGGAAAATAAGCCCAGCAGATTGCAAATAGCATGAACACTTGCAAATTAGAATATAAAATCTGTATCTGTGTAGGCAATATATATATCAATTCATTATTAAACATATATACCTATTATATATAATTAAATAATTACAAATAATTTATAAGCTGCACACATCCATGTGCTCAGTTGCATGCATGCAATTATAGATACGTATGCATATATGCCTTTGCCCATGGGCTACTTCACCTCTCTGGGCAATACTCTTCTAATAACAGCTCTTCTGGCTCACATTAGCCTTTGAATGCTACAACTGTTCATACACTCGAAAAGATATGATTTGGATCTCTGAAAGCATTCAAGAAAATGTGGCAAAATTTAGGAAAATTCAGGCAGATATTCATTATACCCATCCCTCTATTTTTATGAGAACCAAATTTTATAGGTCGAACTATCTGGCACTTTCCCATGCAGCACTGTATTTTCTGACATTCCAGTATTTTGGGAATAATTAATTTTTCTGTTCTGTCACCAACTTTAGACATTCTGTCTTTTGAATAGTAGCAGCTCAGACTACTAAAGTATATGCTGGGAAATTTATGTTTCTTCCTCCTTGCAAATCAGGTATATTCTCCCAAGTGAAAGTAGTCAACATTTTTGTCATCATTAAAAAAAAAAAAAAAGAAAAGAATAATAGCTCTTTTTTATATACATTATGGAAAAATATTTTGATGGTAACTTACAATTTTTTACAATAAAAAAGATAAAGTTAATGCCCCTTTAATTGTTAATCAAAAATTTAAATGTTAATTAGAGAATTAAAAATAATCCAAATCTGCTCATGATTCAGTTTTCCATTGAAAACTTTGAAAATTTATCCACTTTTTGCACACTTGGAAGGCTTTCATGTGAACTAATAATTTTAGTCTCAAGAAGACTGTTTTACTGTATTTCTTTAGCTAGTTAAAACAAGCTGAGTGAGCAGAACCAGTGAGGGTTATATACAGCGTTCTTTGCATGCCTCAAGTTCCTACTAAAGCTATTATCTGTAGCAAGGAAGATATTAAACAGACACTGTTCAACAGCTTCATCTTAAAACACATTTTAAAAAATGGTTTAAAAATGGAATACAGAAGTAATGATCTTTTCAATAAAATTCTGTGGAAACACTGAATGGCCAAAGTCTCGTTGTGCTCCCCAGAGGGACAAATAAAATGTGAGTCTCTATTGCCCCAAAGCTGTGCATGGATGCTGTGTGAGAGGATTTGGGTAAACAGGATTCTACAGAGGTGCCAAGCTGTCTGTACAAACTGTCTCCTAACATGGGGGGCTCAAATAATGATGAAGTTGTTTCTTCTGGCCTTCCTGCCTAAGCAGCAGAATGGCAGAGAACCAATGGCGTAACGGGTGATCAAAGTATGTTGGACGCTTATAATTTTTTCCATGTACGCTGTCTGACCAATTTTTGGTAAAACAACTGAGGAATTTGGTTTTCTTAAGCAAATGACTTTTACTATAAACCCTGGCTTTTTAAAGGTGAATAAAAGGACTACTTTGTAGGATGCCATCATTCATAACGAAAAATTATTTTTAGAGTAAGATGGCACTCATCATCTATTCTATTGACTTATATGCACAAATTGAAACCAAAATGAAACCTGAGGGATCACATACTCTGACATGTTTAATAGAAACTGAATTGTTTGTATGTCTTTGTTAGACCTGTAGTATGCTCAAGGGGTTGTACAGGTCTTCCTGATCTTACATGCCTTGTTAGGATACACATTTCTGTGTGACTCTATTTATTAAATTTGAGATATTAAACCAGTCTTAAATATCTTTGCTTGTTTAGTTTAGTTTTCTAGTAAAAAGTAAAAGCTAAAAGGGTTAGGCTGAGGTTGGGCTGCGTAGTTGATTACGTTAGGTTCTTCCTCTCTGGTACCCTCTTACAGCAATTGGTAGCAAAGCATCTGAGGGAGCTGGAACAGGACAAACTTTTCTTCATATTGCACTAGTCATCTGACACTGTTCTTTTACCATGAAAAACCATAAGTAATCACTCCATATTCACCTTCTCCTAGCTATCATGATTTTTTAGGCTTCTGTTAGTGCCTCTTACAGTCCCTTTTCTAGGCAGAATAGTCCTTGTCTATCTAGTATCTCCTGATACAGAAGCTGCTCTAGGCTCTGATTATGTTCACCATACTTCTGTATGTGCTTCAAGATGGAAGATCAAAACAGCACACAGCTGTGAATGCAATACAGATTTTTCCAATGTCATAAGGATGTTTTCTATATTATTCTCTATTTCATTTCCCAAGGTTCTTAGCTTTGTATTTCAGAACCTATCAAAGTATACAAAACTATTTTCTTGCAAATGCATAGCATTTTATTTATCAGGCCTGAATTTCCTCTGCTTCATCACCATCATAAAGTCCTTCTGTAATTTCTCTGAAGTCTGTTTTTAATTTTACTACCCTTGGTAATTCAGTGTTATCTTCAAACTTCACCACCTTACTATTTATTCCTTTTTCTAGATGACTTAAGATCATCTTGGTCAGTATCAACTCCAGAATAGATGCCTCTGGGATTCCACTGGTGACCACCTTTTACTCTGAGAACAACCAATCTTTTCAGTGCTACACCGTGTTCATTATTCCCCACTGTACTGCATTTGTTTATATAACTATTGGCTTCTTTATTATATTTCTTTCCAACTTCTCTGATTTAGACATCAGATTTCTAGGCCTGCAGCTCTCTGGATCTCTTCTGGAGCCCTTCTGAAAAACTCAAGTTAGTTCTGGCCCTCTGATTCCTCAGCTGCTGGGTCCCAAGCGCTAGGTTACACCTACCCAGTCAATACATCAATACTAGCTTATCTGAACTCCTTTAGGATTCCTGGGAGAATACTAGCTTATTCCAGTGAGTAGCTTTTGTTAATGTTATTGATTTGTTCTAGAATCTCTTCCATTACACTTCAATATCAGACAGATCCTCCAATGACATCATCTACTCCTGCCACAGAGGTAGGAAATTCCCTAAGTTCTTCTGTGGTCAACACAAAAGCAAACAAGGCAGTCACTTCTCTCCTATTGCTTCAACTTCTTCAAATCCCTTTTCTACCCTTTCAATCATCTACTGATACTTGTACTCTTAGGTAAACTTCATGCTTTTGATCCATTTAAAAATGAAGTTATGATGTGGGTTTTTTTTTTTTTTTTTTAATTCAAAACCTTTGTAGGCCTGCCTTATTCAGCTTTCACATTCAACTGGCTTCAGTTTATGCTTTGTTCTCTTTCCCTTATAAAGAGTGTCCTTAATTCTGATGGCCTCTTTCATGTGGCTGTTTTGCAATACCAGTCTTTTTCAGGTCTTCTTAAAGTAATGTGCAATAATGTGTTTTCCCCAATCGAGTTTTTCTGCTCTGACTTGTTTCTACCTGGCCATTATCTTGATTTTAGATTCTTACCCTTTTTAATATTAAATACACTTGTAGGACACATCAGGTTTTTTGGTCTTGAATATATTAGGCTTGCTGTAGGCAATGCTTGTAAAAGATATTTTGGACTGACTGACTGTGAGTGTATCTGCCCCAAAAAGTAATTTGTAGTGACTAAGAATCTAGTCTTCAAATTGCAAACAGACGTGATGTTTACATGTGAATAAACAAAATCTCCAATTATTACTGTGTTTTCTGTCATCATAGCCTTTATGATCTCTTTGAAACTGTCACAGTGTTACAGTCCTGGCTGTTTGTACCGTAGCTCTAATATGACATTTATCCCATCTATGAATGGGACTTCAAACGAAGAGGAATCTGTATTATCTATGGATATAACTGACTTATTTATCTGTCTTTAGTTCATAAACATAAAACACCACCTTGAAGATATCTAATCTGCCGTTCGGAAATGATTTGTATCTTGACATTAACGTGTTGCCCAATTATTATTTCCACACAGCTTCTGTTGTGCCAGTTATGTCAAAAATCCTCATTTAAAGCTTGTTGTTAAACTCACCATGAATTCTGTTTGAAGTAAATGAGAACATGCAACTGCGTCTCGAAGCTGCTGCCGTGTCAGGATGCGGCTGGCTGACTGTAGATATTCCATCGCTACTTTTTCTCGTGGGGTTGGCACAGCGACGAAAGGTTCAACGCTTCCCAAACTGCTCATATCCAAAGTCAGTGAGACATTGGATCCTCGTCTGTGTTAGAAAATAATTAAAACAGTTCTATCAGATCTGTGTTACTGTAAGTCTCAAACTCATGCATCTGATCCTGAGTTATTTATGCACCCTGACTTTCTGTATAGTCACTGAGAGATTTGGGTATGCAAGGACTGCAAGACTGGTTTCACTGGAAGCCCCAAGTGGCCAGAAAACCAAGATTTTACATATGATCCTACCTCTTGAATCTAACAACTGATGCTGCAAGAACAGTGTGCTAGGGAGCAACTATTTCGATTATTCTTAGAAGCAGAAACTGCTCCCTACACGCTACTTAATTGTTACAGATATCAAATGTGAAAGTAATATATTAGTAAAGAAGAAATACGTCACAGAAAAAAAGGGGATATATTTCTAACTGATACATATAACAACTTGGAAATAAATTAACAGTTATGTCAGCTACATGTTTAAGAATCTACTCAACTTTAATATACAGAATGGAGGGGAAAAAAGTGATAAAATCAGCAGAAATAAGTGGAAAGGCAGTGAAAACATCATGACTACTAAGTCAGTGGACAATGTCTTGTGTTAGATGGGAAAGAAGGGAGAGGCAATAAACTGTGACGAATGAGCTGCATCCCAAGAGGAGGAATGGTCACAGACTTGGAGGGGTTATTCGGAAATGCCAAACATCTCTTGCAGGACAATCAAATTCATCAACATTTCACATTTCTACAGGAAAATAAAGTTGGATCCAACAACACCTTTGAGCCCTTAAAATACAAATAAAGCCCACTTCTGTGTGCGTAGTATGAGCATTACTCTTTTTGTCTCTTTCTCCAAACAACACTTAGGAAAACTATATTTTTTCATAGTTTCAAGCTATTGATCAAATGTTACCTACTCAACCCTTAACTTTAGGGATACAGATTGCTGTAAATCCATGCTCTGTGAATTGTGATGACTAACCACACATTTTTAGGCAATAATCAAGGTTCCTGTGTTTACTAATCAGAAATCAGTACTATAAGACTTCAAGAAACAACTGCCTGAACGAGGCTACAGATGCTCATTTCAGTGTAAATGTCTTCTGACATTTATCAAGCAGCTATGCACACAGAGAGATATGATGACACAAGTTTCATTCCAATCCCTGCACGTTATCATCTCTCCGTTAATGTATGCTTACATGGGAGCTCTTTAAGCTCTTCGTCACTCTACCATGATCAGATATATACAACCACAACATAAGACCTCTGTCTCAGGTCTCTCCTATTAGTCATCCTGCCAGATCAGAACACAGCTCTACACCTTGACCATTTTTGAAATCACGTATGCCAGTGATTAACCATTTACTGGTTAATCCCTTATCCGGTGACTCCAGTTTTCCTGATAGGACTCTGCGTGGTTGAGTGCGTTTCTTATTGGCAGGAGAACTCCCACTGGGTGAGTGTGACTGCACACCACTCTGGACACTAGGATGTTGTTAAGATACAACTGTCCCTTTTACAGTAATACCACATATTACTATAAATATCATACAGACATCATCAGATAGTATCTGTGAGTCAAGTGCTATTAACACTGGGGGAATGCTCTCCTCTAGTCTCTAGTAAAAGTTGCTTGTATTAATAGTTGCTTTTTACTGCCCTTTCCTTATTTATTGGTAGCCCATTAGGTATTTGTATGCACAAATATCTGAGAAAATTACTTTTCAGACACTGTGACTACTTAGTGCTGATGTTGCAGTTCTGTTTTCTGATCTTCTGCCACCAGAATAAGCACTCGTAAGGTTTATTGCTTTCTTCTTTGTAACCATATGAACATAACACTTTTTTTTTTTTTTTTGTTTTGACACAACTTTGATGCATTTCCCTTCCTCTTCTACATGTCAGCAGATCCTTTAGTAATTTTCTTTTAAATTAAACCGTTTCTATCCTGTCAGTCTGCATGAATAGAAATTACTTCAGCCACTCACTTGTCACTTAGCAGAACACAAAGCAACAATAGCCAAGGGATAAGACCACCTGGTGGAATCGGTGACTCTTCTTAAGTGTCCATAAGCCTATTTCAGCTTGGGTGATGGATGGGTGATAACAAGAGCATTGCTGCCCAGGCCCACAAATGGTAACAGTGAGTCAGTGGCAGAGGCAGAGGTGGGAGAGGCAAGATGGAGCTGAGTCGGCCGCAGGCAGCTGGCTGCCTCCAGGGGTAGATGGGGACAATTTCTGTTGGCAGAGGGAAGTAGGTGGGGTATGGTTCTGCTAATTTTGCTAGGAGGTAGGCAGAAGTGAAGTAGCACCCTGGGCAGAAATGACTAGTAACTGACATATGCATAGACTACCACTGGCTCTGTGGCTCGCTACATACCCTGCACGGTACCAGAGCCCCAGTTGGCGGTACCAGCGCTCATACCCAAATCCAGAGCCAGCACAGCCTGGGAGGTGGGCACGCCAGGAGCCGGCTGTGGTGGCCGCTCTCCGCCGGACGCGGCGGGAGGGTCCTGGCTCATGTACCCGTCCTGGGTCCCCCGGGACTGGGCCTGCCTGCGGGGGAAGCCAGTCCCCCTGCTCCATGCTGCTTTTCAAGGAAAACATCCTGTTAGACAGCTTTCTCACAAAAACCCTCCTGCGAAAGCACCTCTTCTGACCATGACTAGCTGTTTTTTCTGTGGAAAAAAGCAGTCCCTCAAACAGGTGGCTCCGAGGGCGTATATCGTAAATCCAATCTTTTGAAAACAATCCAGAAATCCAGAGGAGAGGTGTGCAATGAACCCCTCCAAAACTGTTTAGGCTACCTTTGGTTGAGAAATGGGTAATGATTTAGACCCAGACATACTTCTGGGAGAGCCTACTGAGATTTCCTAATATAGAGGAAAAGTATTTGCATTGTTCAGTAACGAAGTACAGTGAAAATGTTAATATTTTCTTTGGCTTTTATATTGTTATAACTGACAGTCTTGGCAAAAAGGCTATTTCCTTTTTAACAACAACAAAAAATATACCTGATCTAATTATAACTTTGCGTTTACAGCTTTTACCATTTATGGGTATTATTGACGAATACCGGTGTTGAGAATCAAATAACTTACTCTGGAAAGAAGAAAGAGTTTTTAACTGCAAATTTAACACATTAAAAGCTACACATTGAATAAAAACTGAATATAGGGCAGAAAATAATTATCTAAAGGATAGTGGTCTTTCTAAAAAGTCCATAAGAGGATATACGATAATAACTCTTAACGGTAATTCTTCCATAAAATGGGCATCCCAAAGAACGCTTTTGAAAAAGTATGCTCCACTTAATACACAGATTTTAATAATGTTTACATTACCAATACTAACTTACCAACATTAATCATCCAGACTTCTACATTGTATTCAAGACTATGCTAAGGAAAAGGGCTGAAAACAGGACATAATGCCTTGTCTTGAAAGATGAGGGAGGGCCTGAACCCATCATGCACTTTTATGTCCTAACAGAAGCAGCTTATAGTCTCAGGTCCTGCTCTGGACTCCTTGGATTCTCTATGTTCCTCCAACAGTTAAATTCCTCACTTTCTGTAGAAAAGAGTAGAAAGCAAGAATTTTCTTCTCTTTTACTACCTGGGTGCAAAGCGGTTAGGTAGTGAGTCCACCTTTTCTCACCTTATTGGAGCGACTGCACAAGGCTGGCCACAGAGCAAGGAGGTACCACCTAAATCAAAGCCCATTTTTGGTAACTATCCCTTGTCTCCAATAAAGAAATCACAATTAGACCAGTGACACTTCAAGTCAGACAACTCATTTTTCTTGGGGAGATATATGTATCTCCTGACTATATACAATTATCTTTCCATTTCAAATTAGAGCGAAGGAGCCATAGACATGGGGTTTCCATTATTTCTGAATATTTACAACCCTTTTTTACCTTTTAAATAACTTTATATTCTTTATGTTCCCCATTTGAATAGTCTGGGCCAAATTAGAGAAGATTTTGTTGTGATACACCTCCCACAGCATCCCCTTGAGATTGCATCTTGATGGGGAAGAGCATCATGTGAGGAATCTGAGGAATTGCAAACATTTGTGACAACATTACATTAAAGTCAGAATGAGACTAACTCTTCCGAAGTTTCACCAGCTGGGACAGCCACCTCATCACTGGGTATGTGAACAAATGCAATCAGGAAACCACTTGTGTCTGTGTATTGTCTAGTATCCCAGAGCGGGGTCCTACTACATACTCATGGCCCTCTTTTCAGTTGGTTAATAGGAACAAGTCCACTGATCAGAATCCACTGGAGTATTTTTTATAATACATTTATAGAAGCAGATTTTATTACAGACCATGAGGGAAAAAAAAAAAAAAAAAAAAAAAAGGAGATTAATATAATGTTTGTTTGAAAACTCTCAGAAGGAAGCTCCACCTGTCCACCTCAGAGGGCCACCAGGTTACTGAAGCCTATTAATCATTAGTGAGGTCATTTCCAGGTCTTCCCTGACCCTAAAATTAAGCCACAGTTGGTGATTATGAAAATCCAATTACCCGATGCGTTTTCCCAGTTGTTTATTTAAGCTGGGTAATTTCTTTAAATACACATTCCCATGTTTATTCAGCACTCCTGAAAAATGCAACGCCCAGATTCCCGGTGCTCAGCTTTTCATTCTCTCTAGTGGTTTTGGAAGCGGCGGTGACGGCTGCTGCCCTCCCAGAGCCATTGCCCCCTGACCCCGGCATTGCAGACGCGGGAGGCGCTTCCTTCTGCGCCCTCGGTCCTCCGTCCCTCTGCCCAGCCTCTGCGCGGCCGAGGCGGGAGCTGTGGCAGCCGTGCAGCTGGAAGGAAGACATTAATTAGCGGGAAGAGCAGCGCTGGCTGCGGCTGCTGGGGATGGACTTTGCTTCGGGTCCTCGGATCCCGCTTGTACCAGGGGATGCTCCGCAGGGCTACTCTCCCTGAGCTTTACTGCAGGGATGACAAGAAGAACACCGCGACTCCCCTGCGCGTTTTGTTTCTCTAGTGCTCACAGACTAGGTCTAGACATGGGTCCAGATTC